AGTTATTATAAATAGACTTATAAAGTTCTTTATTTACTTACCCTATAAAGAGGCAATAAATATAGGAGTTATGGCCTATATCTTCTATAATAGGGTAGTAAGGGAATAAGGATTACTAAAAGAAATACTATTAGATAAAGGACTAATATTCGCCTCTAAATTCTAGCAATTACTTATAGCACTTATAGGAGTTAATTACTAACTCATAATAGCCTTTAAACTGCAGGCAGATAGCCAGATAGAATAAATAAATTAAGTACTAAAATAATACCTTTAGTATTATATTAATTATAAATAAGATAACTAGGTTAAGAAGCTACTAAGCGCTTAACTAGCTTATAATACCGCCTATAATAAAAGTATAAAACTTATACTATTTAATACAAATATTAGATTTATACCTAATGTATATTATAATACTTAGGAACTTAAGAATATAAACCTAATAGTAATTATTATAAGTAATAAACTAAGAGAAATATATAATAAACTTAAGACTAAACTAGAATTTATTAAGAAAAGGATATAAAGACACTATAACCCTAAAAGGTTAAAAGGACTAACCTTTATAGAGGGGGATATAGTTTACTTATTTACTAAAAACATTAAAATAGATTAACTAAATTATAAACTAAACTATAAATACTTAAGACTAGTTAAGATTAAATAAAAAATAGGGAAGGATTAATATAAACTAAATCTACCTTCGAATATTAAATATTACCTAATTTATTATATCTCAATGCTTAAATTAGCTATAAATACGATATATATAGAAACCGGCAATAAACTACAATAAATCACAAGACTAGAGGTATATAAAGCAGAGGAAATCAGAGATATATAAAGAATTAATAAATAAAAGATATATCTAATTAAATAGAAGAACTATCTAAAAAGCGAAAATATATAAAAACTAATAAAATACCTCGCTAATGCCTAGTAACTCCTAAAGAACTTTTACTAATAACCTTAAAAAGCAAAGGATTAAAAATCAGGTTCTAGTTAATAATATTAGCACCGCTAAAAGACTAAATATCCAGAACCGCTATATCCTCCTCCTAAGTAATAATATTACCTATAGAAGAATTTATACTATTAACAATAAACTAAATACCCTACTTATGTAATAAATACTTCTAATAATAAATATAAGATAATCTTATAATGGCCTTATTAACCTTTTATTAGGCTTTAAGAAGCTTTTCCTTAGCTTCCTCTTCTGCCTATTCTAGATAATTAGACTTATAATTTAAATAAGGAACTAAAGAGAAAATAGTTAGCAGAAGGCAATAAGGATAAGGGAAATAATATATAATAGGCAATTATAATACTAAAAGTATTATAAGATCGACCTTATTAAGTATATTTAAAGTAATAAGAAGAATGCTTAATTATTTTATAATAAAGGCCTTTGGCCTTATAGAAGGAATAAGGCATAATATTAAAACCAAATTTTATAATTAAATCTGCTAAATAAATATATTCTAGAGTCTTATAAGATTTTAACTAAAGATTCTATAATATAATAATTAGTAAGGTATACTAGGAAAATAATAAAGGAAGAGAGTTGGCGCTTACTAAAGCCTAATACGAGAATAGGGAGATATGTAGGTCTTAAGGGCAAGACCTAATAAAGGGAAGAGATTGTATTATGACCTATATAGCTATATTATATAGCCCCTATAATTTCTACCTATTACAGAAGGATCACTTCTCCTAGTAATAATCCTCTTCTATTGGATTACTTGGATTATAATGCTCTAAGGCTAGATTACTATAGATCACTAACAATCCCTAGAGATCTAACCTTTAAATCACTATTATTCCTTACTAAGCTATCAGGCTACCTTTAGTATATAAAACATATTTATTTAGCACTTTTATAGAACTTAGCTTACTAGCTTTTAATAAAAGCATCTTTATATTAATAAGCCTAGCATGCATTACTTAATTATTAAGAGATATAATACTTTATAATGCTTAGTATTATGCCTTATGCAATCTGCAAACATAAACCTAGTATGGACTAGTTTACTTATTTAGAAAACCTAACTATTATAATATAATCTTATTAAGAAATACCTAAATAATAACTAAGTTAATCTCTTTAAGTATTAGTAATATATTAAATAAGCTATAGATAATTAGCTATAAAGCCTTTATAATAGCCTTACTTATAATAATATTAATAAGCCTACTATTTAAAGTATTTAGTTATTATAACCTTTATTTAGTACTATTATTAATTAGGTCTTTTATAAGGCTTTACTTAAGGTTAAAAAGTAAGCTAAATGCCTAAAAGCCTATATACCTATATATATATAAGTATTTAGTAATTCCTTTAGTTTACTATATACTTATATCCTTAAGCCTCTATTAAAGGATAGTCTTTATCTCTAACTATCTTACTTTTACTCTTATTAGCATTTATAATGCCTAGGAGCCCCCTTACTTCTTATTAAGCCTTAAAGGGTATTTAATTGCCTTACTAATAGATTAGTATTGCTACTAATAAGTATATAGTAAGAACCTTATATATTTAAAGAGGTTTAAAAGGCCTTATAGCTAAGGGCATAACTATAATACTCTATATGCTAGCAGATTGGCTATTAAAGAAGCTTTAAGATATGCCCTCTTTATTATAGTAATATATTGCCTGCTCCTTATTAAGTCCCTTTAGTATTATAACTAGTAGCTAAGCCTTATATAAATCCTTAATTGCAGTTAGTTATAGCCTAACCTACTATTATTATAGTAATTAAGATAGAAATATATATAATAATATATATAAAGACTATTACTTCTATACTAATTATAATGCCCTTTTTAGGTGCCTCTTATTTAGGTGCCTCTCCTTAAGCTTCCCCTTAAACTATAAGCATTATAGTAGCTATACCTAAGGTATATAATAGTGCTCTTACTATTTATAGATAATATATATTAAACTGTAATAAATAGTATTTATAGCAGCCTTAATACTACTATATTAATAAGCTATATTAAAAGGCTATAAAGCTTTATTTAAAATACCTAAAGGCAAATTATAAATAGGCCTATAGCTTAAGTTAAATAAGTAGTTATATAAGAGCTTTAAATAGTAAGAAGCTTTAGGATTAGATTAAAGAGGAGATAAATATATATATTAACTTCTTAAATAAGGAAGAGGAGCAGGTATATTATATAGTTACTAGTCAGGCTTGGTGTACTGGCTAAAGAGGTATTAAAGATAGTATACATGCTATAGAGGAAGATAGTTAAATATAGCAGGCATATTATAATAATTAGATAGCTATATAAAAAAATAATTTATTAATAGTTAATTAAATAAATATATATATTACTAAAAAGAGTAGAAAAAGCTCTATCTCTAAGTAATATAATTAATATTTATCTGCTAATTTATTATACTTTCTAATTAAGTTATAAACTTATACTTTATTAAAGTTATATCTTTAAATTAGGGCTATTATAAAGGTATTATAAAAGCACTATTATAATACATTATTATAGCTTAAGTTATAATAATTACTTATTTTTAATATATTTAACTATATTAAATAATAATTAGTATATATTATAAATTAGGAAATATTAGCTTAAATAATTATTATAATATATATTAATATAATAACTTAAAGGTAATTTAGGAGAGTAATATATATATAAAAGGCCGGCATTAATACTGCTTTTAACTTCTTTCTTTCCTTAATATAATATAATATAATATAAGAAGTATTTTAATAAATCTTATAATTACTATATTATCTATCCCTTTAATACCATATCTCTTAACCCTAATAACAATTAGGCTATTTAGATCTATAAGGATAATATAGCTACCCCTTCTTGCCGTATTCCCTCTAGCCAAAATAACCAATTTATCCTCTAGCCTGTATAGAGTGCTAATAGCTTGCCTAGCTATATAGGTACTAGTTAGTATATAAGAGAGTCTTTTAGGTTCTTTACCCTTATTCTTATCCTTATTCTTACTAATTAAAAGAACTATTTAGTTACCTAGCTTATATATAATATATTTAATATTAATAGCTAGATAGCTTAGAATACTTTAGTAAGTGCAAATTATTAGTTATACCTTTTAATACCTTAGTAGCTATATATAGTATATAATACTATATTTATCCTAGCCAGTAATCTAGCTACTATAGCTACTACTACCTATAGATACTATATTAAAGGTAACTGGCATATAGGCTAGCTTTATAGTGCTATTAATAAATATATAGCTTGCCTAGTCTCTAATACTATGCCCTTCTAGACTGCTAATAGCCTTATATATTAAGATTAGGCATATTAAGCTAGTCCCCCTATCCCTAGGATAATATAGCCTATACCTGCAATTAGAATAATTATATATATACTAACTATTTAGGTTATATAGCAAAATAAGATATATATTTAGATAGTTAACCTATAAGGGTATATATAGTAGATTTAATAAGGAAGGCAGTAGAGGGGAGACTTATATATTGCTTATTTAATAGTATAATACCTTATTTATAGCTCTTAAGGAATATATAATATTACTTTATATATCTTATTTAATTATATATATATAACCTATTATTATAAGGATTAATTAAGTATATCTATTACTATTAAGTTACTTGCTAATAAAATAGGAATTTAATATATTAAAGTAATAAAGTATATATTATTAAATTAAGCAAAAAAAGCTTAATTAGATAATATATAATATATATATATAATTAATCGGGGTTGCTGATGTGATGATATCTTATTTGCATGGGTACCTGTGTGACTTTATTTGCACGGGTACCCGTGCGGGTATGGATGGCCTGACAATGGTTACCTTAGTCATCGTTGTGAGGCCCAGGCGATGATCTTGACAGCAGCCCATCCATTTACATCAACCAAGAACAATCGTCGGGCATTACAACGTAATTAAGAAGCTCGTGAATCATGTCACCAATCCAGAGCCATTCAAGTAAACAAAAAATCAATTTTATTTCATTTGTCAACAGAGAGCTACTGCTCCAATCGTCTATGGAACCTGAATAACAACCTTTCCGGTGTGCGTGGAGCACCAAAGGTGATCATACGCCTCCCTAGCCTTCTCAAAAGAAAACACGCGGTCAATAACTGGTCGAATCTCGTTCGTCTCAAAACATTCCAGCATATCTTGCAGCTGCTCTCGGGATCCCACCACGACACCTCGAACAATACAGAGACGGTCTAACGCGAGGAAAGCTGCATCAGGACCTCGAAGGTCTTTACCCGCACCCAATGGATCAGGATTGGTGATGTGTCCAATGCAATGAATCTGCCCATTGAATCCGATCGCATCGAAAGATGCTTGAAGAGTCAAGGTTCCTCCGATCTCAATGATGTGATCGACTCCCTTGCCATTGGTGATCTTCATGGCTTCCGCAGCCCAGTCGGGAGACTTGTTGTAGTTTATTCCACACGTTGCACCGAGAGCTTTTGCTTTGGCCAGTTTATCGTCGGATGATGAAGTCACAATGGTCTTGGCTCCAGCGGCGTGTGCTATCTGCAATGCAAAGGTGGAAACGCCTCCGGTACCTTGCAGAAGAACGGTCTGGCCAGGTCGGAGAGGTGTCAGGCCATACAAGGCGTTCCAAGCCGTCAAAGCGGCACATGGAAGACAAGAAGCCTCTTCAAAGGATAAGTAGTCCGGGATCTTGACCACGCCCGTCTTAGGAAAGATGAAGTACTCCCCGAGAAGGCCCTGCGTTTCGCCACCCAGCTGGGTCAGGCCGACATCTCGAGTGAGACGACCCGCGATGTGTTCTTGGGTGAAGTTGGCGACCACACGATCACCCACTTTCCATTCGGTCACACCCTCCCCGACCGCTTCAACGATGCCTGTTTAAAGTTGTTAGTTGGTGTGCGAGGGACCATTACTGTTAGTGGTCACTTACCAGCACCATCACTTCCAGGAACTAAGGCATCGGGGCCGGGAAACGGGTAAGTGCCGATGGCTACGATACCGTCTCTCCAGTTCAACGAGACAGCTTTGATGCGGACCAAGATCTGACCAAGCTGGGGTGATTCCTTTGGAACAGCTCTAAGTTGCAGAGAGTCGAAGCCTTTTTTCTCTGGTAGCCAATACTGCTTAAAGGTAGTGGAAGCCATGATTGATTGGCGAACAAAGTTAAAAAACGGGGATAAAATATCAAAGTGTTGCGGTGAAGATACACCTTTCACTCAGCACATCACATACGCCATTCACCCCTTTATATATTTTGCCTATCATTCTCAATACTGAATTTGATAGCATCTGTCTCTTTGGAAGGACGCGTAAATGGCGTCTTTCAACATGCAGCTTTCTTTAGCGGCATGTAACTTAGGGCGTATTGGGCGTGTTCAGCGTAAATAGCGTGATTGGCAGTTGATGTGGCCCTGGACTGATCGCAAGTGAGGCTGTGGTTAAGGAATACGCTGGCCTCATTCCTCGCAGGACATATTTTCACCAGTCAGAGTTGTGATCAAAGTATTTTATAACAGTACAGAAGCGGGGCATATACCGGATCAGTCATAGCTCACTTCGTGGTACTCCACCTTGCGATCAGATGGGTTTGAAGGCCTAGCGAGTCGTTCAGCCAAATCTGGCTATGATCCATCGGCTACCCTAAACTGTTGATTTTCGCGATGAGTTCTTGCATAAAATGTATATTGCATAATGAATTTTGGATGCTTACTTTGGTTTGAATTGAGAAAGAAACACAATTACGTTTTCGGCACAACCTACTCAACATTGAAGGGAGGCAGCGCGCGCCAACGCGTGGTTAGAGACATCCGCCACGCCATAACAAGGATGCAGCAAAACAATTAGCTCGAAGAGTATAGCTAAGAATACGTTGCTGTACCTCTGCTCACGACACTCACAGAATATGATACATGTGTAATCACTGATCCATGGTGAAACTAACTATCGCTCCACTGCCACTGTATTTACTGCAAAAAGTATTTATGTTTTCAAGTATCCATGACCATTCTATCAACTACTAGGCATCATTATTTTCTAGCTTTGGAAGCCATCTAGCCCAATACGCGGCTAAAAGTCCCGGGATGCCCTCTACCAAGCGTTTTCCAATATCATCCAGACACCAAAATGCACGAAAGCGGTGCAGTAAAACGGCATAATGAGCTAGAATAACGAGAGCCTCGGGAATTTGCTTCTCCAAAAGGGTCAAAAATCGCCACGGGATCAGGTTCGACCATGCCATCAAGCCATGAACTCCCCAGCTGTTGGGGCATTGGATGCGACGCATCACAAAGCCGAGAGCCTCAGTCGCCTCTTCACAGGCTTTTCTCGATTCTTGGTTGAGTTCGGATGTTTCGAGCATTGAAGCGAGTACCGCACATTCCGTAGAAGTAGCATGTGAGTCATGGGATCCTTCTTTCCATGCGTTCATCAACCACTGGGATACTTTCGAATTTGTAAAGCTCGTGTTCGCTCTCTCGCCCATGACTCTCGCTCCACGATGAAGTCTAAAATAATTCACCATGCAGTTGAGAGTCGTGGCAAAATCCTGACCAGCTAGGCCTGCGACAGTCTCTGCGAGGTAGTGAAATGCCAAGAGGGAGGCGAAGACGAATTGAGCTGTTGAATTTGTTTCGGAGGTATTGTCGAGACACTTGTTGAAACCACGGAGAGCTCGATGGCGGAGGTGTGTCGCGGTGTTCATATAAGACTCGGCCAAATGCTTGTCAACGGTCTTGAGGTGCATCGCAGATAAAGCGAGAAGTTGATTCATCAGATAGGGTGTTTTCAATGCCGTGGTTATGTAGCTGTTGGCGAGTGGCTGAAGTCGGTCCGTCACCATCATCCAGTCAGTAATGTGTTCTTGAACATGGTAGAGCAGATTCAAGTGGCCAAAAGTAAAGAGATCATCGGATTCAATCTCATGTAGATCCGGTGTTGAGGGAACTGGCGAGTCTGCAAATATACTGGCTGGAGGAAAAGCAGATAGCGTTGTATGTTCTGTTTCGTATGGAGATGCGCCAGTCTTGGGTTTCTGGGGTGGTGCGTAGTGACATTCTCTCTCAGAGATGGAGCAATTGGCGCATTCTGGTCGCTAGCATGAGAAGTTTAGCAAAACATTACAAAATTTGTGCAAGAAACAACAGCGACCTTTTCGTCACACTTGATGTGTCGCTTCTTGCAAGTAGTGCACCCATTACGGGACTTGCGATGACCTTGACGGAGTTTCCGTGAGCCTTCAGATGGCATCTTGATTACTGGCTGACCGACATAAAGGTCGAATACGAGGAAAGTTGTCGAGAAAGGAAAAAAAGGGAGCTAGTATTGCGAGTATAGAAAGAAAGTCACAACGAGGGAGAGGCAAGAAGAATACGGGAATGCGAAAGGATGATGTACGGGGTAGATTTGAATCCACACTTGGAATCCCAATTGAGTTTATTTACGCGTATTTCATTGCGAGTCAGGTCGTCTAACCCCTTCTGGTCACAAATACGAGCACTAGACACTTTTGAGAAAGTTTACGAGTATAAATACGTTTTTGTTTAGCGTTTTTCTATAGACCTACCATAGCATTGACGTAAGTATCTTCCCACTAGCGGGCCATCTGCGCGCATGTTTCACATCTTTGAGACCTGATCTCTGTGCTGCACCTAACTTCATTTGTCGGGGTCCGTTGTCGAAGGATTAAGTTAACTGGTGATCCGAGCACAATTGCAGCCTGGGTGATCTCCTTGGAGAACAAGTAAACGAAAAAAGCCCACAAAACCCGAGCCCTCACCTCGGAGCTCCCGTCTGTTAAGAAAAACCGTGCATTATGGAGCGACCGCCATCAAAAAACGACCCTGTTTGTTTTACTTAGGGGTTCCGTGTAATATTGACCAAAGCGGCTAAGGTTTGTATGATCACTGACACAGCAGATACAGACTGTCACTTTTAAAGATGGATAAATACTCCCACAAGCTCAATATCTTATGTATTCCATCATACTCTAAACCACCCAGTTCTACAACAATTCCACGTTCGTTCCTTAAACTCTCACACCGGGTAATTCTCATTCGACAGCAAAAATACCTACCTATACGACAATTGAGTGGCTACCTTACCATCTACTATCGATTAATATCCATTCTTTGGCACATTTCCAATCGTAAACATGAACGGAGGTCTTGTTCGACGAGGAGAGCTCCTCCCATACAAAGGCGACTTTTATCTTTGGAGATATGTGCCTTCTATACCAGCTGCCGTCATTTTCATTATCGTCTTTCTTGTGCTCTCTGCCGCACATACATGGAAGATGATTCAGAATCGTTTGTGGTTTTGCATCCCCTTTGTGATTGGTGGTTTTCGTGAGTACTCCTACTTCCTCATCTGTTTGAAGCTGCCAACACTAATATGCCTCGTGATAGTCGAAGTCATTGGTTTCATCGGTCGAGCCATGGCCAACAAGGAAACGGATCAACTTGGGCCTTATATCCTCCAGTCCGTGTTTCTGCTTATCCCGCCTTCCCTGTTCGCCGCCTCAATCTACATGACTCTTGGGCGAATCATGCGCGGTCTTGGTCCTAAGGCGGAAAGCTGCTCTATTATTCGAGTCAAGTGGCTGACGACTTTGTTCGTTGTGGGTGATATCTTCTCCTTCTTGGTTCAAAGCTCAGGAGCAGGCATGATGGCAGCTGGGGATGACCCTACAATGGGAGAGAATATCGTTATTGGCGGTCTTGTTATTCAAATCCTCTTCTTTGGTCTCTTCGTTGTCGCAGCAGTTATTTTCCACCTTCGTTATCGCAAGATCGGTAAAAACTGGAGAGCTGTTGTTTCATCCAACACTGCGTCAGTCTTTGATTGGGAAAGGATGTTGATGATGCTGTATGCAACCTCGGCCTTGATTCTTATCAGATGCTTCTTCCGTATCGTCGAGTACGTCATGGGTGCTGATGCTTACCCACTCAAGAACGAATGGACGTTGTACATCTTCGACTCTTTACTTATGGCCGCCGTTATGGTCATTTTCTATATTTGGTATCCCTCTCGCGTCCAGGACTTCCAGGAACTTCAGAACAGAGATAGTGCCGACCTCGCCTATGTCACAGCTGAAGCGCAGCTCAGCAGGAGCTAGGGAAATCGACAGTACGATTGATATTTCCTTGGTGTCTTGAGATTATATCTGTACAGGATGTGTCGAGAGATGACTACTTGGTCCTCCACTAGCACTCATCTATTGCGGTAGAAGAGGCTCGAGTTAGCCTGTTGGCATACTGCCCTCAGCATGTCACTCACAAATCGGTGTGAATTTCTTTTGTTGTTCTCTTGCTAGATTCTAATAAACCTGCCATACTATCTCTTCCACGTATGATTTATCTCTGTGATGATTTCATCCCCCGCCAAACTCTTATTTCCGAAGCAAGAACTGGTCGTATTGCTGCTTGCACTACTTCAAAGCAGGTCTTTTGGCGATGGTCATCATGAGAGAAATGTCACTTCCACCAGGCACCTCTTCTGCCTGGGGTCTTGTTATTCGATAGGCATCCTCAACGGAATAACCAATCTGGGTTATCGCCACCTTGGTCCCAACTACAATACCAGTGATATTCATTATCTATCGCGCTGTTCTCTCATCTTCGAGATCTGTACCTCTACCAAAGCACCTCTTCTGTGTCGCCACTTGTTATATACGAAGCCTATGTCGATGAATGCGCTGACTTGTTTTCCCTTCGACCCTCTGAGCTTGCTGGTGCCGGTACTACAGCTGATATGGGCTACTGGTTCCAATGCTTCGTTTTCGATGTGATCGGTCTGATTACCTACTCCAAGCGTCCTGGGTTCTTGGACAAGTGTGGTGATGTTGGCAGTATCATCAAAACGATAGATAACGAGATGGCGTACTTTGCTTTCGTTGGTGTAGACAGCTTTTTCACAAACTACTGTTCTCCATACAGAACTGGCTGACTAGAAAGCAAGGTACTGGCCACACATACTTGATGAACTTCACCAAGAACACAGTAATTGGTCATCAAAGTCGACTAAGTCGTGTCGCCACTGAAGATGCTGAAGCGAACAAAGTACCACTCGACTTCTTCTCCAAGTTCTTCAGGAAGCATGTAACCGATCCTGGCAAATTTACTATGTATCATGTGCTCGCAGGTTGCGCATCCAGCATAGTGGTGGGATCCGATACTTCAGCTACCAGTTTATCAAGCATTCTGTACTATTTACTATAGAGGCCTCAGACTTTGCAACGACTGCGAGATGAGATACAGCAAAACACCGGCAGCGGAGGTATGACACGGGCTCAGAGCCAGGGCATGCCATACCTGCAGGCAGTGACAAAAGAGGCGTCGAGATTACATGCAGCCGTGGCATTGCCAATGGAAAGAGTGGTTCCTCAGGGTGGCGTTGAGATCTGTGGCTACTACTTTCCTGGAGGTGTGAGTAAATACCACGAATGATCCGAATTCTCTTTTCGAATACTGACCAGTCACAGAATTATGTAAGCATCAATAACTGGGTATATCACCGCAGCAAAGCCATATTTGGCCAAGATGCTGAAGGGTTGAAATTCTAATGTCCGGTCACACTCCCGAGGAATCGACCGCTGTTGGCCATATGTGTTACAGCTGCAACACAAAAAACACGGCCTTTTACCTTGGAAGAGTTAGGCGAACGTGATTATGGTTACATAGCGTTATTTAAACTCGGTCTCGGTTTCGGTCTCGGTGTCGATCTTGCCCCACGAGCTTAAGTTGATATCACGACTGGGCAACCAGCATATGAAACAATTTGGTTAAAGTTCGGCACTCAGATCTAATGCTATTATTAGGCCGCTATCATGTCTATGCTTCGAGGCAATGCAAAATAGGGCATGTTCCAAGCCCATACAGTTATACGCGTATCCACAGCTGTGATATCCCCTTGCTCCTTTCAGTAGAGATTGTGTCTATCAAACATTCTCTTGTGCTGCAGCAGGATGGAGAGGCCAATCAAATTGTTCTTATTACCCGGCAGTCGTGTCGATCATGACACAGGGGTCAGTCGGTGATTGACAACTTCCCGAAACTGAGTGCGTTTTTGGATCTTGGCCGCGTGTTATTGCAAATTGATGTCGTAGCTCTTAGTATTAATACCTGGCCCTCGCTACTCAAGGACATGAACTGGCCTAGAAATATCCATATTCACGACCATCTTTCTTAACCACCTCATACTCAAATCCCTCACGATGGGCAACGCGCAATCCCTCCTCGATCTTGTAGCCAACCGATGGCCAATTCTTGTCACTGCACTATTTGCCTGTTTTGTGACCGCTATCGCTCCCAGAGTCGTGAACATATTGCGACTATGGACCATTCCAACCATTGGTGAGGAGCTTGGCAACACAGAAAAGCGTAGACAAGCGTACTTGGGAGGAGCCAGGAAATTGTACTCAGCAGGTTACCTAAAGGTAAAAGCACTCATTGGCTCGGGACAAAAGCAAAGCTCACAAACTTCCAGTTCAAAAGTGGCATTTTCCTGATAACTACATCGCGAAGTATGTATCTGTTGGCTTGTATCACAAGTCTCATTGAAGCTAATGTCTCTAGCTTCTCCGACCATTGTCATCTCACCTGACTTTCTACCTGAGCTCAAAAAGCTTCCTGATGCTACTCTAAGCATGGAGGCTGCCGTTGATGAGGTTCGTAGACCTGGATGGCACATTTTGCTTACTCATCTAACCATGTCGATAGTCAATGGAGACTAAATACACCAAGATCGAGACATCAGTACCCATCATTCCGCATACTATCAAAGGAGAATTAACTCCATCGCTATGTAAGTTCACACCAGAAATCTGAAAGGCAGATGATTCCAAAGATGGAGCAATCTGTGAAAGGTGTAGAGCCGCTCTGACAATGCCCAGCTCGACTGAGTTTGACTATCGCAAGTGAAGTCAGAGATTCATTGAATCTTGCCATGCCGCCATGCAATGACTGGACAGAGGTCAACATCCATCACAGTCTCCTTCGTATTGTTGGTATGGTATCGGGTCGTATGTTTATTGGCCCTGAGCTTTGTCGCTCCGAGCAATACCTCGATGCAGCGATCAACTACACCATGGAAGTTATGGGTGCCCAGCGTGCCGTGCAGAATATGCGCCCTTGGCTACGACCTTTCCGGGCACAAAGCCTCCCCGAGGTAAAGAAGCTATATCAGCGAATTGCAGAAGCCGAATCATTCCTCGGGCCTGTGGTCCAAGCCAGAACCGACGCAATGAATGATCCAACATATGAGAAGCCGGATGATTTCTTGCAGTGGCTTATCGACGGAAAGGACAAGTTCCCCGACAAGAATAGTCAGAAACTCGCCAAGGTTCAATTGGGTCTTACTTTTGCAGCCGTTCACACCACGACGCTGACAGCCACAAATGCGTGAGTCGTTGCCTTGTACATGTTTAAGTATGTATCTAAAACAAAACAGATTCTACGACTTGGCGGCTTTGCCAGACCTGCAGACGGAACTTCGAGATGAGATCCGGGAAGCATTATCGCAGAGCGGTGGCAAGTTTACGAGCAACGCCCTGCAATCCATGAAGAAGATGGATAGTTTTCTCAAGGAGACACTTCGAGTCCACCCTGCGACGATGGGTAAGGCATAGTTCAATAGCCTCAGCAAGTCAACCTACTGACAGAAAGTCTTACAGCTTCCTTCCAGCGCAAGGTTTTGAAACCATTCACTCTATCCAACGGCCGGGTCATTCCAGCTGGCGTGACAATAGAGATACCTGCCGTTGCAGTCAGTTCCGACTCCAATGTCTTCCCACATGCCGAAAAATTTGACCCGTTGAGGTTCTATAGACTTCGTACCGAAGCCAAGGACGGCGGGTCAGTTGAGAAGGCGGCGAACAACCAGTTTGTCAGTGTGAACCAGAGCAGCTTGACTTTTGGGTATGGTCGACATGCATGCCCCGGAAGATTCTTCGCCGCAAACGAGATCAAGATGATTTTGGCCCATGCATTGCTGCAATATGATGTCAAGATGGTGGGCTCGGCCACTGCAAGATACCCCAATATGGAGTTTGCTCATATGGTAAGTCAATGAATGAATGCGAATAGTGCCAAGCATGTGTACTGATTGAAGTCGCAGTCTATTCCGGATCCTTCCAAGAAACTTCTGTTCAAATCGTTTGAGGTATGAGAGGGCGTTATATACTGAGCGGAAGGACGAGTGGCAATATCCTTTCATATTTTTGAGGCTGGATGTATTGGTCATGATTTGTTTGTTAATCTGTTTCATAGCCATTGAGGCGCAACTTGATCACAAGATACTGAAAGATAAAGTGCAAAAATAAATATAATCTGTTTCTTCAAGTTGTCTCGTACTTATGGTGAGGTACATAAATTGAAGAATTTGAATGTAAATCAATTGTAAATAAAAGTTGAAACGAAAATATTGAAAGTGATAAGTGTAGAATCCGATTCCTTTTCTATCCCTTCTATTCTATTGTATCCTAGTTTATACTGGCTTCTTACTTCTGTCTTTCTCTATCTTCAAGGTTGCGAGCTAGCGTTTTAGATCTAAACAAGGCTTCATTTACGTTAGTTCTAGATATAAAAAGAAAGAGAAGATAAATGACTCACACCAGAGTGACGACTACAGATAGCACCCCCAATACACTGAAGTCGAGGACCGCGTATCTACCAGTGCCGTTTTCCGGTGGGCTCGTAGTCGTCGGTGCAGCAGTTGTCGGTGCAGCCTCTTTGCGTCTGACTGTTGTAGTGCCAGCAACGACATCCATTGATACCGAGTCAGATTGGTCTTCTTCACCATCATCATCTAGTGTCTGAGTTGGATCCGTCGCCGGCTTGGTAATATTAGCAGTAGGGCCGTTACTAATTGGATACCTAGTGGATATCGTGTAGTCAAAGACGTAGGATGCTGTGGAGTCTCCGATGAACCGCGGTTTGATGTTGATACCGTCATCTTCACCATCCTGAGGTGTTCATGTTAACTTGTGTGCCACGATGGGGGATAAGGAAACAGCTCACATCATCGAGGTCAAGTTCTGGTGGCAGTTCGCCCCATATTTTCTCCATTGCATAACAGAATTGCTGATACTGTATTCGGCTTGTCCAAACTTATGCGCTCGAATAAATCTTTCAAAATTCTCAATGTCTTTGCTGTCTACACTGTAGCAGATCAGGCAGGGTATGAACAGGTTCATGTCTTCGTGCGGACATGCCAAAACCTGACCGAAGAATGGCCTTCGACAGAAATGATACGCTACGCACGCCTCGTCCGCTGCAACGATGAGTCCACGTGGGGTGAATTTGAGCTTTTGATCGTTGTCTCTGTCCCAAGTTGGGTATTTCAATATATTAGATGTAGTATCGTAGTTATCGAGTGAGGGTACGATGTCAACATCTCTAGCATAGAGGTTGTTTGAGATGTCAAATGTTAACCTCTCCTCATGTTTCCAGTCAGTGCATTGCATGGTTTTCTCAAGTGTATTGATCTGAAGGAGACATTGAGCAACCTGCCATCGCTGGCGAACCTCCAGAGAGTCCAGGCAATCGAAGAACAGGTACCCTTCCTTTTGGACACGACTGTGGAAGGACTGACAGTGATAGGACTGACTGTGCGCAAAAGGCAGCACGAGAAGGAATAGGAACAAAACAAGCATTTTGGGTAATGGTTGAGAATGAGTAAAGGGGCTACCCAAAGCACGGCATAGAAACTCGGAGAGGATCTGTTACTCTTTATACAGAGGACTACAGCCTCTTCACGGGTATTCAATGACGACTTGCCGAGAGCTCCCCTTTTTTTCTCGGCGCCTCATTGTTCAAAAGTCCTATTTGTTGGCAATTCTGATGGCAATAGTAAGCGTCCCGTGGTATCCGGTCCTCCTACTAATCTCTGCAGCATTTCGACAAGGATCAGCGCTGAGCTGGCTTCAAGGACCCTCGACTCGACAAGCCAACGACTCGCGCGTCGAATCCTATTTTCAACCACCAGGTATGCATAAACAGACCTCGGGGATGTAAGCGGCAAGCAGACCAATCAGGAAGTGACTCGACATATTAACAAGGGGCAAAATATGTACCCGAGGGGAGGGCTGCATACATGCTGGGTCGCACAGGAAACATCGTGTCAGCAGCACAGCCCTAGATGATTCATACTGAGTAGCACAGGAAACCTCGCGTCATCAGCAAAGCCCTTGATAATTTCTTTGGGTAGCTCAGGCAATCAGGAAACAAAGCGTCAGTCCTGACAATCTCTGTCGAGTTACACAGCAAAGTAGGCGTTCAGCCGCACAGCCCCCAAAGTCTCTGAAACAGATTAATAACGGCCTTCTTCTTTTGTGTGTGTAGACCGCACTACCTCGATGCCTAAACATATTTGTAATTTCTGTCTATGATCTAGATCTCCCCTCTTTGTGTCCTGACTGGAGCGACTTCCACACATATAATGAAGGTATCTCGACAAGCCTCTCTTGGATCGAATACCCGAACATCTTCAAACCAGCAAGTTTCGGTTTCCCTAAGCAATACAGAGCGGCTGGTGGCTTGGAGGTAAGCCTTCATGCCCCAGAAGCTGGTTTTGAGGAGAGTTCAGCGCTACAAATTGGTGGTTTCAGGGTCGGCCAAGTGGCCCATGTCCATCAATTCAGTATCGACCCATGCAGACATGGAGAAGCATCTGATGAGTTCGATGCAACAATGGCACCAATTGTAAAGCTTGCCCTCACGCTTACACCAGTCAATGATACACTGACGTGGATGAAACATTTCATTCAAACAACAACAGCGAGCCAACATCATGTGAATGGCAAAGGCATGTACCAAAGCCTGTCAGATGGCGCAGCGTGGCTACACGGCTTTTTTGAGCGTCGGGAGGATCTTGCATCGCTACTTGATAAGCAAGGAGGCAAAGACAAGGCAAAGTCGCGAATTCAGGAAGTGTCAACAAGTAGAGCTCAAGAGGACTATGTATTTCTTGTGCGTAACTTTTGTTTCGATCGAGCGTTTATTATAACGATGAATGGGCGGATAGGGATAGGGCCCTCGAACACGTGTAAGGGAGACACGGTTCCAGTCATCTTGGGAGGAGGAGTTCCTTATATAATTCGGGCCTCTGGCAAGTATTGGAATCTTGTTGGCGAGTCATACGTTGATGGGCTCATGGAAGGAGAGGCAATTGAAAGCTATGCAAAGGGGATGATTCAGGAAGAAGTATTAAGGTTCATATAGGTTAATAATGTATATGCCGTTTGTTGAAATGTAACCCTCGGTCAGCAAATAAGCTAGAAGCTAGCACTACTATATAAGATGTCATTACAACTACTGTCAGCTCTTAGATAGTTCCCTCGGCTTAGGATACTTCTTTATACCGGCCACAGAAGCAGAAATAAGTGATGCTCACAACAATATAGTTGATGATACCTGCGGCTGTGGCCCAATTCACAATTCTATAGTTAGCTAGTTAATGTAATCAGTGTGGAGAAAATGAGATATCACGCTTAAATAGAATTTTGTCAAATCATAACTAGTAACTCACCCTTGTCACAGTTATATGGCACTCCTTCTATATGTCTTCTATGATGTTAATATAAAAACAGAATATCATAATATTATTCTTTATATTGGAAGCCGAAAGTTTAACTCTATAGCTACTAAGTACTTCCTAACTTCAACCACTTAGTCCATCCTTCTCTAGACTTCTTTTCCTTTGAGGAGGTGCCTAAACTTAAGCCTGACTGGAGTTCCGCAATCATGCTGTCAAACCTGAAAATTTCCAAGTCATAAGCCGGAAGCGGTTTATGCGGTTTTGGGGTGGTGTTAGGGAGCAATGGAATACTATTCAGAAGTCTTGAGGATGTAATGGCTTAGAGTTCTTAGTATCAACTAAAGACGAGCATTTACATGCGAGGTTCTCCCTGGCTCTTCCAATAATGGGGGGCCGCCAACTCTGATGGCCGCGACAATAGCGGTTATTATTCCCAGGGCTGTCAAAGGCGCTGGCGATTGACTGGGACCGCAATGATGGATATGGCCCGTTCGTGCCCAACGTTCTGAGGGCGGATTCATACAACTTTGGGTTCGAGTTCATGGTGTTATTTTGTCTTGTCATCCAAAGAGGGATCTCACGAAAGATATTTCAGAGCCATGGGTTGAGAGTAGCACTTCCAGTTGATATTGAATGATCTTGAGTTAAGGGTGGGAACTCCCCCTCCTGTTCAGAACTTCTTCATCCCAAACTTGACGGTCGTCATATTGCATGCCAAACGCTCTGCTTACTCCCTATCATGTTAAACAACAGTGGAAATCTTTTCTTCAATCTCTTCATCTGTGAGGAGACGGATACCAAGAAGCTCGTTGTCAACTTTGTCGTACGCCGCCCGATACTTGCCACTTAAAATTGCAGCTTTGATCAAGGGGAACGCAGCATGGGGATTGGTGGGATCACTATTGATCATTTCTATGCCCCGATCCAGCGCTTCCTGGGCGTCAACCTGGGTCACTGTCCACTGCGTCCCTGGCGGGCTGTGCTTCTTTGCCAGCTCCAGAATCTTGGCCTGAGTGAAGACGGCCTCGTGGATGAGAAGGTTGCGGTTTTTCGTCGCGTCAGGGACCTTCAGGGCGTTTGCAATGGCTTTTCCGATGGTAGAAACAGAGGTTGAGCTGAACTTATGCACTCCCTTGTCGTAAAGCTCCATCGAATGGTTCTTCAGGTCGGCTACGAAGGGAGATGCAAGAACGTATTCCAGGAAGGCACCGGTTGAGAAAATTGTGTATTCAAGAGCGCCATAATCGGCCTTTCCGCGCAGATAGTCCTGAATCTCTGCCATTACCTGGATCGCTGGCAGGTCTCGTGCCTTGGGGTCCGTGGTGAACGAGCCAAAGTCTGATGGGATGTAGCGCTTGACCCCAGCTTCGATGCTGGCGTCGATGATAAGCTTCTGCCCGGCCAATGCAGCTCCTCCGAGTGTAGCAACCGCGACATCCTGCCCTTTGAGGGCTTGGACGAGGCTCTCCTTGGAGGAGTAATCGACTTGGACTACTTTGACATCGGAGGGAACGCCCTTGATGTTGGAGGGATCACGACTGAGGAGGGTGACAGCGTAGCCGCTGCTGACCAGCTGCTCAAAGATTGCGGTCCCGAGCATGCCTTTCTTTGGAAATCATTAGCACATGTTCTCAGTTCACAACAGAGGTGAGTTCACTTACGCCGAGAAGAGCGACGTTTTGGAAGGAGGCCATTTTGTTATGTAGCTTGGATGGTCGTATTGGGTGAAGATGCGAGTTGAAATGATGTGGAAGAGTGAAGTTCAAGCCGCGGCGCAGGAGGTGTTATACATGCTTTGGCGACATGATTTATACACATGTTCATGGCACCATTGCGGAGGTTTGAAACGCATTGCTAGATTTGTCACGATCAATTACTAAGTAAGTCCGCCTCTTAGTGTTGAGCGGATGCAAATTGCGCGATGTGCATCCGTCGGCGGAAGCATTTTGTATCCGGTGGCCATTTGTCAGTGATGCACGTCACATCCACTTGCAAACCATGTCGAGATCCATTGCGCACTCCACCTTTATCTCATGCGTTTTCGCATGGCACTTGAACATGGAAATATTACTGGATAAAGCTCAGCGGAAAGTTTTCGTCTGGGATGAGTTTGCCCTCAGAAGTTGAGAATAACAGTCAAACTTGACTGGTATCTCAGCGCTCGCTACTCTAGTTCCATTTGTGACTGTGATTCACTTTGACTGACAGCTAAGATGGCCAACTCTTAAGCTCTGGTGCCTCTCGGCGAACTCTGGTGCTCCCGCCTCGTTAATAAATGCCACGAATTCCTGGGGCGCAATCAGCATGTGCTTAGACTGATCTCGAACACAACATCATGACCTTAAAGTAAAGGCCATGGCTAGTGCCTATATAGTAACTAGACTTAATATATTTTTTAATTTAAGAAGAGGAATAAGTATTTCTTAATAAGAGACCTTAGTTCTTAGTAAATATTATTAAAGAATTGTTTTTTTTTTAAGTTTATAAGTTAGCCTTAAAAGGTATATTTAAGTATCTTTTAAGTTTAATATAATTTAAATATTTATTACCCTTATAGCTAATAAACCTTTACTAAGTTAAATAATTACAATTAGCTACTTTAATTATAGCTTAAACCTAGCTATATATATACTAGCTAAAAAGCCTTATTTACTTATTAACTAGCCTTATATAACAGCAAGGGGGAAAAGCTTTTTCTTTTTAAGGGGCAGTTAGGTTAAATGGCTTCAGAACTTTTAGTTCAGAGATTCAGGTGAAAATACCACGGCGTGGCTTGAGAACGACTGGATGAGGATGAAGTTGGAGGTATTCGAGCTTAAATACCAGGCCGAGGCCTGGACTCGAGTTATAGGGGAAGTGTATAACATGGTGTAGAAAGGATTGCATGTCAGCGCGATACGGTCAGTTCTCAGGAGCGAGGTTGAAAGACACATCTAACAGAACGCCTTATCAGGTAACGTTAAACAATTTTAGCTTTGACTAAGAGTTTTCCCATCTCACAAGCCGTCCAATCATCATAAGCCCTATAATTACGAACGCAAAGTCCGCTCTGCAGCCCAATTTCATGCCATGATCGGACACTCGTAGGAAACTCCGCTCAACAGCTTAAGACTTCTGTCAGCTGAGGACAGTCGCATGTAGGTTATAAATTATACGGGAACGCCGCGTTTATTCATCGAATCATTGCTGATATCATTCCCAAGTTGCCCATTATGTCCGCTTAGTTCATTTAATCCATCTCCTAGCATGGCTGGCACTATGCAAGCCTGGCAGTACTCAGCTGTCCAGGGCAAGGTGGAAGACAGCATCTCAGTCAACGATGTTGCGAAGCCGACCGCATCTTCTCTCGCCAAAGGGCAGCTCATTGTCCAAGTCATCACCGCGGCTCTCAATCCCGTTGACTACAAATTCCCTGAAGCGGGATTCATTGGGCGCATGATGATTCCGCGCCCTACGACTGTAGGCCTGGATTTTTGTGGTCGCGTCGTTGCCAAACACCCTTCCAGCAGCGCCTTCGAAGAGGGTCAACTTGTTTTTGGTGCATATAATTCTCTCACTGGGGCGGGCACGCTGTCTCAACATATCGTCATCCCAGAGAAGTTCTGCGCTATCTTGCCCCCTGGTGTTGATCCAGACCATGGCGCAGCTGCTGGGACTGCCGCCATAACAGCCTATCAATCCCTCATGCCCGACACATCGAAGTCCGGGGCGAAGATATTTATCAATGGTGGCAGCGGCGGTACAGGCACTTGGGCGATTCAGTTCGCAAAGGCCATGGGCGCTGAAGTCACCGTCACCTGTTCGACTGCGAATGTGGGCCTATGCCGAAAACTTGGAGCCGACGAAGCCATCGATTACAAAACAGTGGACCTTATTTCCAGTCTCAAGGAGAAGACTCATGACTTCGATCTCGTCATCGACAATGTTGGAATGGATGATGAACTGTACAATATCCGCGAAGTGCTTCTGAAACCCACAGGAACCTTTGTGCAAGTCGGCATTCCGGCTGTCACAAACTGTATCCACTGCTAAGAAGATCATATGGCCATCCATATGCGGCGGCAGGAAATACTACTTTGTCAACATAAAGAACAGCGCCGAGTTCTTCACTCAAATCGGTCGATGGATGGGTGAGGGCAAGGCCAAGGCAGTGATTGATACGGCATACAAGTGGGAGGACGTCCCTTTGGCTTTCAGAAAATTGAGGGATGGACATGTGAGGGGAAATTTGGTTGTGCATGTCGCGAACAGAGATTGATTGTGGAGGTGTGTTTGCGTTGTCGAAATATTCATCATTTTTGGAAATGTATTGACTTTCGCCCGAAAGGAGTAGGCTGACACCTTGGATTAAATCTAATATTTGTATCATGATTTGTGATATGTTGCATGGCTCTAAACCGCATTCTTGATCAAGTCAATGAACCTTTTCCTTTGATGATGCCATGTCGACAGATTGAACGTCACGAGTAGGCAGATCCCTCCTCTGACGGCTAAAAATATCTTCTGACCAATACCATCGCACAAGATAAGACGCGAATCTGGGTCTATATTCTGCCTTGTTGGTTGGTAGAATTGTCCCAGATGAAGGGGTATGGACGGACTCCCGGAGCGAGGCGCATCCGTTCGCCAGAAGCGCATGTGGACAGCGTAATGGGGGGTCAACCCTGTCTCTTTAGGATGCTCGCCTGTCACGTTGGATGGGAAGCCAACGTCGAAGGGCTGGAAACTCTCAATGGCCTGTATGTGTTTGTCGCTCAGATGAAGTCGAATTGCTCCAATGTTGTCTTGCAAGTGCTCGACCTTGCGTCCTCCAATAAGGGGGCGACATTCCGTGCTTTATGCATGACATAGGCCAGGGCCACTTGCTGGATGCTATCAACCCCAATATCATGAGCAACTTTTTCAAGGACCTCACTGGCTTTACGTTCCGTATCTGTCTGATCAGGACCCCACATAGATCGAAGGCCCTCGCCGGCTGCCTTGCGTAACTCGATCTGCTTGTATTACACTATCTGTACTCTATCTGATTCGAGACAGTAGCTTCTCCAGGCCGAGGCTCATCCTTGGGCACAAGCTCGATCGCCAAGTCTCTCGTATGCGGCTGAAGATTATCAGGGTATCTCACATGAAACGCAACCATAACCAGCAGCATCAAAACCGAGTCAAACACAAAAATTGGCCATTCCTTCTGCTGCAAATACCCCTCCTTATCCATAGCAAACTCGACAACGCGGAAGATATTTCGTACAAGAATGAGAACTGATGTGAAATAAAGCATATTCAGATATGCCTCCCAACGAATTGACACTGGAATACTCGAATGCCTCAAATGAGCCCTGAACCGTCGGTGAAAGACAACACAGCAGGCTACAAAAGCAAGGAAGAGGAGTATCTGAGCGATAAGACCGGTAATAACAATTATGTTTCCAATGTGAACAAGATCAGCATTGGCGAGGAGGCCACCACCGTTCCCCTGAATATTGAACGTGAGAAAATCTCCAAGAACAAAAAGGCGCGTCGTCCAGCGAACAGAGATGAAAGAACAACTTTCTCCACCTATTACTCTAACGAGACGAGAATAAACCATGTATAGCGTCGCTGCGAAGAAGACTGGTGGGAGGAGGAGAAAGAGGGCTTGCATAATGTTGAGAGGGAGGGAGTCGGTGGCGTTATAGCATAGAGCTCGGAAGAAGTAGCCAAGTACTTCGCCTAGAGATGGGTCAGAGGGATGAAGAAACTTGGGGGGAGAGACTTACAGACGCCGCCGAGGAAGAAGGGAATACAGAAGCGGGTTTTTGACTTGTGCATTTTATATCCGACGGCTACTGTTGCGAGGGCGAAGAGGAGGGTGAAGATGATTGATCCGACAAGACTGGGGACGTATTGCCATAGATAGACTTCACCGAGATAATTCTTTAGCTCGGGCATCTTATAGAGTAGAAAAGTACACCGAAAAATCTAGGACGGTCTTATGGTCGAAGAAAACGAAAAGATGGTTGACAACCGCAAAGAATGAGTAGAGCTTTCTTTGGGGGCATATATCAGGATGGATGTTGAACAACAAGTCAAGAACTGGATTTACAATTTCGCAAAACACCGCAATGGAACTAATATATACATGTTCTCCGTCTCCCGTTGCATTTCAACCCCTAATTCTACTCGAGAATCCTCCGCTGACACGCGTGTTGCGCACTCGCTCGTACCAAAAAGCCATAAACCTCTGAATTACCCTGAAGTCTGGAGATAAGATCGGGTGGTTTAAGGCCGAACACGCGTGTTAGGTAAGCGATCAGCAAGGGTGAACAACTGAACCTTACTGAATTCAGACTAGTCTGTTCTATTTAGGTTTTGAGCACACCAGGGTTCTGTGTCGATCACGTCGCTTACGCTTGCGAGTCCTTGATGATGAATTCCTGCCTCAGCTCATTTGTCTTATCCCCAATTCCAGACTTTTGGGTAATAATACCAATATCTACTATTATTCTCGTCGTGTTCCCTAACTGGGCCGTGGATCATACTCAGAATGCTTCGTCGCAGTCATAAGAAATCCAAAAAAGGATGCTTGCAATGGTAAGTCGAAATGACAACGGAAACTTGGAACGTGAACTGATATAGTCTGATTAGCAAACGACGTCATGTAAAGGTACAAATCTCCATTGTTCAAGGTGCATGAGCGCTTAAGCTTCATTAACTGCATTGAGTCTCCATTTCCCTTGTTCCTATGACTAACACGCGAGTTCAGTGCGATGAAGGCCGCCCAACATGTCTCCTCTGCACAATGTCAAAACGAGACTGCAGTTTCGCCTCCGAGCCCCAACCACCCCAAAACCAAAACTCTTCAACATCAGACCTATCCTCTCGTGAAGGATCCCTCCTCAGCCCCGACACCAATCTTAGGTCAATCAGCGCAACATCACTATCTGAAACTACTTGCTCTACCAGCCATGAGCCGTCTTTCGATAGCGTTGTCAACATGGAGCACATGGAACTTTTCGTTCATATGGTGACCAACAAAGATCTTTTTAGTCTTGGTGATAGGGTTGAAGACTTTCAAGAAACATTTGACATCTGTATCAAAGAGAGCGTCAAGGCGCCGTATCTTTTGCATCAGGTGTTGGCGTTTTCTGCTCGTCACCTTGCGGCTCTTCATCCTGAGCGCTCGGCGAAATATCAGCACCAAGCTGTGAATTTACAGACACGGGCTGTCTCACTGTTCAATTCGACGAAACGGGAGGTCGATTCGACTAATTGTGTTGCCATTCTTTTGTTCTCGGTAACACTTGGTCATCACCTCCTCGCCGACGCCCTGGCTACTCGAAGTCCCGACGGCCTTGATGGATTCCTCGCTCATTATGTTCAATGCGTCGAGATGAACCGCGGTTTATTTCGCCTCACACTCTCTGCTTGGCCTTTACTATTGAACACAGAGCTTGAACCAGTTCTATCATGGAGTAGTCAACAATCATCCAAAGACCCCATCGGGAACCACTGCCAACCTATTATCCAACTCATCAATGACTCAACTGCCTTGACAAGCGAAGAAAAAGGAGTCTGCCAAGAAGCAATACAATATCTCCAACTTGGTTTCGATGCCATGTTTGAAGAGGACGATGACAGTCGATATCGCATGATATTCCAGTGGACGATGCTTGCGTCTCCAGAGTTGACAAGCTTGCTAGCTACAAAACGACCTGAAGCTCTGATTCTACTGGGTTACTATGCCTTGTTATTGCATTACGGACGAAGTCTTTGGCAGGTTGGAGATACAGGGGTGTGTTTGCTAGGTCTCATCGTAGACTATCTTGCACCAGAGTGGCATCTTTGGCTCGAGTATCCACGAAGAATGATGAGACATAATTGAGGTTGTACATCCATTCTCAATATAAGCTGGTCTATGCAACCATGAGTGGGTACATGCCCAGCTGACAGATCTCCACATACTAGTCTACACCATACCTCAACAGGAAGATCCACACAACTTCAGCTAAAAAAGTTTTACGAGAAAAAAGAAGAAAAAAGAATGAGGCACACCGGATTTGAACCGATAACCTTCAGGAATCTCCGTGCTTATTAGCTGGAATCTGACGCGCTACCGTTGCGCCAGCGCCCCATTGTGTGATGGACTCCAGCTCTACAAACAGTCATCATGGTAGAATCGACTCACGCTGTCAGACAGGTTCAAGCTATGGGAGGCAAGAAAATCTAGGACTTACAACCTAAACGACAAAAAGACTTAGGTATGTTATACAGGTAACTTAGTTGGCTTTTAAATAAGTTATATGTAACTTAGGATAGAGGTCGCAACGTTGAATTATTATCTCCCCTAGCGTGGGATGACATTCACACTGGATGAGAGAAGAAGCATGAGAAAAGCAATATACCGCTTGTAATAACTAATGACAAATTGCAAGTGCCCTATCGAACGACCGCTACAAGGGTTTTCCGTCCCTTTCGAGAGCCCACTTCACCAAATGATCAGGGTTACGCTCCATCTCCTCCTTGCAACCCACCAACCACTTCCAGAACTCCTCATACTGCTCTAATATTTTCTCTAGAGAATCCGAGAGAAACTTATCAATAGGGCCGCGTTGCTCGCGTTGGGCCCGGCGACAGTAAAGGTACCAGTTTTTGTAGAAGGTCTGAAGGCAGGAAGACAAATACCACGAGGGGAGGTGCCGTTCAAAGGCCTTTATCTGGTGTAATTGGTAGTGCCAATCTGATTTCTCTGACTGAGTGGGCTGGACTCCCGACCAGACCTCGACTTTTTGCGGTGCAGCAACAAGTTCATAATGTACATCGTTGGTCTGTTGCTGAATGAGGAACAGGAACCACCGGACAAGATACTCCGCGAGTGCGTGTCGGCCATTTTGGGCTACGAAGCATGCGTTGCAGCAAGCTTTCTTCAACGCTTCTGGCTTAAGAAGCATTCCGTCCCAGGTTACCCACCCCATGTAAGGCACCCATGCCTCATGCCCTCCACTGATCCGAAACGCTCTCAGCTCTTGCCATTCCCCACATCGAGGACATCGAGCCATCCACAAAGTCCAAGGTGTTTGGTAGCCTTGACAGAAAGATGTACGTGGCCGCCCTTGTTGCAATGTATCTAAGAGCCCAGGGAAATATCGATCGATGGGGGATGAAATCATATGGTTTTCAATCGAAATAATGGGAAAGCTTTTGATTCCACAAAGGTCAGGGCTAATCTCATTCTTAAAGGCACCTGTTTGGAATCGACATTCGTTGCACTTTCGAAAGTGCCGATAACTACCGGATTCGCTGTTCTCGATTGATAACGCATTCTCACCGAGTCGCCGGTATATCTCCTCCCGATTGTTGGAAAGTAGTTGTTGGAACTCGGCGTCGCTCATTCCGGCAAATCCAGACATTCCAACATCTTGGTACAGACTGAGCAGGTCGCTATGAGAAATGACCGGAATCTCGCTGACAGAGTGAATATAGCGTTTCAACGAAGCTATGTCGTTATTAACCGTGGCTATCATCTCTGCTGCTCTAGGCTCCCATGACGTAATCACGTTAGCCGCAGGGGTTCCCGGTATAGGCTTTCGAAAGTATAACTTGCCCAAGAATTTGGGTTCAAAATTGTGATAGGGGAGAAGGCGTTGGCACCTGGCACAGGCCCATCGCATGGTCGGCACCGTCCAAGAGTCGTGAAAGCTGGGATCTTCCCTCCGCTGGTGAAAGAGTATGGGAGGACCTCCATATTCCGGAACGCACTCAAGAGCCATAACGCGTTCAATAAAGTGTCGTTCTGTGGGCCTTATGATACTGCGGAATTGGCGGTTTGTTTGGCTCAGTGAGATCAAGCCGATTGGGTCCACTAAACGAGCGATATGCTCTTTTAGCTCAGTTGGAAGATTGCCCAAGGATGGAGCCGATCGTTTCCATTGTGGCAAGCGATCCCTTAACTTGGGAATAGCAAGGAATAGTGGAAGGGGTAACAGAAAGGCTAGTAATCGAAGCTCGGATGGGACAATGAGTAGCAGAGCCGGTGCGCAAGGAAGTAGACGTCGCATGTTCCATAGTGAAGAATACATCTTCTTGTGTGAAATGAAGGGAAATCGATAGTTGAAAAGCAGACGAGAGAATGATGAATGGATACAGAATGATTATCAGTTGAATTGATGATGAAGTGATGAGAAGTTTGGGTTTGTTTACCGAGATGGAATGAGTTTAGATTCTGGGTAAGTCCCTTCAACACTTTCCTGGTGATAAAGGGGAAGGCAAAATGCAGGACTACACTGCACCATGATCGTAAGTAAGCGACATTGAGCTTCACCTGCCTTTGTTGGCAGTCACGCATCATCACAGACAACTGATCCATCATCAGTCAAGACTCAGTTCCACTGAGGCGATTGTAATGGATAGGTAGGTAGTGTAGTTAGTCCTAAGTGATAAAAAGGTTTAGATAGTATGAGGATATTTTAGGATAATTCATGATGAACTTGGTATGCTCTCTGAAGAGTTTATTTTCTCACTTAAATTCCAATGTAATATCTTAAGTCATCTGATACCTAGAGGGATTGGTTGAGCAGACTTGAAACTATCGCACCACCGTTTCAGCCATGTTGTACGGTCTCACCGTAAATTATATCACCAAGCCACACAATTATCGTTCGACCGTGTAGGATGGAGTTTGTAAGGCTGAATCTGACATCTTTCGCACGCCCTGTCGCTTCGATATCATGGCGCCCTAGTGAACGCCCCGCCCTTAAATATTGACACCAACACACTGCACGTGGAGCCTAAAATCAGGGGGTTTCTGTCTAGAACACAGCCAAAAGTCCTTATTTCAGCACCAGAGGCCACCAAAGTCCTTTGTCATTGGAGCCTTGACTCAGGATGTCTTTTTCAGCTCGTTGGTGGCAACCCAATCAGCCTTGAGTCCCCTGGATAACGTCGGATACAGGGAAACCGGCCACCCCCAGAAACCGGCCACCCTTTTCAAAACACCAAAAATAAGATCACGATTATAACTCAATTAAAAACACACTACTATATTTTTTATATTAAATGAAATTTCTATCAGTAAATATTTAGATAAAACTAAGTATAAAGATCTTTAAGTTTTAACTTTTTAATATAATATAATATTCTTTAAGGCTATAATACTTTTTATATCTATTTATAAGCTTTTAAAATCGCTAGAACCTTTACAAACTTAGCATTTCTATTATATATAACTTTCTTCCTCTTTTTTAGCAGATATTCCTCCTTTTCTAATTATATTATTATAATTTCTCTTCTTTAGCATTCAATCTCAAAGTTATAATTATCCAATTAACTACTAATCTTACAGAATAGCAGCCTAACTGCAGGATCTTCAGAGACAACGCCTAGGACAGCTTAAAAGGCCTGGCGAAGCTATATAGATAATCGGGGCATTATTAGAAGATGGTGATTCTTTCCTTTTGCCAGGGAAATAGCTATAATAACAGGAGCTAATATCTTAGGAGTCTAAGTAACTATCAGGTTTATCAGGACCTTCGCTAGATTAACTAGCTACAGTCCGGTTACTTTCTAGCCGGCTAGGGCATTCAACTTCATAATAGCTTCTTTCCAAGCTTTATTATAAGTATATAGGAAGGTAATCTTGCCAATATAACTCAAATCTGCAATAGAAGCAAGATCTAAGAGGAATTTCCTATATGCCCTTTTTAACAGTCTAAAGACTACAATATCTAGCAGCTAAAGGATATAAAAAGAGTATATTAGAAAGAAAAGCATAAATATATTATTATTATAATACTTAAATAAGAAGTCTTTAATTATATAACTTCTATAACTATTAAAGATAAGAAAATATAGTTCTTTTAGATTCTTAGGCTTTATTAACAGAATAAATATCATTTTTAGCCAAATTAATATTATATAGTTATTTATCTAGCCCTTCTTACTGCTAGTAAATTCCTAGTTTTCTAGGAAGTTTAAATTCTCTAGAAAATGCTATTATTAGACTGTTTTCCCTTTAAAGATTACTAAAGGTCTTAAGACCTTCCCTATTACTAAGATATACTTAAGAATTATAATCTAAGACCTTAAACCAGGCTAATAAATAAGTACTGACTTCTTATCCTTATTACTAAGGAATAAACCATTTAGTCCTATCCCTTCTATTATACTAACTTTATTAATATTATATCTATTCTTCTACTTAATTATTCAAACTGCTAGCATTAATAATAATATAAAGAAAGCCTTAATAAGTTTAGTAAAAGCTCTATTATAATACTTAGAATCTATATGCTTACCTAGTAAAGTCTTTACTTCTTTATTCTTATTTATAAAAGACTATAACTAGCATTTTCTAATACCTTCTAGGAAGCCATTATATATAGTGATCTGATTTGTAAAGTATTAGACCTACTAATGCAATACAGGGCACCCTAGATTAACTTAGATTATAATCTAGTCTTATAATCTTCTTTCCTAAATAGCTAAGAGCTTTTATTTAGGTTTATAAGCTTATCTTAGTATTATAGCACCTTTAACTCTATCTTAAAGCGTTAAATAGTTAATGCTATAAGCCGCTATAGCTTTATTTATAGAAACTCCTTCTAAAACTATCTAAAGAGTAGCACTTATATCTTTTTTAGTAAATTTCATTATTTTAAATTAATTAATATACTTTATAAGTTTATATAATTAAAATTAGTAGAGTTATGAATTTTTTAAGATATTATTAATTAGGAGGTTGGAGCAAAAAGCGGGTGGCCGGTTTCTGGGGGTGGCCGGTTTCCCTGTATCCGATGTTATGCTTAATTTTAAACTGGCGGTCGAGACCGCGCGGGATCGGTAGGGCGATCCCTTGCAACAGTGGCTGAATGCTTCAAGTCAATATCCAGGGGGTGACGAATAGAAACGATTGTGTAGCGAGTTAATTCATGGTCGGTGAGTTTTGAAAGTGCCTAAGCTGAGAAGCCACTGAATTGGATGAGACTTGAACGCAGTATAAGAATCAGTCTGAATGCCGCCCCCAGGTTTGCAGTGGTGCATTTCTCCCGCTGAGACGTTACGGTACTTGGACATATCCTCAACAAAATGCTGCGATTAACTGTCGTTTCAATGACCCTCGGCCTCCTCACGGCCGTCCAAGCCTCCAACCCCGTATTCGGCGCCTACCAAACAGACTCATGTGACGCCTGTCTCGACCAAACCTACGAAAGCTGTCCCGGCGACTACAAGACCCGATCATACGCAACATGCATGTGCGCTGGCGATGGCAGCGCAAACTTTGTATCCTGCCTGTCCTCCTGCGATCCCAACAAGAACGAGCCAGCAATCGCCAGCTCAACGTACTATGGCTACTGCGTCCTCTTCTTCAAGGAGCTTTGCGATAGTGCTCAGCAGTTCTTGTCGGAGGATATCTATGCTAAGCAGTGTTCGAAGGAAGCGATTGAGGCAGGTGGTATTGGTGCTAAGGACAGTGATGATGACTCTGAAAAGAGGTGAGTTTTGTAGCGTTGATGAGGTAAATGAGTATCAGGGTGCTAATGATGATTGAGTAGTGAGCCAAGCAAGACGAAAGATTCATCGTCAAAGGAGACTGACGAGTCAGGTAAGAGTGACGAAGCCAATGAGAGCGAGACAACCAAGACAAGTGGCAGCGCTCAATCGACATCGACTTCTGGGGCTTTGGCTACGATGGTACCAGCTTGGGCGATCATGGCTGGTATGGGATTGCAGTTAGTGAACGTATGAGCTTATGTTCATATTTTTGAGGTCCGTGCAAGTTGTAAGAGTCAGATGATGTGAAGTCGCGGTGTACCAATAATGAATATAGATGATTTATCGGTGTTATCTGTAGATATCCTGCCATTTGGCACCTTACTCCCATTGTCCTCAATATTTCTGACACGAACATGCGCCACGCACCGTGGAAGGACTTGGAATGAAGCTGTTATCGTAAGTGGCTTATGATGAGAGCTTGACTTGGTGGGCACGTAGACTTGGCATGTCAGCATTGCTGACAACAATTGCACCGGACATACCCGCGGAGCTCCATGGCTCCCATTTCCACAAGTAATTGCTGCTTTCATTACGCGGTTGTCACAATAAAGGTGACGCGGTTGCGAGGCTGTGAGAATTACAGTAAGGCATGCCAAGATGCGAATGCCTTCGTTGAAGGAGCAGAAGGGATATCACGATTGAGGTCAAAGTGTATATAAAGAGCCAAATTGTCGTAACGAAAGAATGGAAATATCCAACACAACAACATAACAGCAAGTCCAGAGACCAACTTCTAAAGCATGGTTTTTAATCGCCTCAAACTCGCCATCGGTGCCGTTTTGGCTACAGGCTCTGCCACTCTTGCGACAAAGCCCGACATCTACGACTATGTCATCATCGGCTCTGGTCCAGGAGGAGGGTCCCTTGCGTGAGTCGAACTCATAGTCAATCATCAAATCGCTGGCTGACAAAGTTGAAGTGCCAACTTGGCTAGAGAGGGACACTCCGTCTTCCTGATAGAAGCTGGAGGAGACAATCACACCAGTATTCTGGAACAGCTGCCAGCTCTGTAAGTTCAACCCGTCCCCCGTGTATATGCTGTGGCTGACAGCTCTTCAGAGCTCGAACTGCTGCCGAGACTCCAGGCCATTCTTGGCAATTCTTCGTCAATCACTACGAGGAATTTGATGCAGCTCGTCGTGATCCGAAGTATACTTATATTCAGACCAACGGGTCATACTACGTTGGACTTGATCCGCCGGAGGGTGCTAGACCGTAAGTACCAGTAACCAACAAACACTCGTTGAGTTGTGACTAATAACGAGATTGCAGTGCCGGCATATACTATCCTCGCGGCTCAACCCTCGGTGGCAGTGCGCAAGTCAACGCTATGAACTTTGCCTGGTGTCCCGATAACGAATGGGACTACATCGCCAATCTCACGGGCGATGCATCTTGGGGTCATGAGCATATGCGTCGACATCTTATGAACATCGAGAACTGCACTTACGTCCCGGAGGGTACTCCTGGTCATGGCTTCGAGGGTTACTTGGTGGTAAGAAACTATCCCTCTTCCTTTGCCATGAATCATACTAAGACGTCTATCTATAGAACGACCAGAGCAACGCCACGGTTAACATCGGATCCCCTAACGTAGCCAACTTCTTCTCGCAGATGTTCCATGAGACTGAAGGTATTGATGTCGAAGACCCTGCCGAGATGACCGAGCTTCTTCTCCGCGACCTCAATGGTCTTGACCCACGTCGCTACGAAAATGGTCGCATGTACAGCACTCCCGTCGCGATCAATCCCAGCACAGCTGCCAGAAGTGGTGGGGGCATTTACATCAACCAGGTCATCGATGCCGGACACCCATTGACTGTCAGCTTCCACTCCCTGGCCACTCGGGTTCTCACCAAACAGGGTCGCAACAAGAAGCCGCGCGCTTATGGCGTGGAGTATATGGTCGGGGAGGGTTTGTATTCTGCTGATGGACGATATGATCCTGAGCAAACTGGTGAGGTTCGAAAGGTTCATGCCAAACATGAGGTCATTGTTTCCGGTGGCGCGTTCAATACCCCGCAGATCCTCATGCTAAGTGGTATTGGCCCGCGTGAGGAGTTGGAAGCTTGGGATATTCCTGTCGTTGTCGACCTACCTGCTGTTGTAAGTGCCACGACTATCCTTGAAGTTTTTGTTGCTGACTATTTACCAGGGCTCCAACCTGCATGACAATTACGAAGTCCCTGTTCAGATCCGCGGTGAAGAAAACTGGCTGATCCCCAGAGAATCCCCATGCACCGGTACCTTTGATGACGAAGACCCTTGCTTCGTACTGTGGCGAGACAACGCTTCGGGGCCATACGCAGCACGCGACAGCAGCTACGGCGCTGTCTGGCGAAGTAGCCAAAGCTGGGACAATGACTCGGATCTCATGTTTCTGAGTAGTCCAGGTCTTTCGGGCTTGGTAGGCTTTTACCCTGGCTACTCTACGGGCGAGAGGGCAGGCAATGATCCCTCAGAGTGGATGCACGCTGTCGTCAAGATGCAGACGAGCAACAGCGCCGGTACCGTTCGACTCAACTCATCGGATCCTCGCATTCGTCCCAACATCAACTTCAACTACTTTTCGGAATCAGCTGAGCGTGATCTCGATGCCATTGTTGAAGGCATCGAGCTCCTGCGGCGGGCGTTTGACGCGACTGGTGTCCCATATACGCAGTTGAGTCCCGATCCTGAGAACCTGAGACAAAGCATTCAGGACTTGGCTTTCAGCCATCATGCATCGTCTACTTGCGCCATAGGACCTGGTGATGATGAGAACTCTTGTGTTGACTCGAGATTTCGTGTTCGTGGCGTTGATAATCTGCGCGTTGTTGACGCGTCTGTCTTTCCTCGAAGCCCTGGAGGTATGCCCAATGGTCCGACGTGGACTATTTCTCGCAAGGCTTTTGAGACTCTCTTGGAGGACAACCATTGAGCTCCCACTCAGGGAAGCTAGGCTTGCATATAAGATGTATCAGATAGTCAACCAATCTTCAACACTACATGTTTCTTTGGCCATAACATGAAAGGAGAAACAATTAAAGAGTCTAGGGTATTAAATTAATGATAACTTTATTCTGTCTCAATAGCCTATCACATCGCTCACCCCATCAATAGTGGCTCACTTCCTGACCAATGAAACAGACCCGCCTCACTGTCAGATTAAGACACGGAGGGGAAAAAAAGATGACAGCAAAACTTTGATCAAGTCCTGTCATCGGAGTCCTCGGATGTCACGATACAGGGCTTGAATTCCTTCAAAACCTTCTAGAATACGTCAAACCACACCTACCGCATCCTATTTCAATCGTCGCATGCCTAGTGCGCCATCTTCAGCAAGGTTGTTAGTGCTGACTACACACGGGCGGCCGAAATTGCCTCAACTTGCGGGGAAGACGGAGCATCCACGACGAATCAACGTAGTTCAAGTTCAGAATCCAAAAGGTGAGCCAGGGGGATAATGTCATGTCTATGCACATTCATTCAAGATATGGCGTTTCATGTACTCATTCGTATTAGCAAGCTATTACTAACACTTTTCTCCCTTATTAGATAAACTGTCGCCTGTCTGCCGTAGGCCATGCGGTCTAAGCATCAGATATTCATCACTGTTCCTATCCCGAGCCGTGTGCCGCCGGAAATCGTCCTCGCTCACATCCAGACCTACACGCCTATGCTAGCAAACAACGATGTTATTATGAGTTTCAAAGAGACAACTCCCAACATGGAGCTCGTCAGCACAGACCCTTTCTTTGGAACGCCGAATAGCAGTGTTAGGACGTTTTCATCCAGTGAGAGACTCATCCTTGCGCCGGGTCTGACGAGGGATAGGAGTTGGCCTGTGACGTGTCTGAGTATACCGAATGGTATTCGGTGTCGGGCTGATGCTAAAGCTGGTGTTACTGTGAGGACGGAGTGGATTGTGAGGCCGAGCCAGGAGTTTGGAAGTAGTCCCAGCACCAGCAGTCCGGGGACTTTGGCGGAGGAATGGGAGTTGTACGAGGAGGTTATCATTGAGGCGAATAGTCTTCTTATGCCGTTTGTTGCTCGGACTGCGGATGAGGTTCATAGAGGGATTTGTCAGAAGGTTGTGGATGAGGTTGTGAACAAATATCTAGCCAATGGTACTCATTGATGAATTGTAATGATAAACGCTTAGCCATTGATTGCTACCAATGGAGGAGGTTACCTTCACCTTCTCGGGGTGTAGAGATGTCCGAGTCTCTGGCCAAGATGCAGAACAACAACTGGGTGAAGTTTACGCATCCTTCACACGCAACTCACCTGAGGCTCATCTAACTTATGAACCAGTAGTAGGAGACTTCGTATAGCTGCTCTCCACTCAGACAAATATCCTTGGCTCCACTCTTACGCAACACCACGATGGAGAAACCTGTGGAGTCTTTGCAACATCACGAGACATCAAAAACACCGCGTAATTGGTTTAGTGGTAAAATTCTCCGTTGCCATTCGAGCAGCGTCGGGGAGCCCAGGGTTCGATTCCCTGATTACGCATTCATTCGACGCTTCAAAGCGTCTCTTTTTGCTTGTTACTTCTCCTGGTTGCGGTGCTGTGAGTTCTGGCCCTAAGACGTACGGAATTCTGTGGGAACAAACGACCAAAACAGGTGTGTGTGATGATTTATTTTGCACAACAATACTGTTTTTTATATCATCTCATTTCAAATGAACTCGGATAAGCTTGCGTCCGGTAAAACTGTCTAATGGTCTTGATATAAAATTGCATTTTGCTCTGCAAGACTCAACCAATGACGTAACAGAACCTGACGCCGGAACTCCCTAAGTAAAAGCTCCATCTAAACTCAATCCTCAATCTCAATTAGCTTCCAAAGCACAAACTAATTGAATTTTTCATACATGATGACCGCCACAGGAATGATGGCGTCATTTCGGTAAACTACAGTCTCTGGGTAGTTGACTATCCCGCCATCCCCAAACAAGACAGCTTCAACCTGGAAACAACAAGTCAGTATGCTGGAAGATAGAAATGGTAGTATGACACATGCTATCGTAGCCAAGATCAGGCGCAGTCCGATATGGGCATGTAGATTTCATTCTTTGAGGCCTGTCGCTCACGACCTCACACAGAAATACTGCATGAACCCGAGACCCCGCATTTATATTGATTGCGTAGTCGTCTGCTTCTGGACAAATGTTAGATATGGCCTTGTACTGCTTTTCTTTGACTTACTGGACGATGCTTGTGATGTATATATCCCGTGTCCGAACAAACCCCGTCCTTGAATCATGGCCAGTCAATCGGTTACTCCGAGCCACGAGGATATCAGCGTTACTTCCCGGACCTACTGACTTGAAATGAATATCCTAGTATACCGCATACGCCACAGTTTGGCATGTTGCACCACGGCAGCCTTCCATCTCCCCTCTGTTCGCCAACGTCACAGGCCCGGGTAGTGCCGTGATATAAGAGTCTCGAGAGGGAGCGGGATCTTGCACAATATCTCTCAAATCTTTGCTCGCGGCCTGATATATACATCTCACTCCGGTGGACGGCGAAGATTCTTCGGACAACTGCCCTCTTGTTGGGATGTCTCCAGCAATCGATGAAGTGGCCCGCGTCTTGACTTTCAGCTTTATACCTAGGAAAATTTATTTTGTCAGTACTTACAAGCTTGATACATAGGGTCGGTCGGCCTGAGAGGGTAAAACTGCTATCAGGACATGAGAAATTGATCCAAGATGCAAATAGTCCTTCTTACTGGAGCCATTTTGGTGTAGTATATATTAGTAGAGGGTAAGTTGTAAGTATATAAAGTTGGAAGTTCGATGATGTTTCGGTGGTAGATCTCCTGAGATATATGTGCTGGTTAGGATATTTACAAAGTTGGATTAATATAATATCGTCCCAAGTTGCTAGAGAAGGGAACCACGGGATTAGATGAGATAAAGCTCGTATTTATGCTCGTTGCGTAGTAGTGAATAAGGGACCTGGGTAGTATGTTTTCTGCTTAGTGGGAGGTGAATCACTGACAAGATACTATCAGATGAGAGCTCCGTGCTACACCAATGTCAGCGGACTACTGTGTGTATGTTCTCGAAGCGGAATTAACAATCAACGGAAATTCGACAGGTGACAACGAACAATAGAGATCTTAAATGTAAATACGTTTATAGCTGATAGAAAGTTGTTAATCAGTGTCGCACTAATTATTAGGTACAACGAAGACTTGAGTGTAGTATCGGATGTGATAAATGAAAGTGGGATAAACAAAAAAGGAGATGGAATGACACAATTCCACGGCTCTTCCTTTGTTTAGAAGAAGCAGATGTTCGTAGTATCCGATACCGGAAACGTGCCTCGCTCTGTTGGCAGAAGCCCCTTTTATATAGTACTTACCCATGATATCTGCGTCACAGACTGCAATTTTACTTGTCAACTGAAACGGAGTCAAACTTACTCACCCGTGAGTGATCAGAGACCCGAATTTGCACCATGATTAGCTGGTTAGGGAAAGGGAAGTTCATCACCGGGTCTGCCGAGTCTGTGTCAGTGCCAACAAGATTTTCAACACTCACGCACAGCCTTTGGCATTGCATCAGCCATCAGTCCAAGCAGTGAAAACCTGCAGCGTCTACCGTGACGCGTTAGGTTGTGTGTATCTTCGTTCACACACATGTGAAAAGAAGACATTCATGGCCTCTGATGGTGTCTGATGCACCTCCCTAGAGGTTCCAGGAATTAGAGTGAGCACGACGAGAAAGAATAATAAAAGAACTCGAATGTGCACCCTAGAACAGTCCTCTCAAGACAGTAACAACAATACTAAGCTCGAAACTACAAACAATCAACAACATTCAACACTCTCGACTATTACCAAAATGAACATTAACGATATGGAAAACCCAGGGGACCCCGACCCTGATGTCGTAGCCAGGGAGTATCTCGACAGTTTACGCGATCCTGAACCGCCACAAGCAGAGGGTTCGGAGGCACAGAACCCTGGAAATAATCAGGAAACCAACATATGTAACAGTGGACGCTGTAAAAAGCCAGCGGCTCCTGGTCGCAAGTCTTGTGAGAATTGCCTGCGAGGTCACAGGGAATCGATGAGGTCAGCAGAGATGAACTTTCAAAAATCAATCAAATTCAGCTTCAATTAACCAGTCAAGCAGGCAAAGAAATAATCAGCTCAAGGACGAAGGGCGGTGCCGCAAATGTAAGGGCCCTAAGGGGGAAGACGCTGGGGTTTTCAACTGTGAGAAATGCAGGAATGAAATAAATGCAAAGGAAAGGGAGAGACGGATTGAAAAAAAGCGGAAAGACACTTCAGGGAGTTAGGCGACAGCTCAACATCAGGGGAATGGGCATTTGCTTCGTGTGGCTTCAAAGCAGTGGCATACAAAAAGTCGAAGAATGCGAGGAATAATTAAGTAGCGTTTAAAAGCCGCTTAATATATAAACGTTCCTCAGAAAAAGCATGAGTAGCAAGATGCTTCACTTAACCATGCAAATGATATTATGGTATTGCGAGATCTCACGAATCAGTTATAATATAAGTTGAAACACATAATTTATCAAGTTGATAGAATCCTATATGTAATGTCAAAGAATGATGCAGTAAATAAGACGTAAATACTGTAAGAGAATGTTTCCATCGCCGTATTTCTTCCGTTCCTGACTTGAACGAGTGTTCCCTCCCTAATATCATCATAAGATTAACCTCCGAGGCATTGAGCTAAGTGAATGTCCTGGTATTAATATCCTCATCCCTCTAAACTCCTTTCCCACAGAACCATCCGATCATTCCATATCACTTAAGGAGGACCGCACCTCCAGCTCTTGTAGTGAGGCTTCTTCGTAGTCTTGAAAGCAAAGTTGTCTGCCCCCTCGAGGCTGACATAGCTTCCCTTGCAGTTGGCCTCAGTGTACACCTTGCAGTCGAAGCAGCTCACAAGGGACTTGGTGTCGTCAGAGTAGACATCAAAGTACTTGATGTTGCCGGGAAGATTGTAGCATTTTCCGGGTTTTCCAACGCCAGTGTAGTACTTGCCGCGCTTGATCTTGAGCTTGATGAGATCGATGCCGGGGTTGCAATGATCATCGCGGGTTTCGAGGGTGTTGTCTTCTTCAATGGCCATGGCGTTGACGGCGCCGAGGCTGAGGGTGATGATGGAGATGAGGGAGGAGAGATGCATTTTGTTTGTGTTGGGCTGTTGAGATGATGGAGTTGATTCTTGTTATGGATGAGATGCTTTAATGATTGTTGATTGTTTGTGATGATGGTTTTCGCCAGAGAGCCGGGAAACACTCGAGTATTTATGCTCTCGTCTGTACATGCTTTTTAAATAATCTCACTTATTCTTCCATCCACATTTAGCAGCCATTCTCACCCAAGGGTGCGAGTCTGCAACCAGCAACCTGTGAATAGACAAACATCCCGCTTGCCGACGGCGAGGAGCGAGGTAGGACTTTTCTGGTGGCTCAAATATAATTAAGGTTATTGATAGTGACATCTCTCCGTTCAAAAGCGCTGCTGATTTCTTCGGAGCCTGTTGTGTTCCATTTCTGCTGTCAACTATTAATAGTGTCGCGCCTCCGTCGGAAAGCGCGGAGAAATCATTCGGAGTCACTCTCACACCAAAACCGCTGTCAGCTATACTCTAACTGCTTTATGTGATCAATATACTTGTATTTATTCGACTTTGGACTTTAAAGTCCCGCGCGAAAAGGCAAAGATCTATTCCTGGACAATGTCTTAGGTTGCTTGATTCTGTTCTAGGGTGTCATCAAGAGATATCGATACGAAGAACACAGAAGAGAGTCCTACCACAGCCCCATGCCAAGCTGAACCGAAGTTCTATTGTCATCCATTCCCCAGAGTTGGTCATTTTAGCTAATCTTTCTAGACTGCTAGCCAAGAGGCATTCGAAACGGCACCCACGGCAGACACCTTGGAATTCCTGATCAGTCTTCGATACTCTTCGATCTTGGAAATTCCGACCACGACCAACTCCTCTTCCACCTCTGGGGCGAGACCGCTCTTCCAGAGACTAATCACTCCGTTGATCTGTTGATCATCAATGGTAACTGACATCATAAGGCTCGTATTGTCCCTCAGCTCCCATGAAGCTTTGCCGTAAGCAACCATTCCCGTCGGCTTCCAATGCACTTCGCCAAGACCACCACCCGCAGTAAACTTTCCTTCAGCCCCCTTCATAGTGATGCTGCGGCCGTTCTGTGAGAAGTTGACCTCCGTCTTGGGAGGGAGGCTGTGAAAGTCCATCATGGCTACCTCCGCATTCTGACTGAGAGATTTGACGTAGCATTTGTCTCCCCAGATTTCCAGAACAGCTCGTCGTGTGACTTCGTAGCGAGGTTCTTTTTCGCCTTTAATTCCCAAAATTCGGCGGTGTCCGACAAGAGCGGTGTAGTGCATTTCCAGCGCAGGCTTTTCCGCGCTTCGTCGAGGGTCTGGGGTTGCGTCCACGCGGACAATGAACTTTTCGAGCCATGAAGGAGCCATTTTAGAGTCAAAGTGCTGGTTTAAATAGAGTTTGCAGAGCTTGGGTAGGAACTCAGGAATAGATAAAAAGTATGTCTTGGGGTGATCCAAGCGCTACCATCTTGAAACGAGAAATCATGAGGTTGAATGTTCGCTTACCCTCGCAGAACAAAAGCCTAACTTGACAGGGCTTAGACATTTCCATTACGGTGCAGTCTTACGTACCTAAAATATCATGCCCTTGTTACGGGATGAGACTTAATCCCGGGGCTATGCTATTCTCTTCTTTCTTTCTAAGATCCCTGCGTTAGACAGGGAATTAAATCGCTCTATTCGAAATATATTTGAGGATTTTCGTTAACTATATCTTGCGGCAGAAAGTACATCCAGGGCGGAGGCCTTCGTGAAAAAGATAGAACAAATGAACAATTGCGGGAACAAGTTATTCTTTGTCCATTAGCTCCAAACAGAACCTGAAATCCTCACAAGTGGCTTGTTTACTTCAAACAAAAACGAACACTTTATTTCTGGTCGCTAGAACAGTGTCATAAAGCTTTTGAAGATGGCGATTAGATGAGGCGTATATCTGGTATAAAATAAGCCAAGCCGTCGGGACTTGGGAGTTGCTACAAGATCATCCAACTTTGACCGGCTCATTCATCTGGACTAATTTTCAACATATATGAAGCCTCTTTCTAGGTCGGTACGACAGTTTCCAGAAGACAAACCCGATCAAGCCATCATGCCTTCCAGCAACGATTGGAATCAAACAGGACCAGGTAGACGATATCGGCCTAAACCATTCGATTTCAGTTACATCCTAAGCCCGTACCCTCCAGTTGACAGCCATCTAGCTAATTCACTTGACAATCTATCCCTCGCGGATGACATGATCACCGAAACCACCAGTCAAGATGCTGGTCTCGCCGATGAGCCTGTGATATGTTCCAGACGCTCGTGCCGCAATCCAGCCCGAACAAATCACAAGCAATGCGGCAACTGCATAGATAAACACGCGGCTCAAAAAAGAGCTCGTGTTCAACAACGTCGGAACCAGGGCATCAAAGATCCGATCACTGGCGAGATAACCAAACGATGCGCCGATTGTGGCGTACCAGCTGTCAAGTACAGATGTGGCCGTTGCGGTAAGAAGAAAAATGCTTCGAACCAGGCCGTCTATTCTAAACGGCGTGGGAAGGGTGTATGTACGAGGTGCGGCAGGGAGAGGGACAGAGCGGGGTCCTGTTGCAAAAGGTGTCTGAATGGTGAGAAATCTCGCTACAACCAGAACAGGAAATCGACAGGGTAAAGAATAGGCTGTTGGAACAATTAAAGTCACTACTGTGTATAGACAGTAGGTTCTAGAGCTAGAAATATCAGTTCTGAAGTATGAAGATAGCGTTATGTAGCAAGCCTTTTCAAACAAATTTCATCTTTTCCCTATAGCTCAAAATCTATCATTCCAGTTATTCACGACGTGAGTTCCACTCCCGATCAAAGTTCGTCAATGCTCTCTGCGCCGTAGGAACACAATCCAGTGCCTTGATAGATACCCTAGGCGGTAAGCTCAACATGTACAGCACCGACTGTGCTAGATCCTCTGCTACCAAAGGCTCGTATCCTTCGACAAATTCATCCATAGCACTCTGGTCATACTGGACTCTTTGAAGATGGAAATGAGTCTGGACAACACCGGGCCGAAGAACTAGAACTCGGATATCTGATCCGGCGGTCTCCATTCGAAGACTGTTGGAAAAGCCCTCGAGGAATGCTTTTGAGGCGTGATATACTGCTTCGCCGTTGAATGGTGGACATTCTAGGCCTGTAACGGATGATACATTTATAATGGTTCCTTTCTTTCGTTCCCACATTGACTGATTGAGGACTGCGTGGGTGGTGAACATGACGCCGTTGATGTTGGTGTTTGACATTTGGGCGACTTGATCGATGGGGATCTCCCAGAAACGTCCGGGGGCGCCAAGTGCAAGTCCGGCCTGGGAGATTGTTAGCACTCAGCAATCAGCCTTACAGACACATAGTACACTCACATTGTTGATCAGGATGTCAATCTGACCAAGCTCAGATATGGCTGACTTGACTGCTTTTTCAATGTCGGGTTGGTTTTGGATGTCGACTGGGTAGACTCCAACTTTGATGTTCGAGAATTTGGAAGTGATCTTGTCTCGTACTGCATCAAGCTTATCCTTCATCAAGGAGATCCATTAGTGAACGGCCTAGGTTCTCGTTTGATCGATCCGCACCTTGCTTCGAGATACCAAGGCAAGGTTGACGCCGTGCTCAGCCAACGCCAAGGCGATGGCCTCACCAATGCCCATAGAGGCTCCAGTCTATGCATATAATTAGCATCCCGAAGATCCACTGCCGATGGGTACGAACGATAAAAGCGGTTTGTCCCTTCAAGGCCTCCATGTTGTCCTAAGATGTGATAGCAAGAGCTCAACTGATATGGTGAATCAAGCGAGGCGTACACTGCGGTATTTATGTCTCTAAAATCAAGGGGTCCGTCTCCAGCTGATAAATCAGCTTCGAGTTCATCATATTGTAGCCAAAACAAGGTCCATAGTGACGTCGACGATGACTAATGAGGATAGTCTCAACTCGTATCAGATCCGAGTACTCGGAAAGCACCATGTTAAAAATCTGGAGCCACACTATATTAAGTTCGATAGGCTTACATCGTAATAGGGAAAACCTTTTCTTTTATTCTCTCTCGTCCTTTTTCACGGCGTCCGCTTGTGCAGGCTTAGTGATGAAACTCATGATGCCGAGATGTCACGGAAGCGGGGTAGCTCAACAACGGTCTTCACGTTGGAGTGTATCAAATAGGCTGCCATGGCACAGCCAAAAGACGCTCAGTCTAGTAAAGACCCGCAAGCCTTCTTCTTGAGAATCTCGCGTCAGGAATCCATTAGTTAAGCACGACCTAATCACGTTCTCGAGCAAAGTGCCAACCGCCTCTAGTCAGCGTAGATACTTGCGAAATTCCCGATGCACGATTCTGAACATCTTGTCGTCTGGGTCGTGACTGAAGTAGGGTGTTTGATTAAATACAACGAACGCTAATATAGCTCATCAAATTGCAAGGGATAAGAGAAGAACCCTATCGGGCAACCTTTTTGCAATCACTGTTCGCCCAGCTGTGACAAGGTGCAGACGGAGAAAGATGATAGGAGAAAGGAAACAATGGAAACTTGTTGGGCGCATCAGATCGTAGAAACTCTCCAGGCATAATCTCTCATCAAGAGCTATTCTTCAAACAAACAATAAAAGAAATCTATATATATACACTGTCGCCCAACGTTACCGTCCTTCTCCAAATGTACACCATTTCATACTAATCCGATGAAAAGGCCTTCGGATATAGCTCAACCATCCTATCATACGCCTTCTGAGTCTTGCCCTTAAGATCCCATCCCGCAGTCTCGTCCACCGTATCAGCAACCTCTCTAAGCTTCCCCGCCCAAAGCTTCCACTTCTCCGCATCCAAATCATATCGCCTTTCTGGCGAAGATATCTTGGCATCCTTTGCAAACGCCTCACCCGCAAGGAGGATGTAGTTCGCAACAGCAAGAATCTGTGATTGTCTGACAGGATGCTTTGTGTAGTCGCCGTCTGTATGTGTCTCAAAGGCTCTTATGAAGTCGGCAGATAGCCAGAGGGGGCCATACGCGCCGAGGAGATCTGCTTGAAAGAGCTTGGCGATGAGAGCTGTTGTGCTGAGCCATGTATCTATAGCTCCATCTACAGCTGGCCCTTCGCGATCCAAGCGCCCTGCATCAACTTCATGAGATGTTAGCATTTAAACATATTGGATTTTGGTTGGAGGGAAATTGCGTACTGTGACAGGCATTCCATCTCTCTACCGCGGCTGCTTGAATTCCCCAGCTCCAACAGACAAAACGAGGATCCTACAAAATGGTCAGTTTATCCAAGTTGGGTACAAATTTTCACGTCATACCTTCTCATCAAACATATCCGCACCATTCTTTGCGATACCAATCAAGAATTTGGAGAGCATGTCTTGCTTGGGGTCTGTGAAAGGGATTTTGGCGACTAATTCGAACACAATTACCGCGATGCTGTTTAGATATCCGCCAGCATCATATTCTGGGGGCTCCCTCCCGCCAAAGTCTTCTCCAGAGAATCCAGCGACGTAATGATCGTAGAACTTTTGAATGGCTTCTGAGACTGCTTTATCTGGGTCCTCTTCTGAAATGAGCATGTCGCGAACAATCTCGTAGTAGATGGCTTCTGAATCAATCTCATCTTCCTCCTCTTCTATCATTTGCTCGATGTACTTGAGCCACGTGGGGCTATCGGAGGATTCTTGTTGCTCGGTCATAATGAGTTGTTGGGAACAAGTGTGAGGGAGGGGCTAACTGATTGAGAGATGATTTAGCTTCTGGTGCAACAAGCGAGTGAAAATAAAACAAGATGATAGAGGAATAAAGAAGAACGAACAATGTTCTTTCTGGATGATATGGGCAAACACGCAAGGCAGTTTGTGAGGCTGAGTATGAGTGAGTGGTCTCGTTGCGGTCTTTTGGTTAGGCGCTGAGGTTTGCTGCGCCTTGCCATCGCCCAATCACATTCGCAGCACCACAAACGCGCGGTAATTCTCAACTGAAACAAGGACAGGGCTCATTCGGTATCTCGGCAGATCACTATCAAGAACTTTTGCAGGAAGAACATCATATCATGATAGTGAATAGAACCAATAATTTTACAGCGTTGCGGTTTGATTTTTTTAATATGGCCCGGCAATTTGGCCTCAAGAATCGCGCATCATCGAGCGAGGATTTTGGTAACAAAGAAATAATACTACACTGCCATTCCACGTTGTCTCTTGCATTATTAGGCACAAGAAGGAAAATTATCGCTTTAGACTGAAGCCTCTTTTACTTGCATCTGATCGCCTTGCTTTCTCTTCCCCGTGCCGGTAAATGACCTCTTGTGCCTCGTCCAGGCCATGGTTGCATTCACATGTGAAGAGAATTGTGATGTCGGGTTTAAGCGCGCGTAACATAAACGAACAGTTCGCAGCCGCGTAAACCTATCACTATCTCGTAGAAGCGCTTGCAGGAACCTTCCGGGGTATTAGCAGGGGAATATGGGCCTTAACATTGGGACACTTTTGTCTCAGGTGTTATGCATGTTGGTTCTACAGTTTCCAAAATTATGCCTCGCTTCGCCGAATAATCAGCAGATAATGGTCTCTTCCTTGGGCCAACAACTTCAATGGCTTTCTGTATCTAAAAGCTCCTTCATCGTTTGGTTATATAAACTGGCGGCCTCCATCTTCCAAGGTGATCGGCTCTTCAGACTATCGCTCATCACACAATTCTCCAAAGCCATCGCCGGTCGATTGGCCATCTGTTTCCGTCCAAGAAGCCTTTAGCATTGTTCTTTCTGTCTATTCTCTTGTCATCATCCTTTACTTTCGGCATTTCAAGTCGCAATTACCGTCACTCTTCTCCCACAATTTCTCCGTTGTTGAAGTATACCATCCATCATGAGTCGCTTCTTTGGCCTCGGTAGTAAGAAGGAGCCGAGGCGTAGCACTGATGAGGACATGAGCAAAATGGTACGTCACAATTCCTTTACCAACCGTACTTCTGTCCAATTCCACCTTTGCCTTTGAATCTTCTACCCCAACGCTGTTTCTTATGCTGACTACCTATTTGCAGCAATACTACACCCCTCGCGGCAGCATTCCCGCTACGGTCGTAGAAGAGCAAGTCCGCCAAGTCGTAATTGACCCAAACGACGACAGCACCAACGGTCCTTACCCTCATGTCTACATGAACCGAGAACCGACCAGTACCGCACCAGACGGAGCCATCTTTCAAAGATTTGAGCAGAGAAACCGCCCAAACGATACATCTCTGCACGAAGTCCCTGTCAACTGCCGCATGGATCTCAACAAAAAGTCCGCGCCTTTCATGAAAGTCAAGAGACGCGAGGAAAGACCCACTGATCCTCGCGACAGAGGACGGGTTGTTCAGAATGAACTCAACACCCCCGGTCCTTTCCGAGGCGTTGTCGCTGTTGATAGAAACACGGGCCAATCTCATGGTGTTGCTGGTGTCATGTACCATCCTCAGGGAAGGAGGTTGGCTTTTCAGAGGGCGCAGATGGAGCCGTTGGATCGCGAGGGTAGACAGTATATGCGTCGGTTTGCGGATGATGCTGCTGATCCTCATCGCGTGACGACTTGGCCTCCGAGAGATGAGGACAGTGAAGATCTAACGACTTATGAGAATCGGTATCAGCAGGTTAGAAGGACTCGACCGCCTCAGCAGACTAAGGCTGGGAGGCAAAAGGTGCAGGGTCAGTGAGTTAGTTTCTGGTATGTTGATTTTGGAATACTGTTTTGTGTAGATATCTGGCAGCATAATGGACAAGACGTTGGGTATTGACTTTGGCAGCGCCATACTTAACCGTATTGTTGTGATTACATTGTTATAAGAAGAAACGACTTCAAACTTTCCTCCATCAGCTCCTGAGACCCAATATCGCTACACAGATATAGTCAGTTGTGGTTCTCCTTAGAGAGTATAGGGAGCAGCCTTTCATACAATCTTAATCTTCTGGAAGTCTACCTTCTGAGCAGCTTCGCCATACATCACACCGTGCACATAACTCTCCCCAATCAAGATCCATCCCTGCCCCTTACGAAACACAAATGGCACATGAGCCTCAGCAACCAAACTCACAACATCGCCGACTTCCGTCCTTGCTGGTCCTAGCCCCAAATATCCTTTCTCCGTAACGAAAAGCACCCTCTCAGCCCCAGCATCATCCACCGCAACCGCAAAGATGTCTCCCTCCTCTGGATCAGGTTTGTGCTTCGATCGAAGATCATGTTTTGCATCAGAGGCAGAGTCTGAGATGCGGGCCAGGTAATTGGCAAAGTGGTCGCTGCAAGCATCAGGTGCAGGATGAGTGGTGAGCCAGATGTTGGTCAAAAGCGTTCGCCACAGCGCCTCGGGGACAGTTGTCGAAGTTTGGGGCGGGTAAGTTATGTCGGCGAGGCGGGTCCTCCCTGGATACCATGACCGAAGGCTCTTGTAGAACGCCTTCTCCTCTTCTTTCTTCTTAGGCAGGGGAGCAATCTTGGTGATTCTATCCAAGATATGAGCGCCCACCGACAACGTTCTTCCGTTCTCGGACAACGAATAATCGCTCTTTACACTAGACGCAGCGTGAAAGACTCGCCAACCGTGATCATACAGTGGCCTACCCCGAGCCTTTTGGGCTTTCATCTCCTTTAAAAACAGTGGCTCGGTCGCAACGGCGCTCGCCATTTTCGGAACCCAACTTGGGTAGCCAACTCCCTTTCCGGACCAGTCTGGCTGGAGGGCATCGTCAAAGATGTCTTCTTCCAGCGGCGCCCAATCTGGCTTCTTCGAAGGGAAACGCTTCTTGGCCTTATGCTTATCTAGTAATCTGTTGCCGATTGGCTTTGATGATGTGAACTTGTAAGATTCTCGGGGCAGAGGATGGTTGACTAGAGATAGAACGAGAAGACCTGCGTCACCTTTTATGAGACGTTGCGCTATGTCGAGGTAGAAGTCGCCCATATTTCGGTTACTGTAGTCTGGCTTGAGAGGTGTCTGACCAAGAGTTGTTGGGTCAGTGATACCGAGAAATGCCCAGACCTTGTCACGCGGATCACCTGCCATTCTCGTCGCCCCAAGAAGTGTCACGTCAAGAAGATGAAGTTTCGCGGCACTCTTCTTCAAGTCAAACATCGAAGGCTGGAAAGTAACCCAATGAGGTACCATCTTCGGCGACAAGTGATTAGCAACGAAGTAGGTCCAATCCATCGCCTTTTTCAACTCTGACGCAGGGACTTCTTCTCCATCGTAGTAGAAAGAGTAGTTTTTGGCAAGAATGAATTCTTGAACAGTCCATACTCGACTCCACCAACTTTCGGTGACGATTCGAAGAAGATTTAGCCATGATATAAGCTCTGAGCCTGTTGACGTTGCATCGAAGAATGCTTTTGCAGTCGCGTACTTCTTCCCGTGGAATTGGATGTCGGCATTGTTTGGGTCCTCTGGAAAGGCAGGCCATGCTTTCAGAATGCTCATCGCAGCGGTTCGCTCGGTATGTTTTCTACCCAGCCAAATAAATACTTTCTCGGCTGCACTATAGATCTCATCCATACGAGCTACCTGGACAGTTTTTTCATCCGGGTTTTCCTGGTTGATGCAGATAGCGTCGGTCCAGATAGGTCTGCCGTTGAGGTATTTGTGCAAACCGAGCAGGGCAGCGTGTAGATTAGCTCCGATAGGAAATATTCGGCTATTGATCGCTATATCGACGTTATCGGCATGACTGAAGTGAGGGACCTCAAGCTCAGTCTCGCGAAAGTCACGGCCACGATTCCACATAGGACCAAAGTCAACCCAGACGTAAGAGAGGCAGACATAAGGCGGGATCTCAGAGGATGAATAGGTTCGCAGGTTCAAAGAAAGGATAGAGTCCTTCACTTCTACTTGAACAAGACGAATTCCTTTCGGATCTTGAAGCGGCGAGTGAACCAGCTTTTCTGTTGGCAAGTCCTATCTCAGATCCTGATTAGCGTAATGTTCAGAACCTCGGGGCATTGTATCTTACCGGCTTTTTGCTCGAAGAGCCTTGAAGACTTGAAAAGAAGCCACTTATCCTTTCTTGGCCTGACTGGAAGGCGGCTTTATAGCCTGCTTTGACCCCCTCAGCTGTTGAGTAATCCACTGCCCATTTCGCCAGGGCTACGAATGCGTCGCTGCTGTTTTCAGCTCTGAACTTGGGATCGCGAGGGATCCGGGCTTCGAATGGTATATCCATAGAAGTTTAGAAAGATAAAAGCTGATTGACTTGCTGTCAAGTAAAATTCGTGGAAGGTGATCATTCTTGGAGAGGCATTGAATCTCACGGCTTACTTTCTGGTGATCCCCTCAGCTGTGACGTAATTGTGCTTCTCTTGCCCGAATAAGGAGGCTTAGCATTGTTTCACAGATGATTTCATTGTCATACTTCCTCAACTGATGCCTTGCCTTCTTGAATATTGCTGTGACGGATGAAAGATATTGTCAGCTCTTTCAATTTCATCCACTAGTCTATTGCCAAGAACTCTCGGGCCGCAGGCGCAGGTACAGAGCTTAAGTTGAGCGTGGAGCCTTCAGCGGCGCAGCACCACTAAAGCTGAGCGCTGAATAGCCGCCCCAATCCACTAATTTTAAGCCTGGGACTATAAGAGATGCCCACTAACTTTAATCTGCCTGCAGGTGGTTTTTATTTGCTGATGGAGAGAACTTTCCTGGTCTTGACTTGAAGATTTGTATCGTAGCTAGATTCATCGCGTTACTTGTCAGCGATGTGAGATTCACTCCATGTCCTTTTGAATGGCAACGTCACGCAGAGAACCGTAATATCTATTAGTCATGGCTGTCGGTGTTCTCAATGAGTAAGGCTTGAAGATAAGCTTTTATTACCGTTCACATTCACGTGTCACAACTGTCACTTCAACGGTCGGTGTAACCATCAATGGAAAACTCCATAAGTGGAAGATACCGTAAGGTTTTATCCTCGACTCACGTTCCAAGATGAGTCCTCAGTTCTGGCTAAACATGCCATCATCCCATGTTCTGTTCTCCGCAACACTAGACCCTGTCAGGAGCCTTGTCTGAGCCAGTCACGTCTCCACGTGCGCTCCAATTAAACCGCGTAATTTCCAACCTCAGAACCATCCTCCATCAACTTACTGCCTTCCGCTTCAGTATATATAATGACGCTTTCCCGGTTCCGATGCAGAGGAAGACTGCTCATCCTCACAGCAGTCTTCTCCTTCGGCACTTTCTTCGTCTTGAGGCAATACGCAGATATGGCGTCCCTACCAAAAAGCTCGTTACTCGGCCTCCTTGCGGCAGCGCCGGTACTGGGAAATGATCCGAATATGGAGTGGTTTCCTCCGAGCTCTAGTCAAGTCAATGATCTTGACAAGGTGCTGGACGGGAAGGGTACTTGGGGCTTCATTTATGACTCGTCGCATACGCCGGATGACAAGTATGGGACGTATAATTGGTGTAACATGCCTCATGCGAGGAAGAGGGAGTATAAGAAGGCTTCGAAAGGATATGAGTTGCAATATGTCGAAGTGGTAAGTAATTTCTTTCGGGCGAGAAACTATGATATGACTGACATTTGCTAGATTCAAAGACATCATAAGCGTACTCCTTACGCAGCCAACGCTTTCCCAGTTGAGCCATACCAATGGAACTGCGATAACCAAGGCCTCTACTACTTCGGCCGCCAATTCACTGAATCGCCCAAACCCAACGCCCAAGGCTACTGGAAAGGTTTCACCTCCGAAATCAACCCCTTCATCCCCTCCGGATGGATCGGATCCTGTCAATTTCCCCAAATCACTGCCGAAGGTCTCGATGATTCTTGGGTCCACGGAAAAGACCTATACGAGGTCTACCATGACCTTCTGAAATTCATCCCAGGTCGCAAGGAAGATTGGCGTAGTAAGGTCATGTTTAGAGTTACCAATAACCAAATTACGAGTCAGGTTGCTGGTATGTTCATCAACGGCATGTATCAGACCACCGAATCTGTTCCGCTGCTTATCCAACAAGCTGGCGTGGATAGTCTGGAGCCGCAGTATAAATGCGCGGTAGGGAGCAAATTGACTAACGCTATCAAGTCATCTTCCAATAAAGCCTGGCAGAAGCATCTTGATAAGACCAAGGATCTTTACAAGACGCTCGACGGCATCTCCGGTGTACCATCTGATGATGTTGGTTTCCACGAGAGTTTCGATCATTACTACGACAACCTCTCCGCTCGCCAATGCCACAAGAAGCCCTTCCCCTGCAAATTAATCAACGGAAAGAACTCAACCACCTGCGTTGACCAAAAACTCGCTGACACAGTCTACCGTCTCGGCCAATGGGAATACTCCCAAATCTACCGCGACGCACCCGAATCCCTCGCCGCATCCGCTACATCCTGGGGCGTATGGATCGCCGAGCTGGCAAGCCACTTCCGCGCCGTCATGGCCGGCAAGCAAGATCTTTTATACTTACATAACTTTGCCCACGATGGTTCTATCAGTCGCTTGTTGAGTATTCTTCAGATCGACGTGATGGTTTGGCCGGGTATGGGGAGTGAAGTCGTTTTCGAGCTGTATAAGAAGAAGGAGGAGTATTTTGTTAGGGTTCTTTGGAGTGGAAAGACGTTGACGTCTACGCATCCGGACTTGGGGAGGATGGAGATGGTGCCTGTGAAGACGTTACTGAAGTATTTTGATGGGTTGACGGGGAAGGATGCTAGTCTTGTTAAGGGACGATGCTCTGGGGATATTCCTTTGTGAAATGGCACTTTATGATTTCACTTAATGTTAGTCCTCAGTATCATTGGCCAGCTTGTATGGATACGTTGCTAGGCAGACAGTTACACAAGTTTTCTGAATAACAAAAACATGTCAACAAGGTAGTACAGCTTGCAAAAAACCGTTTGTTGTTTTTCAAACGCAATCTAGTAGCCTGCTGCGGGCCTTGTGAGGCCAATCAAAGCTTAATATCTCCCTAAACCAAATTACTTTCAACCACCACTCGCGTCCTCATCAACCCATACCTAAACTTACGGTCACCCGGTTTCTATATTGGAAGTCGCATCTCAAGTTCAGTCTATCTATCCCAGAACCCATTCCCAACCCCAAGACTATGACATCAACCTAACGAGGCCGAAAATGCCTTACTGTCCTCCTTGCGACAGGCACTTCCGCCTGGAGAACTCTCTAGACCAACACATCCGAGCCATACACCCTCGAACGTATTGTTGGCGTTGTGAGAGACACTTCCCTCATGAACGTGCGAAAGAACAGCACATCGAGAACTCTTTACGACACCATGTCTGCACTCGCTGCTATCATGAGCCTGACTTCCACTCCGCTCAAGATCTGGATGATCATCTGATAGAAGATCATTATGCTTGTATTCCATGCCAGGAATTCTTCGATGATGATGACGATCTTTTGGAGCATGATGTGGACGTTCATTATAAATGCCGAACCTGCGGTCGATTCTTCAATTCACGATCTAACCTGATCAACGTAGGTTTCCCCGTCTACTGTCCTATCTTCTTCACTTCATACTTATCTGTACATAGCATCGCAAGATCCACGCAGCAAGGAATGTCGAATGTCTCGGTTGTAGTAGAATGTTCATCTCCCATTCGGCCATGATGCTCCATCTTGAAGCGAACACTTGCGAGTCGGGTTCAGACCAAGAGTCTATCAGAGAGTTGGTATGGGAGTACTACGAGATCAATGGGCGCTGGAATCATGACCATGACGATGACTTTGACTGCTATTACTGCGGAGCGGGTTTTAACCAGTTGAGCGCTCTACTACAGCATATTGAGAGTGAGAACTGTCACGCAAGGATCTCGAACTATGATTCCCTTTTCGATCATATAGAGAAAAGTATTTTCAATAGCTAAGATCTCTAGAATGGCCTATGTTTCCATAGTACAGTGGTGGTGCAGTGGAATTTCACATCGCGGGGTCTGGTTATGTTGTTTGGATTAGAGGAGTAATCGAGCGACTACCCGTCCACAAGAAATAGACATTCTTGACTATTGGAGCCCATATTAGTACTTCAGGAGAGAAACAAAGTTAAACAAGGCAAAAGGGCATTCGATAAAATACTAATAGAATATGCGTTGCCCAATAGGCCTGTTTTCAGTAATTGAAGTTCGGGAGTCCAGGATAGGTCAGTTTTCTAGCCGCGTGTCAAAGGATAAATATTGGTTATTGTCCCGCCGACGATCCCGCTGATTAGGGGTTAGCTGAAACCCAATCATAGACTGCAATCGCGAACATCCTCATTAGAAAAAGTAACGTTGATTTGTTGGCAACAGCGATAAAAACGTCCCTAGTCTCCACGCAAACTCCATTTTCTCTTTGTTACACTCAAGCAAGGCCCACTGAACCGCTAAGACTACAGCTGCCTCATTTACTGCCATCATGGAGCGTGCACGCAAGCGCATTAAGCTTGAAGAAGGTGAACCTTCATTCTCCGCCAACGAGTGCACAGTCATCGACGCGCCATATGAGCCTCAACATGGCGGTGCGCATGTCAAGGAAGAGCAGATTTCCGAGGCAAATGAATCTGGATTAGAAGAGTCGGGCTCGGAAGGGACAGAAGAATACCAGTCGTGCGAATCAGGCGGCGAAGAAGAATCCGACTCAGGATCTGAAGTTGCTCAGGGTTCGAAGCATAATCAGTCAACCTCGGAGGCAAACACAGTCTCCGATCCATATTGCAGCGAGTGTTGCAAATCATTCCAAAGCAGTGCAGATAAAGAACGTCACAACTCCAAATGGCATTACGATTGCATATGTTATGCATGCGATGAAGGATTCCCCTCTCAGCTAGAGTTTCAAAAGGTTAGCCTCCTCCCTCAGACAGGCCGAATTGCTGATCTGACCGATCCTCTAGCATAAAAGCAGCCATACAAAACTCCGATTTGCTGCATCGGTTGCGAGAAACGGTTTCCAACTTACTCAAAAATGATGGATCATCTTGAGAACGGCACATGCAAATCGGGTTGTACCTCTCGACTTGTCGACAGCGTTGTAGCAACGCACTGCGAGGGTCTTCACCAATCGTCAAGTCGCAGCATAAATCTCCGATGCCCAACTTGCAAGAAGAAGTACGCACGGATGGGTCCCCTCTTTAGACATTTCGAGAACAGAGCCTGTGCTTTACGAGACTGGATCGAAGAAACAGGCTTGAAAGACCTCCTCATCGCTCTCAAGGAACCAATTGAGAAGAGAAAAACCTCAACCTTCAAATGCAACGTCTGCCGCAAGAATTTCGCGAAACATTCAGCGCTGCTGCAGCACCAGAGAGATAAGCATCAGCACACTTACTGTTGTGTCTGTAAGACAAACTTTGGCAATGCAGCGGCGAAACAGAAGCATGTCATATCAGGCACTCCTGTCAAGCCTGGGACGTATCTCTGCGATCACTGTGATCCCAAAGTTCCTTTTGGAACGGAAAAGGAGTTATGCGACCATTTATGGCTGGAGCATATGGCGTGTGGTCCTTGCGGGCGAACTTTTAAGAGCGTTGAGCATAGAAAACAGCACGATGCAGAGCTTCACTATAGGTGTGCTCTCTGTTACAGATTTTTCATGTCCAGTGTGGAACTTTACGAGGTGAGTGTTCTAAGTACTTCCATACCACTGTGTAAATTTTCTAAAAGGTCTTGTCAGCACCGCGAGACTCATGTTGTTAGGCCCCCGGTTGTCGACCCACCGGTGGAAGTTCCAGCACCGGTGAAGAGAGAACCGACTCCTCCAACTACCATCCCGGCACCTATACCAGTGAAGATGGAAATACGCCAAGCAGTACCTATCAGCAGGGTCGCTCCTGTAGTGACAGAAAGGGTTCCTGTGAAAACAGAGGTTATCCCAGTAACTCGAGTTACACCGACTACAAGGCCGGTGATATTTAAGACATATCCGCCCAGAGCAACACCTGCACAGGTGCCTGAGAATAAGAAGATTCAGTCTCTGATCACAGGCTTTTTGATTCGTAAGTCATAGGAAGCTTGGATGAGTAACGGGAGGATCATGGACACGAAGCGAAGCGTTACATTTCAGATGGATTTAGAACATACAAACGGCTCAAGTTTCGGGCTTCATTCAAGTCAGATATATAACAGAATATACAATACACCTTGCTACATAAGTTAATTATTAATTGCGAATAATGATCTCATGCTGTCTGTGGGATTGCCCCAAGTCTGCCCATACAAATGACAGTGCTTCGTAACTTCCTAGAGAATCGACAGGAACTTCTTCGAGTTTGCCTTTCAGTGAATCATCAGGTTGACCCGGTTCTAGCAAAATAATTCGAACAGCCCCAAACTTCTTCAGTGGGGGATATTTGTATTGAGATAGAGCAGCTGAAAAGGACGAGTTGGAGCGCACGGTTCCCTTGATAGAACACATGCTGAAGTTGCAATTTAATGAAACAAACCAACAGCCAACAGCCCACCTGGTGCCATGGAGTGGGTTCCAAGGTATATCTTGGCTTCTCAACCGAGAAAGCTCACTATGTCAGCATTGTCAGCATTGCTATATTTCTGCCTAACATATGTGATGCAGAGTCCCTTATCAGTCTGCCGCTGTATTGGTTACATATGAGGTATTTTCATCGGTACGCCAAGTTTTATGTGCCGTCCTTGTTTCGAATAAGCGCTTTCTTGTACCGTCTTCAGCCGCATTTCAACCTTAATAGGAACACACAAGATGACTGCAGCACACAAGAATGCGACTTCATGGCCAATTAGAAGAGCTTATCAGGGGATGTTGTTACGTCTCAATTTCGAGGCTGCGCTGGGAACCTGATGCGATTTCTGTTCAAAAGCTAGTTGACTTTTGCACGAAGCCTGGAAGACATTGGGGCCATGTTCCTGATATGATTCCGTATCGTGGAGTGGACTCTAAGAGAATCATTGAGGAGAATGATTTGTTGCAGACTAACCCTTTGAGCAATGATAGGTGTGATATTGCTTATCTGATCTTGTGTCAAATTGTGGATGATCTTGGGACTCGGGAGGAGTGTGATGCAAAAGAGGAGGAGAGTCGGTACTGGAATTCTGTGCCACATCAGCCAGGTTGGAGTCGATGAAATACATGTACTTCTATTTTATATTATATTTTCCTACACTTACTGTCTGTGTTGAATGCTCATTAGCGGGCCTCGACTTGTCTTGGAAACGTAGCGCCTATTGCAACGCTCACTGTTTCGACGGAGTAAATGGTGATTTCTGAACACCGGGCCCGTCAACACAAAAAAGAACACCAGAAGGATGGAACCAAATCAAAGCGTATTTGTGGTTTGTACACAAAGTGGTAAAAGGTCGCTTAAAGATGCATGCCATGCACCTCAATGCACTTTATCCATCCATGAGGCAGTGCTGCTCTGAGATAGTCAGTGAGCGCTCAGCTTACATCTACAGTGGAAAGCTGCCTTTAAATGAACTAAGAAGTATGCATAAAGCTCGTTGCTGACTAACTGGTTCGTGGAGCACGTTAATCCCCGAAATATCGTGCACAACCTTACGACCTTTCGGCGACAACGCAATGCCACCTTTCCGGCGATCAGTAAAAACAGATACGAGCCGTTCTACTAAGTGACATGCCGCCAAGACGCGATATCAACATATGGCGTTCGCAGTTTTAGATCAGGGGGAGCTCACAGCCTCAAATCATCAGAGTGTAATTCAGCTGACAGCCCAGTCAGAAATACTCTACCAATCACGAGCTAAGAGTGATGTACCAGCCTCAAGTTGGAGAAATGGCCCCCAAATCTCTCCCGTAGCTTGTATTTCAGGCACTTGTAGCAAATTTATCATACATAGCAGCCCCCAAGTGGCTTTCCCACCTATGTCATATTGACTGGCTGGGCAGGCAGAAGTGCAATTCAACGGTGTTGAGCTGTTAACAAGGCTCTCGGATTTAAAGGAAGAGGGAGGGAGCCCATATTTCCTTGCACTGCCATTGATATCATAGGATGAGCTGAAAGAGTGGCTGAAAAAAAGGGAGCGTCCTCCGCAGCCTGATAGACCAAATCTTCGGTTTATTTAAGCCGGACTTTAACTGCTTGGGGTCCCCATGTTCTCTCTTGAAACTGGTATTTCAACTCAATTGTCTTCCTAGTGTTCTCTTATTCATTGAATCCTGTTCCTTTCATAATCAGCAGACTTTGAACTCTTATTCTTGCAGAGCTATATCTGTTCATTTGCAATGGGGTTTCTCTCTCGTCTTTCTGGACAATCGAAACAGGCCCAGCAACAAAAAGAGAAACAAAGCTCACCCAAACTCCTATTCGTTGCATTTGATGGTAAGAAAAGTCTTTCAACAACTAAAGCTGGATTTATCACTAACCTCTACAGGTACCTGGCATGGTAGTGTCAAAAACTCGAAAGAGACTGTGGTATCTAGCCTGCCCGATCTCATCTCCAAGGGCGATGAAGTTCGGAAGATTCGTGTCAATGGAGTAGGTACTGATGGTTTAATTGACAAGATTCTCGGAGGTTGGTCACAACTATAGCTTTCCTCTTATTCTTTCATACCCTGGCTCACTTTTGGCAGGTCTTGGTGGTTGGGGTACACGTCGAAATGTCATAACCGCCTATAGTACGCTTCCAAGCTCTGTCCGTGGTGTTATTTTATGAGAAAGTCTTATAGTATCTAGGGAACATTGCAGATGATTACAACAAGGGTGATAGAATCATCTTTTGTGGCTACTCTCGAGGTAAGTCAGGAACCTCCGTTTGACCCGTGTGCAGATAATGACCGGAGATGATACTTAGGCGCATGGGCTGCTCGCTATCTAGCAATGATCATTGAATGTCTAGGCCTGGTTCGTGACGGCGACACAGAGTTCTTCAAGCGCTTGTATGACGCATGCAAGAAAGATCCGTATCTTACTAAGGCTAACAAGGATGAGCTACGACGCAATTATAAATGTTGGTGTTGTGTCCTTTCCTTTGAAAATGATTGTTAACGTGTTGAAGTCTGGGATGACATTCAAATTGACGCCTTGTGTTGTTTCGACACAGTTGGTTCTCTGGGTATCCCACTGTTTGGCATCACAAAGCCACTGTCTTACCTTCATCGAAGCAAGTATAAGACGAAGATTATCGACCATGTTCCAAACAGTGAGTGCTTATCAGTATCGAGGATCAAAATAGATCCCTTGATGAAATTGGACTTGGACATGAGCTAATACTTGAACCAGATGTGAGATATGCCTTTCATGCTTTGGCCTTGCACGAGACAAGAAGCCCTTATAGTCCGACTTATATGTGCGGACGCAACATCCACCAAGTCTTCTTTTTAGGCGATCATGGTAACATGGGCAAGCTTGGAGAACAAGAAGGTCTTGTGCATGCCCCTCTCGCATGGATGATCCAACAACTATCTTCCCATCTGAGTATCACTTTTGATGAGGATAAGCTCAAAAAGCGCTTCCCAAGCTGCGTTTCTGAAGGCCAAGCTGAAACAATATCTCGACACAGAACTCACGACACCACGCACGAGGTCATGATGAAACATGCCTGGTGTTGTCCTAGTGGTTCTATTTCTGGAGCTGGAGTGAGTAGACTAGTCATCATGGGTAGAAAAGACCGCAACCCGGGAATGGTTCTCAATTGCTGTGGTGCTGAATGCACCGATTCTGGTATTGACGAATCAACTCAACATGAGATTGCTTCCGCTCATGCCCAAGTGCATATCGGCGCTCGTGGACGTCAGGAATGTGGCTTCAGCGACGCAGTGCCTGGATATCTTGGTGTCCAGCCTATGGACCCGAAACAATTATTCTTCTGGAAGAGAAGAGCGACAGGCTAGCAGGAAGTGGTTGCTGCTGATATAATTCAGGAGGCCAAAGTAGGTTATCTGGAAGCAAGACTGTTGGGACTTCCTGAAGCAGCAGCCAGTCATCCAAGTTGCTGTGGCCTGAACCAATCGAGAGAGGATGACATTAATGCTGAAGTTTCAAGCGACAGAGACGAGGTTCAAGAGACGAAGGCTAGGAAAAGTGCACGAGATAGGGTAAGGAACTGGTTCCAGAGAGGCTTTGGTGCAAGTGTTTAAGTACTTATTGGTATAGACTATAGAATGCGCTTGGAATTCTATCCACATTCCACCTTGATGTAAATTGTTAAAGTCTTGAGCCAAAACAGACAATGCCCAGTATCTAATGTCTTCGAGTTTGGCTGAAACCATCATTTATTTGACTGTAACCAGCCCAGCCATCCTAGCCAACCCGACCACCTACCCTGGAGTTGGGTTTCCAATGTCGCGGCGGCAGACTAAGATGTCAACGCAAGGGGACGAAGCAACTGTGAAGTTATGCGTACAGCTGCTGCTGCCAGGAATCATGAAAATGTCAGTGCATATAATTAGAACTCATAAATTTATGCTGTTGGCTTCTAATATGATTCGCCAAGGTTCTATACTCGAGGCACTGTTAGACTTCGGTCGTAATGCCGATTGGCCAATCAGCTCATACGCTTTCAACTTCATCCGAATCCATTAATTGCTTTTGAAACCCCCTTTCATGACGTGCCCCAATCTGACCTGATGACCATCTCAGCTTTCCTTTCTAAACAACGAACCAAATCTATTGCACTGAAATCTCAAACATGGCCGACAATAATGCTAAACGGCCAGAAGCCAAATTGGCCACTTGCAATATCTGCAACAAGTCCTTTCCTCACAAGTCCTCACTCAGGCAACATCGTCAGGGCAAACATGCCGTCACAAATACAGACGGCGCCGAATCAAAACAGGGCGATCAGGTGGTAAACACATTCAAATGTGCAATCTACAATCAGTCATTCAGACTTGAGCTTTCTCTGAGAGAGCATCACGGGAGCAAGCACGCCTCTGAAGTCCCGGGTGCTTTCGCCAAACCCAGCTGTAGACAATGCAGCCCCGGCCAAACAAGAGGATCTGAAGCAGGAAAACAAAGATCAAGATTCTGAGACGACTGTTTTGAAATGTCATCTTTGCAACAGGTCTTTCAATAAACAACCTGCGCTTGACCAGCATAAGTCAGACAAGCATGGTGGTATTGGGAAGCAGGAGGTTAGGGATCACGAGGCTCCGAAACTAAAAAAGATAAAGTGGAACATTTGCAACAGATCTTTCGTTCATCTGAATGCACTTAAAGATCATCATAGGCACAAGCATGTTCCCAAAAAGACAAACGAGTCTGAAAAATGGCTTCCAAATGCCAGAGTGTTTGGACCCCCCCCTTCCTACAAGAAATAACACGAGGGATGAAAGTGAGAGTGGTCTTGCATTCAAAGTTTGTGAATGCATCCCTTGCCACAAAGCCTTTCGTTCTAGAACTGCATTCTTGCAACACGAAGACGCCAAGCACTCCATGGAAATGGCGGAAGCGACAGAGCCTGCATTTCTGGAAACGCAGGACCCAAAAGACACCGATGAACCCACCCATGTTCCCGTCGAGGTCGTAAGGTCAGGATTTAGATGCACACCGTGCAACGAGTCCTTCCGTTCTCAGTATATACTTGCGAAGCATTGGGAGAATGAGCATCTCAGGACGTGGTGGGATTTATTCGACGAGGCTAATGTCTCAGAAGTATCACTCACGTACTCCGAGTTCGAGGATTATGATAACTACGATGAGGATGACATGTACGACGACCTCATGGAGATAACGGCCAACCAGAACTCGTGGCGCTCCAAGAACAAGATCCACTGCATCACTTGCTGGAAGAAGTTCAAGACCTCGTCTGAGATGATGAATCACATGGAAATGGGCAAATGCCACTCCTACCTTGATAGGAGTTCGATCATCTCAGCTATCAAGAGTAGTGATGAGAAGGTGGCGGATGATAGAGGATATTCACGTTTAAGCTGGCGTTGGGTCTTTTGAATCGATTACCTAAGGATGCGACGGTGGTTGAGATACGAGGCAACTTCTTTTATATATGTATTTTTTCAATCAAATAATTATTTGTCTAGTTAAAACATTATCTCCAGCTTAAGTACCCATCTTGGGCCTATATGTACCAGAGAAGCAACGTCACCAGAGATCCAATTTGAGATAAACATAGTGAGGGTCTGGTCGGCAGTTTAAGTTTGGAGTATTTCTTGTGACTTTGCTTTGCTTTCATTCGATGCCACCTTATAGTGTCATAGTGGTCGTTCTGTTGCATCGTAGACTTCGAATCTGGTCGTGGCGCCGATTGGCCAATCAACTTTGACGCTTTATTCTTGATCCGCTTCCATTTATTTGCTTCTGAGACCCCATGTCAAGGCGTTCACCGTCTCCGTCTCCAATTCATCACAGACGCCCTTCTTTTTACTTCAATTTCCTGCTGTGGTGAATGTCCAACATGACCGACGATCATAATACTGCACAGGCTTCAGCTGCAAAGCCTGAAGCCAAACCGGTCAATTGCAATATCTGCAACAAGTCGTTTCCCCACAAAGGCTCACTCAGGCGACATCGACAGAGTAAACATCCCGTCAAGAAAGCAGAAGCAGACGCGCCTGAGCCAGAACAAGATGGTCAAGCGGCCAGCACATTCGATTGCGCGCTTTGCAACCAGGCATTTACGCGTCAATCTTCATTGAGACAGCATCAGCGGAGCAAGCATCGTACTGTGAAAACAGATGCTCCCGCCAAGGAAGAGGACAAGGCTCCAGACGTCGTGGAAGCAAAGACGATCAGCTGTGATGTTTGCGACAAGTTATTCACTAGTCGGAACTCACTTCGAAGGCATCTGAAGAGCAAACACGCTTCCGACAAGAAATGCAAGCGTCCGGCAAAGAGTTCAACACAAGATGAGAATGCGGAGCAAGAGCCTACCGAGGAGACTGCGACGCAAGAGTCTAAAGCCTCAGACACGCACCAATGTACGCTTTGCGACAAGAGCTTTCGTTTCAAATCGGCTCTTGTACAGCATGGACTCATCACGCATGCAATGGCAGACCACACTGTCGCTGAGAGTTCAGGTCAAGTAGTAAACGCAGCCGTCCCTACTGCAGACAAGAAAGCAGGGGATGTCGACGAGGATGATGAGAAGCCCTATTGTCAGACCTGCCAAAAGACATTCCGCCACGCTAAGGGACTTGCAGATCATAAACGAAACAAACATGGCATCGTCGAAACCGAAACCACCTCAAAGCAAGGTGTGCCTGAAAATCCAACCTTCAGATGCAGGCCGTGTGACAAGACCTTCCGTCTTTCGTCTTCACTTCGTCAGCATCAACGAGACAGCCATCCCGAGATGCACAGAAGAGAATTCTCAGAGGATGAGATAATGAGACAGTTACTGCGAATGGCAGTCCCACCATTTGGTGATGATGATGGTGATGATGTGGATGATGATGATGATCTCGATGAGTTTGGTTATGAGGACGACTCAGATGTTCCATTTTTATATGCTGGCCCTTTTGGATTCACAGGTCACGAACACGAACTCCCCACCGATATTGAAGCTGACGATACATACGACTCGGACCCTAACGCTCCATGCTGGCAATTATCAGATGACTCGGATGAGGATGATTTCGACGATGACTGGGAGGCATCATTTCGAGAGCACAGAAGAAGTCCTCCAATACTCTGCACACATTGCAACAAGTGTTTCCCCGTGTTGGCGTTCGAAGGACATCAATGGCATGCTCATGGCATCAGCAGCCCAGCTATCATAGATGTTCAAGCCAAGATCGCAAAGGACGATTCCTACGGCCCCAAACGCACCGTCTGCAAGTCGTACCCTAAGGCTAAGGATTTCCCCTTCTTCTTCGAGGCAAAGTATTTTCTTAGAGATTGCCATTACAAGAACTGTGGACAGTCTTTTGAAACTGGTACTGAACGGATTGCTCATGAGGTTGAGGCTCATAATCGTTGCATTACGTGCGAGCTGTACTTCAAGACCGAGTCTGCACTCGAGGTAAGTACTTAGTCTATGCATGCACAAATATCATAGTACTGACAGGGATTCCACAGGAACACCAGTCTAACTCCAAGGTCATCGATACTGTCGTCAGAGACTTTGACCACTGGCTTGAATTCGCCGTCGGCACACGAGCACAAGAAGACGACGAAAAAGAAAAAGCAGCTCGGCGCCAAGCCCGTGATTCCAACCCCGACAAGAAGATCGACTGCATCGCCTGTGATAAAAAGTTCGAAAAAGCATCTACAATGATGAAGCACGTCGAAACTGGCCGATGTATTCCTGGCATAACTGAGATGGATATATTTGTCCTCGGGCAGCGGTTATCCGAGCAAGGAGCTCCCTGTGTCAAGCGAGGAAGAGGATTTACGTGTCCTGTTTGTGATATCTCTTTTATGGTGTTGAGCAAGCTTATTAAGCATGCTGAGGGGGATGAGTGCAGTTTGAATGTTTTGCATGGGCCGTTGCAGGAGCTGATTTCCTTGCTGATGATGGATTTTATGAGTATGGCTATGGGCCATGAGTGGTGAGTTGGGGAGTTTATCTGGGGTAGGGGTTGGGGACTCTTGGGGTTGGTACTGGGTTTGGGATGCTGGTTTGGAAACATGAGATTGTTTTATGATGTATACGATATTTTCTTGACTTAAAACCCTGGTCTCTCGCTGTTCAAACCTATATAAAATTGCGATCGTGCATGTGCTATCAGCATTAAGGCCATAAAGTAATGGATCATTAAACTTCGATAAACCTATGTTGATGTTGAGAGAGCCTGGCGCAGCACCGAGAGTAGTATGTTCTAGATGGAATTACCTATGCCTTTCTAACTGATACTTTTCAGACCTAATCGACATCAAAGGTGTCACGCTCCTAACATACGGCTTGGGGAAAAGTTGACAGCTACCGTTAATGTACTATGAAGATGCAAGAAAGAAGCAATGACATGAGAAGACTATAAAGTCTGACCTCGAGGTTGACTAGGCTTTGGAAAACAAACGATTCCATCGGGAGTGCTCGGGTTTTTCAATATATCTTTTGGCCAGTTAAGCTAGGTATTTAGGTTCTCGCAGGAACCAGAGACTCATTCAACATATTCCAAAGTTACTGGCTTCTAAACTATTGTGTATGTTACAGGATTGGCTTCAATATGAACATCTGAGTACTACGATTACGAACGGGCTATGGGATTTCTGACTCTCATCTTGTGAATGATGAAAATTATGAAACACCGAGGAGATATAGCAGACCAAAACGCTGGAACAACGGAAATAGTGGAAGACTTTGTGTAGATAAACAGAAACCTAAACATTGCCAATTATACTATGATAGATGCTGCGCACTTCAATTAATCACCACTGAAGCGACTGAAAACTAAATGGAAGTCAATCTTGTCACACCACCTGGCCTATCTGGGAAGTATCTTGGCATCAAGGAGGAAAGGTTGAGGACTGACATATATAATAAATGAGAGATACCTGAATCATGCCTGGACTCATCAGGACCAAAAAACTCGATTCATCTCTCTTGCCATATCACGAAGATTCCAGGCTTCTCAAAAAACATAGTGGCTGCTGGTTAGTGATAGTAAATAATATGCATGTATACATGCGGCACGGTAACTCTTGAAGGAGAATGTATGCTTAGAGACAACACTTGTTGATGAACGAATCGCAATCAAATGAATGATGAGGCTTTTCTATTTTCCGAGAATCTGCTTCACAGCTTCTCCAAAGGTATCGAAAATTAAATGGTAAATGGAGCTACAAAATACGCAGAAACTTCGGGTGACGAGAATGCATGACAGGTGCTGACGAGTCCAACATGCGGTCAAATCAACCAATAACCGCGGGGCAGCAGTCTGGGGGAAGCTCACCTTTTGGGACGCTTATCCGAAGATGACAAAGGTTCGAGAATCAATTGCCAAAGTCGGGCAGGCAGACCCATATAGCTTTCGCATATTGGCTGGCTAAAAGTGACTCGGCTGACTGGATGTGTGGTGTAGAGAGGAAGTGGAATTGGTGTTGCCGTACAGAGGACCTCTGTGGGTTACATAACGTCGCCCGGTGTCGTCACAAGGCAGACCTCAAGTTGGACCGACCTTACATGCGTTGTGCGTCAGAATGTAACAGCCGTTGCCTGCTGCTGCATAACCGGAAGGCTTATCAAGCGACAAACCAGTCAATCTGAGCATGTTCTGCAAGACAGTGACGACCTGCCTGCGATGACAGTTGGACTTCCCTTGGTGGTGGACCCTTTTGGCCAAGTCTGTCGACCCATCTGGGGCTATCCATTTAGATCCCTGTCGCCTAGAGTGCTAACTGGAATATCGTCAGCAGCTGAATGAAGAACAGACGTATCGCAAAGAGGTCATGCTTGGTGAAGCGTCTTCCGGTCACCTTCGCTAAAGCATAAGCATCAGAGCCGACCGACGGCAGGGAGGATCACAAGCCAAAATTAAGATAGCCGGCTCGAGATCTCATCTCAGGGGATGTCTCACTCCAGGTCTCAGATAACAGAGCCTAATCACCGTGATGGAATCTTTGGGGACCATCCCGAACAATTCGGGCCCAATCCCGGGTTCCAAGTGCCGCCTGGGGTGCCGGATGTCTACGGGCGCCGATCTCGTGGTATCACGGTGATGATGGCACGAAGGAAGATAGAGGGACAATTCCATGGATCATTTTCCAGGCGGAATAAGAGCGTCAGAGGTTCAACGCCCAACGACCGGCAGGGTATCATCAGAATCGAACCATGTTGACATGCGCCGTGATCGGGTGGTGGAGGGCATTCTGAGTGGAGGTCCGTCTTTGGCTGACAGCTTTCCAACCGCGAGAATCGACAACGGCCCGAACGCCGCAATTCATCTCAAAGTAATCAATCCTCCATTCCAACTTGTGACACAGTGCTTGAGAGTTTGATGTTCTGGCTAGTTTTGTTCATGTTTCGTGTGTAAGCTGAGCCGACTGCAAGTTATTCATACGCAATTGAAACATGATGCAGTGCCATGTTTCTTGTCACAGGTATTGCGGTCCGTCGCAAAGAGATATGCGTGATATCTTTCTGCAACCGTCCCCGTCTGTTGGTAGGTCAAGCTCCATGCATGCTATTTAATGTTCAGCCGACGTCAAGTTGCCGACAACCATGTCATATCGGGTACACTCGCAGGTACGACTGCAACCCAAGAACCGCACCTTTGTAACCCAAACAACCTGTCCTTCAAACATTTCTGTTGCGAGTTACTAATGTCAAGACTTGGAGGTGTGATTCAGGTGACTTTGGCTGGCGGTAATCCACAGCTCGAATCCATGGAATGAATCGGCGTCTAAAAGCACCCCGCTAAAAACCCCCAGCACAGGTCAAGTCAAGACCGCAATCCCGGGAAAAGGGGTACGCTCAAATAAAGGTAATTTGCGTATCCACAATATCAAGATGATGGCTTGCTCGTTTGGAGATGTAAAAGACGATACCTCCGATTGATGTTGACTTTGAAGAAAGGGGAAGGAGAACGTGCCAAGATGTGGAAACACAGCTTTGATTGCAGAGGATATTGTAAGTGGGCTTTGGCAAGCTGTTGCGGTGCAACATCCATTGTTGATATTGCGTTAATGCGATTCATGTTTGTATATATTGGTACTGCTTATTGCCGATCCAAGACTTATCTGCGTCCTTTGTCAGTATAATCCACTGTTATACCTTGAACGCCAAGTTTACAGGATGAGGTGCATCCCTAAGCGACCCGTCTTGGTTCATCTCCCATGCAAGTTTGCTGTTGTACCTGAACCGTGCTTCACGAGAGAGGTTTGCTATGTCTGTGTGCTTTTGATACACGCATGGAGCAGGCAAAGACCCTGGGCATCCCAGAAGATCGAGAAGCACTGAAGCACTGGAAGCCCACGGATGGCGCGATGAGCTTCGGCCGAGGTTTAGTGAGAGAGCCGGGATAAACCTGCCCGGGGAAGGGTGCTGGATCAGTGTCGTTATCTCGGGGTCCAGTGATTTTCCGCTAGGACCATAGTGCAATTGAGTTGTTGCAGATTCCGGTAGACGCACAACAGTGAACGAGGCATTGGCTGAGGTCGATACTCGGTTTGAAGTTGATGATATCCTCATGTTTCGAGAATCAGTAAATTCGCACAGTGTTTCTCTCGATTCAGCTGCACTGGCAACCCACCCGTCGTGGACATCATCTGCTGGCATCGTGGAGCGTGGAGTTGCGTTGCTGGCAAAAGGGCCAAGAAACGAGAAATGGCACCCCCCACACGTCGTCATTTCACACTCCGTTATTAGCCCCGTTATCGAATCAAAAGAGAATTGGGCCCGGCGCCTGGGCGTTCAACGGACAACGGGCGACCAGCGCCAGGACCAACTCAACGCCAGGGGATGTTGAAGACCAGTACTGTGCTGTAGTTGCTTTATTACCAGTCAAAGAAGTGCAACGGTAGGGGAATCGCCAAAATAGAGGTGAGAGAAGAGAGGCCAGGTTTGCTTTTGATCGGAATAATCGACCCGGTCACAGAATGCATGTCTCGTTTATACCCTAACATCGCAAAAATCTCGTGGATCGAGTGTTCTTGTAGGTACGCCCGTAGATTGCCTGTTCTGCCAAACGAGGTACAAGCAGTTCATGTACTCCGCCTTTAGCCTGGCCAGGCTGTCATACAATGAACCGCCATGATTCGCATCCCGTAAAACAGCCGATACTTTGGTTCAAGTACTCAATTTACCCGCAGGCCTCAACAGCACTGGCACCTGCCAACTACGAGCCCCCAAAAGTCACTCTCTGGCCTGTGCCCACTGGGAAGTGCCCTGTCCTGCCTGTTCAGTGAGTTTCCACTGTCCACTCCCCACGGCACGACGCTACTTCCTGATTTGATTGATTGACGGACAAGAGAAGCCAGGCTAGGCTTGCTCCTTCTCCTTTCCCGCTCGCTCGGCCCTGGTTTTTTTCTCCCCCCATTCAATTCTAACCCAACCTATCCCGTCACGCCCTGTCCAAGTCGACGAGTCGTTCATCATCTTAACCACCACCACCTTTGTCCCTTTCCTCTCTCCTTCTTCTTACCTTTACGGTACCTCTCTTCCTATTTCTCCTTCCGCCTCGATTTTCCCGTCTGCCTTGCAGCGGCTTTGGTCTCGACAGCGTTCTTCTGGTCCGTCGTGTTAAACCCGTCTCTCGTCTCGTCACCGACTTCTTGCGATTTTTTAATTCTTCGCACATTTTCTCCGTCCCTCCGAGACCCTCGCGTGGTTTATTCCCGAAAATACGGCCCGTGGCGAGTAAACGTAAACCTTGCGCTCACTTTCCCAACGAAGCGGAAAAGGTCACCGACGAAGCTTAATCATATTCTTATCTCTCTTGGGTGAGTCGAGACCTCGACGCACAGGATTCCGGTCGATTTGTCAACGTGTTGCGACGAGGGGCCCCGGAGCGTTAGGTGGTGCTTTTTGATGGATCCATGTCTTAGCTGGCCGATGGTGCGCATCTTGACATCGGCCGCAGCGGCAAATTTCCTCAATCACCTTTCGTATTGCCCTTGTTTCTGGCACCGTTCTCGCATTGCGCTGCACATCGCCGTCGCATTCTGTCGTCAACATCCCGCAACAGCACCAAACTGACCAGACATTCTCCCAATAGATCTTCATTGTCCGAGATTTGAAAGACCCCGAGCCGAATCGTCTACGTCCCGATTTTTCCCACCCAACCCCGAGAACATTGCAACATGTCCTACTACGACAACCCTCAGGCCCAGTGGTCGTCTTCTACCCCTAGCACCCAGCCGAACAACTGGGAGCACCAGGGTTCGACTACTCCGGTCCGCGCAGGTACGCCAGATTCACGATCGACCGATACAGAATTGTAATTAACGCATTGATTTGTACAGGCGCCAGCGGCCCTCAGCCCCAGGATGACTACGCCTTCTCTTATCAATTCGATGGTATGTGATGGAGCACGTCTAGAAGTTTTGTCGAGTTCGATTGTGCTTCAAGTCTGTACTGATGGTACGACTTTACCGGCATATTCAAAATCCGAACAAGACTCGACTCTACGAATGAAACAAAACTGACCCAATCCCAGAGGTCGACCGAGCTTACGAGAACTTGCAAAAGTCTGGCAAGGGCTATGGAATGGGTGGTCGCCGTGAGTTTTCTATCCTGCGCTACTAAGCCTGCCAAAGGCTCCGACATGAACGGATGAACTGGTCGGGTCGAGTGTACCAACAAACATGCTGACAAGTTCATGCAGACTCCCGTGGTTCTCATCACACCCCCGGCCCCCGCCCGCACTCGGTAAACAACTTTGATGACGCCCGTGGTCAGGGACCCAATCTGCAAAACTTCTACGCAAACCAGCGTCATCAACCTTCACGAGGCTCCAACGAGGCAGAGCAGGTCATGCAGGCTAAGAGACGGATGGCAGCTCAGCGGGAGCGAGAGCTTCGAAACCTGCACACAGAGCAGCAATATCAGCGAAGTAGGCCTCCCTCTACTGTGTAGCACATTCAACTATGACAAAGAACCAAGATGGCATATAGAGAAAAATAATGTGGTCATGGGCGACCGAAAATGTCGTTGGCCCAGACGCCGCTCGTGTTTCTTCCCTCCCAATTTTGAGCAACATCTATGTAATATCGTCGAGTTTGTTGAGCATGGGCTAACAGCTTTTCTACGTAGCCGTCCTTTCCGAGGTGCCTCTGCCGCCCAACAAGCACATGTCCGAGGAGGAGACGCGAGATTTGATTGCCCGTCAACGAAGTGCCCTTTATGGTGAGGGTCCTTTTGCGGACAAGGCAGGATACGTGGATGAGACTGGTAATGTCCGCACAGGTGCCCCTGCCCCTAGCGGACCTTCAAGTATCCGTGGTCACTCTCCTCTTGCCTATGACAGCGTAGGTCGTGCTCCTCCTACTGGCGAGGCTGGCACTCCCGTCTCTGCTGGTGATGCCCACGGTCCTCCTACCGAGCCCAACTCGCGACCTCACAGCACAGTCAGCCCACAGACTGCTGGACCCACAAACAAGGTCTTCGATAATGCTGTGGGTAACCAGAGCCGTACAAGTACATCCAGCCCAACGGGAGGCTCCCCCTCTCGGGATCTCAATCCTGGTTCCAAGCCCAACCAGGCCGGTGCCTCAGTAGCTCCCATTGGAACTCGACCTTCTGGTACACCCACAACTTCAGCTTCATCGAAGCGATCTACTACTCCTCTTGCCTCCCCCGGTGGCTGGGGACGTGGCAATGGTGTTTGGGGTCAGTCGTCCGGTCTCGGTGCTCCTGCTAGTGTCTGGGGTTAGAAAGGTCCGCTCACCAAGGATTAGGAGTAGCAACGAGGCGCAGGATTTGAAGTTGCATTTGGGACGGCGCAGAGGTAAACGTGCATTGCGGTCGGTATCTTTGGCGAAGGCTGGTCTTTGGCAACTCACGTTTCGAGTTGAAGACGGTGCGAACATTCAAGTGTACTCGGATCTGGCGAGAGCCGAGTGATACAATCAAGGCCACAGGTGTTGAAGGGACGGCATCGACTAGGGAGTTGACATTGTTTTTCTGTTTTTTTCCGGCTGGAGGTTACGAATCGGTGAACTGGGAGTTGCATTCGAACATTACTGGGGCGTCGCTATATCGTCTCGTTTATACTTTGAGGGCGGGAAAAGTGGTGTCGGGTATGAAGAAACGGACAGGATGGATGCAGTCTCAGTCGCGGGATTGAGATGTTTCGGAGTCTCTGGCCTTGACGAATTGTCGGTCTGGCTCATCCTGGGAGCGGAAACTATATACCCAACAGGGCGGTTCTTACGGCGTTCACTCTGTTTACGACGACCGATCAGCCTGCGATATCGACTACGGCATGTGTTAGCATCAACTGCGTGGCGCGTTCGGAGTACCTTTCACGATGGAGGCATTTGAGTTGTCGGCGTGCATACCATGGCAATGGATTGGAAGGGAACCTGCAAGGGCTTGTTTATGCTCACGAATCGGCGAGCGAAAAGGAATGTGTTTATATACGGCGAAAACACCATAAAACGATAAAAAAAAAGAGAAGACAAAAAGGGCATCTCAAGGGGTTCAAGGTGGATCAAGGTTAGGGTCAGTTATCTTTCATGTCTCTCATTTGTACTGGTTTGGGGAAAGGATTTCGGTTTGGGACAGGTTATAAGGAAACGGTTCTATAAGGGTTGTTTTCGCAAGGGAAAGGAGAAATTGTTTTCTGATTTCGAGATGATGCTTAGGCTGGGGGTAAGGCAGGGTTGATAGTAATTGCGAGAAGGATCGGGGATAAAGGCAATACAAGTTTATTACGGAGTTGATCTGTTGGACGAGTAAATGTGCCTTGTGAGACATGCATGCTGTGCGAGGTGGCGGTCGAGATCTAAACGGATGAGAGGAGGTCCAGGCTCGCATTAGGTACTGACGCCTAACGGCAACAGAACTCTCTCAAGACGATAAAAATAAACAATCGGATCAACTAGAGAACTCTATCTCGCGTTAAGTAGTTACCGATAACAAATTGTGCAAATGATGACGAGAATTGCATGTGCGCGTCACGGGAATGTCCGGAGCCCCCACCCGAAGACCGTGCCCGGACGGTCTTCTCCCCGCCAGGACCCTCAATCGGGGTCCCGGGTGGAGGCACCGGTGAGCATCTCATATGCATCTTGTAGTCAACCTGCAGCTGGTGAGGGGAATGAATGACGGGTACACTACGTGACGCGATTCTTTTGTTTATTTTTTGTGTAGGTACATATAGCTCATAGCTCCCACTGTTTACTCTGTTCAATTGCACATTGGCCTGTTGTGTTGGAGCTATTCGTTGCAAATTACCGACAAAATGCCCTCCTTTGACGAAAAGAAAGCGTATGTTGAGCAAGAAGAAACTTTCTTCGACGATGGGCGTGAGATTGAGCTTCTGCATTATATCTATGGTCGGTCAGACATTGATGAGCTGCGTGGTTCGCCGGAGCGTGTTCTTCAAGCCATTGATGAGTTTGGACGTACGAAGAAGTATCTCATGAACGTAGGTGAGGACAAGGGCAAGATTGTAACAGACCTTATCGCTGAAGTGAAGCCCAAAGTCATGGTACGCCAATTGACCTCTACTCTTGTGAGCCATTACTGACGAGTGTAGGTTGAACTCGGAGGCTATGTTGGCTACTCAACCCTCCTCTTCGCCAACGCCGTCCGCAAATCCGGAGGCACACATTACTTCTCCCTCGAGCGCAACCCCGAATTCGCCGCCGTCATAACATCCCTTCTCGACCTCTCCGGCCTCCGCGACATCGCCCGCGTGATCGTCGGTCCCAGCGACGCCGGCCTAACACGCCTACACGCCAATGGCACAATCTCCAAAATCGACCTCATGTTTCTCGACCACTACAAGCCCGCGTACACGAGCGATCTTAAACTCTGTGAGAGACTGGGTCTTGTAGGGCCGGGTAGTGTCCTTGCGGCTGATAACGTCATCAAGCCTGGGAATCCACCGTATCTAGCGTATGTGAGGAGTAGTGTTGCGGAGAAGAAGGCAGCGAAGGGGAGTGGTGTGGAGGGGTTTGCGGATAGAACTGCGAAACAGTATCTGAAGAGGGAGGGGGAGGAGAAGATTAATGAGGAGCAGGGGGATCCGAATTTGGTGTATGAGAGTAAGTTGGTTCATAGCTTTGAACCAACTGGTGTTCCTGTGAGTATGCCCATTCCACCACTGACTCTTACTGACAATTGTAGGATGCTGTTGAGATTACAAGATGTACAGGCCGCGAAGAATAAATCTTCCGTCTCCACAGCAATAAAACTGACTCTGTCGATTCCCTCCATTCCTCTTTTCCATATTGCTGAAGTTTGATGTGACTGCCCCTCAACACCAAAAAATCATCACGACCCGCCCTCACAAGCGGCCTGGTCTCCACGGCACCTCATCCAATAAGAGCCACGCCCGGTTAGCTCAATCGGTAGAGCGTGAGACTCTTACGAGTACGCGATCTCAAGGTTGCGGGTTCGACCCCCGCATCGGGCTGTTCCTATGTTTCGATCGTGAGCGTTTGCGATGCGTTCGTTTTTGATGGTTTGGCGCTTTAATGTGACTTCACCAGCGGCTTGTTTGGTTTGAGAAAGGTAGGTACTAACATTATGTTAACTCTCGGCGACCGGTTTTTCTGTTCTTTTGTGAAATTAAGACTCTTGTTATCTAATCTTTCGTTGAGCCTGTCTCTATCGTGGTGATGCTGATCTAAGTCAGAATTACTCCATCTTGGTAGGTACCTAGGTAGGCGTTGACTGTCTTCCCGCCTAACCTATAATCGATAGCTCATAACCCTTTTCAACTTCCTGTTATTCTTTTTGTTCGGTGTTTGTTAATTGGCTATTGTCAGTTCTCGCGTGGGAATCTTCTAGTGGTATTATTGGCGCCTGCCCGGCACTGCCAACAATAGTTCCAGCAGTATCAACAATGAGAGGGAAGAGGGAAGTCCCCTTCACTGTCCGCCTTCTCTGTGAAAACACTGAACGATAAAACTTTCTGGGGTTCGCTCTTCTTCGTTTTCTTCCCTTCACACAACTCGCCCTCATTCATCAGAGTGTGCTGAGCAACCCTGCGGGAGGTCGGTTTTGCATTCCTTATTCGATATCTTTGGTTCAATCAACGCAAGTAAAGAAATATTCCACGAGCGGCAAAAACCGAAGGCCATCAACTCTGGAGCCTACTTCCCCGGTAAAGAGTTTGTTCTAATGCATTTGCTCCTGTCGCGAAGTCACATTCTGCTTCAGACGGCAGTTGACACCATTATCTTCATTTCTTTAGTCCTGTTATCGCATTTCGGGCAAACGCAACGAAAATGAATGCCTTGGAAGCTGAGCATAGCATAGCTTCACAAGCCGTAGTGGAGCTGGAGCAGTCTGTTGGTCCCCCTGGTGGCTCTTCTGACGACTCCTCCGATCCGACCCAAGCACAAGATGTTGCCGGGCCAGACTCTTCTGCGGATCTTGAACTGCGCGTGTTCAAGATATGTGGTCTCTGCAAGTTTCCATTTCAAGAAGTTCAAGCCGTCATTGGTCGTATGTTGCCAATTTCCTCTGTGATGGCAGTTACTCACGCATTCTAGTCGACCGAACTAGCTCTACCCAGCCTCTCACCTGGAGCGACAAATACTGCCCAGCTGGTGAGAGATACTGTGAAGCATCACACGATAAGGGGTTCCATGCAGCTTGTGCCAAGATTGTAGGCGATGATATTTTTGCCAAGGGATTCCTGGAATCTTGTACATGGGACCTCGTTAGGTTCAGGTTCCAGGATTCATTCTCTCAACCACCACCGTCTTTTTTGGCACTACGCACTCGACGTCTCAAATCATCCCTTGCCCTGGAACTCAGGCACGCCGTCAGACATCGACTTCCGATCGAGGTATGCGAAAACGTTGCAACGTACTGCCTGAGCGAATATGCGACAAAGCTCCACCTGGATGCCTGGCAACATCGGGATCCTGGTGGCCCGAAGGAAGAAGTCATACTTCCCATCTTCGAAGGCCAAATCGTTTGGGCCCAGTACGTTGAGATCGAGGGTCGTAATTACGTCAAGTCCCTGTCAACTGCTCATGTAATCGAGAATGATACAAAGCTCTTTGTCGCCAAGCCCAAGTTTCCTTCACACATGTACTTGAAGATGTACTTCGCCGAAGATAGTTTGGGAGTACGTAGCGTCATTGTCGGGTCGGATGATGGGATTCGGTGTATTTATGAACCCGGACTCAGATGGGTCTCCATTCCTGGTGACTTTTACCATCTTCCATTTTCTATCAAGATGAAATTTGATGTCAGTCTTTCTCATGGATATGATGGATGTCTACTAACGCGCTTATTTTTGCTCCACAGGGTCTCAAGCTACGTAACTTAAATGTCACCGGACACGAGAAAAGACGGCCCTGTGGCCAGCGAGTACGCTGGGCCATCTTTCCAAGGGACTTCGTCTACGGGGCCTCTCCAGGAGATGACCTCTTCGAAAGTAGTCACAGGGCAGCAATTCATGCAGTTGAGTGGAACCTACCTAGGGCCTGTGGCTATGTCATCGGCCTGAAAGGCAGTTGTATTTGCTCTATTATTCCCAATAGATCGGGTAAGCTGTCCGCTTGTGTTATTGATGCATATAGTAACAGTAGCTCAATGTGGCTCTATTTTCCTGTTGATCCTGACGAACGAATCTCCGAACTCTGGCTTCGCACGGGATTCTTTCCAGACAATGATGACCCCGGGACTCGATCAAAGTCTCTTATAGTAAGCTATAACCTTTGTACCATGCGGAACAGAAGCATATTAACATTCTCATAGATTATCACAAACAATGGCCGCAGTCTTATCCTTGGCCCTGATATCCGATCTCGCTTGCCCCTCAATGATCATCTCTTCAGCTACGAAGCGCTTGCCGATTTGCCATCCACCCCTACTCAAACACTTTACTATAAACAGGGATACAACGAGTCTTGGCTCGGGTTTGAGAAAATGACAACATGGGATCAGCGCAAGATCGAACTCTCATTTGGACCGCCATCCAGACCAGGCCCATACTTCTGGGATGCCCAATTCCTTTCATCGTCCGCCGAACTGGAAAACATTCACACGATTACTCCATGTCGAGGCTGGGGAAAATGCGTAGATGACGCGATCGTTGGTCTGCTCTTCACCTACACCGACGGCCGCCAACGATCCGTTGGACAAATTCGCCTCGATCACTTGGAGGACCCCATCATGGTTACTTCTGACAGTTTTTGGCTTGGGAGCTCCGATGAGAACACCAACCATCATCATGAAGAGCCTTGTCTGCCGACAGGGAACATCACGTGGCTAGGTGTCTGCAAGCCAACGGCAAATGCTGAAGTGCAATACGTCGAGATTCCACGGAGAGGACAACTGGAGTGGCGGTCAAGTTGGGATATTACGCCTACTAAAAGCCTCGTGCGACATCTTGAGGGCAGCGAGTTGCAAAGTGAGATGGATAAAGTGTTGGCACGCGAGGCTGCATCTGGTACAGCTGCTTCTAAGATGGTCAAGACGTTCTCTGTTCACACCGGTAACATGTGCGCCACCAACGAACAAGAATATGCTAGGTAGTTACACGGGATCGTTCTTCCCGAAGGTATTGTCATCGGATAGGGCTGGGAATCAGTTTCAGACTTGGGAGATAGTACTTGCATTTCTTCTCGTCTAGGACATATCGACCTTAGCGAAGGAGAACAATATGAATTCCACAAAAAGTGCCCGTATTAGAATTGCATCCTTACCGTGACTTGCAAAGAGCTCTGCTTTTCCATATTCATCACGAAAAAGGTACTAGGTAGTCGATTCGCATGCTCAGCGTACTGGCTTTATGGTTATGTTTCCGATGCAAGCTATTTGTTGGCCTCAGCATATCCGTGCATCGTTTTGTCCCTTCTCTTTGTCAAGTTCAAAGCAATAATTTATTCACCTCCATATGACCCAGTCTTTTTGTCGGCTTTTTAACTGGTGAACTTTGTTTTGGTGCGGCAGTGCCAGTGACAGTGATATTGGAAGGAGTGAATGAGCTGGAAGTGACTGCACCTTCCTGGAAGCAAGGCAGTGAATCAGGGCCAATGTTTTGGCTTCCACCTGCAGAAATCTCTTCTTCCCGCATTTTCTATTCAATCGAAAATCCCTTCATCTGCATATCACTTCTAGGAATTGTCATCGAGAATCCTCAGTCATGTCCTCCTCCCACGAGGCAGAATCGGTCGCGACTAGCGAATATGAGAGCGATCTTAACTCAGACGCTCTTCATGAACACGACTTGCTCCGTCTTGACCCTCACATCGACTCCAGTTCGGACTCCGATTCGGACTATGATTCAGAAAGCGACAGTGATGATCGTGTCTGGTTACGCACGATGTGTTACCCAAGCTGCGGCCTCTGCAGATTCGAATTTGATGCTGGTGAAGAGTTTGTTGTTTGTATGTGTTACCCGGTCCGCTGAATTTAATGATACTAGGCATCACTGACACATAACAGACAAGCCAGGGAGTAAACGTTATCCCCGCATCTGGTATGGCAAGTACGATCCTCTCTTTGAGAGCCGTCTTGTGCTTGAGTACGGATATCACCCAGCATGTGTTGCACTACTCAACCCCAAAACGTTGACCAAAAACTGGCCATCCGTTCTGTTTGAGGCTACCGGCGGGCTCCAGGTCTTTTTTCGGCCTCCTGCCTCTTGGACTAAGCGTCGCACACGATGGATGAAGGAATCAATTGCCATGGATCTGAGACAGTCTCTCGGTGGTCGTCTCCCGGAGGAGATATGCCAATACATTGCGAGCTTCTGTATGCGCGAACGAGCCTGCCAAATTCTCCGAGATCTTTGGTTAGACCCCAGCCGTCCCAAAGTTCATTACCCAGTCATACGCTTTGGGAGGAATACTTCTGTCTGGGCGCAGCATGTCGAGATTGAAGGGCAGCGTTATGTCAAGTCTTTGTCAACCCGTCGTCTCGCTAAACAAGACGCATTGGTCTTCAAGGCCAGATTCAGGAAGAGGGCCGCTAATGATAGACCCGAGGCTTCTGTAAACATCTATCATGGTGAGGACCATCTAGGAATACGCGAGGTTATTATCACAGAGGATGATGAGCTGCCCCCTCTGAACATGGACTCAGGGCTCTCGTGGGCAATCTATCGCCACCAAGAGACTCCATTTCGGCTCGCACTACAAATCGATGTAAGTTCACCTATTTTCACATGGTTCGTGCTTATCGATTGAAATAGGCAATCAAGCTGTGGTTCTTGAGAGTCTACCATACTCATGAGCCCGACATGAGGTACAAACCAAGATGTTGGGGAGTTCTTCCAGATCACTTTGATTCATTTCCACAGATTCCTCTAGCAGCGCGTTCCCACCACCATGATCGCCTCTACTACGAGTCTGTTCGTGCTGTAGACTGGAACTCTCCTGGCATCTGCGGGTACTCCTTCTACGTGGATGAAAACCTGATTCGTGGCATCGTTTCGCACAAGTTTGGGGAACCAGAACCGCAGACAAGGGACGAGTACGGCCAAACCGACGATTTATGGTTTCACATGCCAATAGACCCTGATGAACGAGTCTCTGAACTCTGGCTTCGCAAGGGAAGGCATAGATTTCTCGGCCGAGAAGAGGTCGAGACACTCATCGTTCGAACAACCAAGGGACGTAGCTTTACTCCTGGCCTCGATAATACCTGTGGCTTTCCCATTGATGGAACCCTCAGATTCACGTACAAGGCAATTGCCATTTTACCACCAGCAGGGCCTTTTCGCATGTTTTATTGCAGAGCCAATCATTTGTGGACCTATTTTGCTTTCGAGCGACCTTCTGAGCACGATAGTAAGGGGGATCTTCAAGGTGTGACTTCATGGGATCAACGGGAGATACAATATTCATTCCCTGCCTCTGACAACCTGCTTATTGACCCCCACAATTTTGTCACCACATCAGCGAGCCTGAGCGACGTCAGAACTATCACCCCTTGCCGAGGGTGGAAATACGAATTCGCTGGTCAAGTCGTCGGACTTTTATTGACATATGGTGATGGCCGTCAGAGCTGTGTTGGACAAGTGCGTCTTGATTGCCTCAGCACTCCCTTGTCGGTTTCTTCAAACAACTTCTGGCTAGGCTGCACGAACAGAAAGATAAAATCGTACTCATGGAACATGAAGTTCACCCTTTTATATGTCTCTGAACCACTTCCCAGCGAGGATACGGAGTACATTGAAATCCCATTGAGAGGAAGGCTCGAATGGGCAGTTTCGAGCTGGAGGAGTGCTGTCCGGCATGCTGAGGAAGAGGAGCTGTGGGATGAAATCGGCCAAGTTATGGCCGGTCGGAAGGCCGCACCGGAGTACGCTGACCTAGAGATCAACACATTCGCTGTGCCGATTCGTGTCAGGGAGACCGATCCTTGAGTGCGTTTAGAGGACAATGGGATAGAGTGTTACCGGGTTGTGAACACATCCTGAGGATGTTATGTCAGTGTACTTGCGACTTGCAAGAATAGCAATAGGTTGATGGATGAGGATAGATAGATGATGCGAATTTACTCTTGTGGGAGTCAACTCAGTCCATCTCACGATGATCACTAGTTTAAGCTATTGGTCAAAGTCTTGAGCGCTGTCGGAGGATCGTTTGACCTAGTAGTGTCCAATTCGCCATACAAGCTATGCACTCTATGTTATTCAGATAAGACTCATTGTGTGACTGTTTCTCACAAGAATCCCTTACAGTTCAAGAACAATTAAGGAGTGGTCCATGGAACCTCACCCTAAGAACACTCACGTCCAACCTATGAAATGCTGACATCGCTTGGACCAATGAGAACGGGTTTTTCCAATAGGAATCAAAGAATACAGCGATAATTCTATACTCTTGGTGGTTTGAAGCTATCTAAAAGGCAAGTTGATTGCATCTGGGAGCTACAATTAGCACTGCAATGGCTTCCTCGGGTTTGTCCACCTCGACATCCTTCTCCCAAACGTGCTGTATCTCATTTCGGATACTGCCTTCGTGATGAGAAATACGGCAGTGGCTAAACCCGAACTTCCACAGCAAGTAGCCTCGCCACGGTAGTTCATAGAATATAACGACAACAAATATGTAAGCAAGGTAATATGTGAGTTGATATGGTACTGGAAAATATTGATGAGAGGGAGCAACACGTCGCCTAGCAGAACCACACGGAGATGGGGGCGGAGGCGGAGGTCAGTCCTACTTTCCTTTACAGATAGGTGTATCAAAGGAAGTTCGCATCCTTAATCTTCCTTCCTTCGTCTGAGAAATAACAAGGTAGGTACTCTATTCCGCATTGAATACCACTTTCGTCGTTCTTTAGAAACTGTTGCTGAATATTTGATCATTCTTTCAGCTACATTTTAGTCTCTTGAATGAACAAAGCATATTTCATAAGCGCGACTACGAGAGACTCTTTCGGAGCGGGTAATGTTCAGTTGAACCCCAAGTTGGATCATCTGTTCAATGATGGCGCTACAGATTCGGTTACTCTTGGGTGTATCGGAAACCTCTCCTGAGAGTATGCGCATCGTGAGAAGCCGAGATCGAAGGCATTTGGCTTTCTGTCCATGATGGTAAATAACCTTGTGTGATTAAATGTTTGCCTTCTCTTTTTCCCTGTCCAGGTCTTGCTGCTGCAGGCTCCCGACAGTTGAACGACAGTGCGCACTACTCCAATTTGAAGACCACGAAGTTATCGACTCCGATAGTATCAGCGACAGCTCGTATACAGCGTATTTCAAGGCTAATAGAGGTCTTCACCGCCGTGCGGCCTCTGCAGGTTTGACTTCCGCATTCATGACAGTGTTGTCGTTTATATGCTCCCTTTCCCACAATTGAAGTAGTTCGCTTCTGATATCTACCTGCCTATTCGACGAAAAGTGCGAACCCTGGATGACAACCTACTCAAAGCCTGAAATCTGGTGGACCATTGTCTATCCCCATCACACCTTTCATGCCGAATGCGTTGATGTGGCCCAACCAGATTTAATGTCCGATCAGCGACTGGATCCTGGTATCTACGATGCAACCATCCTCGAACCCTTAGTAGAAGGCCAATATCCGCCTCCCTCATTCCAAGCACGTCGTCTGCACTAGCTCAAGAAGAGCTTCTCAGAGAACTTTCTTCCAGACTATTAGCCACCATTTGCCACGTGAAGTCTGCGACAACATTGCGCAATACTGTCTCCAAGAGCGAGCGGTTCAGGTCGTTCGTGACCACTGGCTCAGAAAAGATCGACCCAAACCGGGGCGTATCTCCATAGCTATCGATGACAATTCTCTTTGGGCTCAGTATGTGTACTATGAAGGGATTAGCTATGTCAGATCCCTATCTTACCATCCTGTTGGTGGTGATGAGTCTCAGATCCTTTCAGACCCTGAGTATAACGTGAACATCTTCGTCGCCTATGATTATCTGGTAGTCACTTAGAGCATTGTCATCTCTGATAACGAGCTACCTGTGATCAATAAACAGCCCGGAAAATGGTGGACGTTGTTCACGCACGCCGAGCGAAATGCCTTTTTATTTAAAAGCAAGATTTGATATAAAACGATCGTATTGAAAAAGATAATCGCTGCTGACCAACAACAGGGGATCAAGCTTCGGGAGCTAGCAGCTTACGAGCATGTTGATGACTGCCCGAAGTATCCAGATGATTTACGGTGGTCGGTGCTACCAACGACCTTGGATCCTATTCCTGAGCCCCCGATTCCTTGTTCAAATATGTGGTTCGATGGAGAGATCATCTGGGCTATCGATTGGAATCAGCCCGACGTTTTCGGTCACTCCTTTTATGTCTGAGATAATGCCGTCACGAAGATTATTCCTCACAAAGCCGGTGAGAAACATCCTTACGACTTCGGCACTACCAAACAGTATCAATACTCTTGGATATATTTCCCTGTCGACTCGGATGAGCGTTTTCGGAGGTCTGGACTTGACGCCATAGTGGCAGCCCTTGTAGTGAGTGTTGAGTTAGATAAACTTGACTTCTTATTGGCAATAGCCTCTTAGCCTCGAACGAGTAAGGGCTGCTTGCTCACCCTTGGCCCTCAGCTAAAGTATCGGCAACCTGAGGGGTACAACACGCATGCCTAGTACGACCTTGTCGGGACTATGCCACAAACCTATCCTTGTCGCATGTACTTCGCAAACTGGGATGTGGCCGGTTCATGGATGAGGTTTGAAGGTGCATCGATCTTCATAAAGCTCAACCTCGATAGTTGCCGGAACAAAGCGCTTGAGCTGTTTCCTGACGACTGCAAGTACCACTACTCTTCGGCTGAACTTGATGGAGTCCAGACTATTACTCCGTGTCAGTCCTGGCGCGATAACCGCCCTGATGCGATCCTTGGGCTCTTGTTTAGGCACGAAGATGGCCGCCAGCGCTGTGTTGGCCAGGTCCGTCTTGACTTGCTCCTTGATCCAATCTAGGTTACCTCTGAGACCATGTGGATATGCTATCCAGAGACGGATGAACTCAGCTGGCGCCCCTCACATGAAGAAGACGCATCTGGTGTTGACTTCATGTCGTTCGAGGAGCCTGATGAATGGGACGAACCATATATCAAGACTCCTATGCGAGGGTGTCTGGACTGGTACTTCAGTGAAAAACTGTGTCATCCATCCCACCGAGACGATAGTGAGTCCCTGGACGAACTTCTGGAGGTACTGGCTCAAGAGGCTACCCCTGGTATGCCACTGGGTCATATAGTCAAACCATTTCGGTCCTCGTTGGAAGAGACATGAGGGCATTGGAGTCTTGGAAGCCACGAGGAAGGCAATGGCGCTGATCTTGTATGGGGGCAGAGTCTCTGGAAGTTCTGCAGTCAGACTTGGCCAGTGTGACAGGGTTCATGAAGAATCGGGAATTAAATAACGCAGCGCTTGGAAGGAGAGACTGTTTACTTAGCTCAAGCAATGGTAAGGGAAGGATTCGCATGGGGAGATTTGGGTGAAGGACTTGATTGTATATATGTTGTTGGATGTCAAAGTACCGAGGAGTAGTGTATCATGATTCTGAGTTAGACTCGTAAAGGGTGTCCCTTGACATCGTACTCCAAATTGGATCTTCTGTGAACAAACATACATGTAAAATTCACTAATGCTAGGTTTCTATTGCATCTTCCGGTTAAGACGGGTATTTGGGGCTTTGGAGCATTAGGTAGATACCTTAGGTCTGCCAGTGGCAGTGCCTGCAGCGCCAGACGCCTGCTCTTAAGCAACCCGCACGACTGCCCTATCAACCAGCCTTGGTCAGTGAATGGCTTTTGGCCCGCTATTTAATTCCTGGTGCTCCTCTTTCTCATTGACCTCTTCACTTTTCTTCCTTTCATCCACATTACTCTGAGAAGTCAGCACAGCACCTTCGCGCTTCCCGCGCAACAACAAGTCTTGAACTCCCGCTGGGGTGTTCCATTTAACACAATCTAGTAAGTCCCTCAATATATCTAATCTCTTCAACATATCCTTGCCTTGAAGTGGCTGCCGTTCTCTGTTTGAGGCGAGGGGGGGTGTGGAGCTTGAGACTGATCGCTAGTTTTAAGAAAACTTGAGCAACTTCTGAATGACCTTAGCAATGTTTTCACTAATTATTTCCAGGCCTCACATCGAAGATCCTGGGCTTTGTTCGTTTTCTTCTTTAATTTTCTCCCTTCCTCTTTCTTTTGTCATTGAGCTTTACGTGTCTATGACGAATATCTATTCACGCGCGTACGGCGTTCTACACTCTTGTGGTCTCTGCAGGTTCGAATTTTCTGAAGGCGATGAGATCATTTCATGGAACTCATGTAAGGATCCTTAGGCCTTCCTACCCATCTTGACACGAAACTTGACCGCTTATATATATGTTACAGCCTGAAGAAACCCAACATTCGAGATCGGCACCTACCGTGCCTCACAGGGATTCGCGATGCCTTATCACCGTGAATGTTTCTTGGTTGTCGGTGCTCAGTCGTGCCACAGCGTAGCCGCCGCGACCTACCCTGGCCTTCCCTTTGAGGGTTACCAACGTCTGGAACATCGTCGCCGCCGCTGGCTGAAGGACACCTTTGCACGGGACCTCTTCCAGGTTCTTCGTGGGCGTGTCCCCCAAGAAGTTTGCGGAAACATCGCCGTCTACTTTGCTCGTGAACGAGCCATACGAGTTTTCCAACAGCATTGGTTACAGAACCATCCGCTCCGGCAAGGAAACATATCAGTCCCTGTCCACCGCGGCGTGACACTATGGGCTCAGTATGTTCATTATGAGGGCAATCGGTACATCCGGTCGTTCTCGTATGACTCACGCGGTGGTGACGAGGACGTTGTTCTTGATTGGAATACCGAGAAACTCCCCAATGTCTTCATCCGCCATAGCGGCCTGGGAGTCAACAAGATTATCGTCACCGAAGATGATGAAGCCCCTAACGTGGAGCAAGTTGAAGGGTACTAGTGGACCTTTCACGCCCAACAAAGGGGCATGTTTTACTTGAAAGCAACACTTGATGTAAGTATTGCCAATATTACCACTCAACAGTGAAATTCTGTTGACATCGCTTGGGCTCAGGGCGTTAAGATTCGACACTTGGGTATTGTCAAATCTCCAGACAGATTTTTGGAGTTCCAATACGATGGCCCTTGTGAGATACGATGGGCTATACCTCCAGCACCCGTCAAGCACTCGCCAAAAATCCCACTTCCTAAAGACCTTGATTCCCAATTCGTACGAGCCTTTGATTGGAACAAGCCTGGGACATTGGGTTATTCTTTCCTTGTTTTAGGCGATGTCATTCTTCATTTCAATTCTCACCAGGCCGGAACGTCAGCAGCTCCTGAGGACTATGACCGATTTGGCATCTATCCTGTCACGCGACTCTATCTTGCCATGAGCCCTGGCGAGAGTGTCTCAGAACTCTGGGTCCGCACCTATTACGAAACTCATTCCACACTCATCGTAAGCCTTGGCCTCTTTTGCCAGCTTGTGAGGCTTTGCTAACCATTGGGCGATACAGGTCGTCACGAATTACAGCCGCAGCTTCGTCGTTGGTACCCAGGCTGATCTGCCCAGTGCAACATATCATGCCATTGCTAAATTACCACAGAACAAGCCCTGTCGTATGTTTCACGCAGAGTCATACTATTGCGACATCGCGTGGCTTCACTTCGATTCCGTGTCCACATGGAGACACCCAGAAAAGCGTCAAATCCAGTCTATCTGGGGAAGTGCGCTGGAGTGGCCGACCCATTTGTTCCCAAGACATCGACCAGCCTATTATACATCGGCGAAACTGGATGGTGTCAGGGAGATTACGCCTTGTATGATGCTCCCGTTATGGTACCATGGCCAGGGCGAAAAGATCACCGGCCTGCTGCTCTCTTACACTAATGGTACTCGGAGCTCTGTCGGGGAGGTTCGCCCCGACAGACTGGGAACACCAAAGGCCGTGATTTCAGATACTATGTTCATACAGTACAAGGGTACTTCTCAAGATGTTCTAGAAGCGAACAGACACCTAGTGGAATTTGGAATCGACTGGTTCGGATTTTCAGAACCACTATCCTCTGTCTCTTCCGATGAGAAAATTGATAACGTCGATGACGAATCTCACGAACGGACGACGTCTCCCAGGCAGGGGATGATTCTAGCGAAGACGGGGATTATCACGAGCCTGTCAAACGTACAAACACCATTGCAGTGCCAATGAGTGGGCGCCTGGACTGGACAAAGACAAAGCCTGATGACTACTATGAACTGTTGTATGACAAGCGCAGTACACTAAAAGACGAGATGCGTCATGTCCTCGCTGAGCACGCTACTATGGCCAGACAGGAGCCGATCGTCAAATCATTGTCCATCTTGGTTGGGGATGTTGGTGAGTTGGCTTCTGCAGAACATCTCCGGTAACTACGAATATTACAGCTAACTTGAGTTACAACTAGGTCCAGACAATCTTGAGAGAGTTTACCAAAATGCCGAAAACAATGACAACTACGACATCTTCGGGCTTTGAAAATTTTATCGAATATCCAAAAGGTTATTCATTGGAGACATGATTTGCGCAGGATAGAGGATTATGTACGACAGAGAGCTCACAACATTGGGTGAATGAGAAGTAATGCTTCGTTTTAGTACAGTTCAACCCAAGTTCTATCATAATTTCCCTAAACTCGAGGTGATAGGGTAATAATATTTAAACGTTACTCAATTGACTAGAACATTTTGCTACAACTACTCCGAAGGCAAGGAGCATACAAGTCGTTGTGTCTCAGTAATTTTGTTTCTGACATCGTCTTGATATGTTACTTACGGATCGGAAGCCCGCGTAGGAAGACAATAAACTTGAACAATGTACAACACCTTTGCTGGCTTTCTGATTTGCAAAGATACCTTACTCCCTTTACTTTCTCTTCTCATTCCAGCCGGCGAAGCCTTACCATTCGCGTTACCCTAAACCAGTCGTCCCCATTCCAAACCCCTACTAGCGTCATATCACGACCCCCTGTTTGGAGTTTCAACTCAACACCACGTCTCATCTTTTTCACAACGCAAGGAACAAACATAACAACTTGCGCTCATTAATCTCATTAAATCATCATTGCCGTGATATGCTCAGCCTATAATTGTCTCACCCCATATCTCCTTCGGCCCGGCCCGCAATCTACCTTAGTCTCATCCAACCTCACTTCTCACTCATCTCATTCCTCACGATGCTCTCATCATTCACAACCAAACTCGCCCTCAAAAAAGCAGGTATACCAAGCGACGTATTCGACTTTTCAGAAAAGAAGCGCGAACCAAACAAACTTCGCAAAAATCCACCAGCAGATCTCGATAATGAAACTGATTCAGGCTGGACGTCTTGGATGTCAATTCGTTCTCTTCCGCTTACTGTTCAGCCGTGGTTGACGCCTCCGCCTGCTGCTGTTGCTGTGGGGAGACTGCCGGGGATAGGAGATAAAGCGCCGGTTGATAAGACGATGAAATTGAGGGTTGGTGGGGGGAAGAGAGTTCTGCTTGTGTTTTTACGGTGTGTTGGTTGTGCTTGTAAGTTGCCGGCCGTTCCCAAGTCTTGAGAGAGGGTTGTGCTGATTGAGTGTAGTTGCTCAAAAGACATTTATTAATCTTCGTACCATGGCGAATCGGTATGGGGATGCATTAACATGCATAGCGGTATCCCACGCCTCAGAGCAAGCAACTCAAAAATGGGTATCCCTCCTCGGCGGCGCATGGAGCGTTCGCGTTATAGTCGACGAGGAGAGGGCTATTTATGCAGCATGGGGTTTGGGCACGAGTAGTATGTGGTATGTACTCAATCCAACGACACAAGTGCAGGGGTGGAAAGAGTCGGGGTGGTTGGGAGAGAAAGTTGCTGGAGCGATACAGAGAAAGGAGATGAATGAGAAGAAACCGGTTAATACGAACAATGTGGAGGATGAAGAAGACGATGGACCTTTGACGACTATGGGGAACAAGTGGCAGGAAGCTGGTGCTTTTGCTATTGATGGGACTGGGACGGTGATTTGGGGTGGGAAAGCTGCGAGGGCAGATGATGTTATGGAGCTAGAAGATGGAGCGAGAATCTTGTTAGCCTGAAACTAAAGAACACATATGTCTTGAAAGAAATGTTAAATGAATGTGCTTCGAGCGCCACTGTGTACTATCAACGGGCACGTACAACAAGCTGTCCCGACACCTCCTCCTTCTCCCATTCCCTCCCAGCCCAGCTCTCCAGCAACATATCAATGCTCATATGCTGATGTACATTGACCTGATCACTGACATTGATGAAGCATTGGCTATACAAAAAGTTCCAGTCCAACCGGCCCCGCCAAAGTATCCTTAACCAGGTCAACCCTTCCTGAGAAGGGTTTCCACCATGGAAGGTTTGGCCAGAGGACGGGATCACTTTCATTGACTCAACGACTGCGCCGCTGGGGTCAAGTAGTCTGGCCCCTAGCCACATCTCTCCGTTCGGGTCAACCTCGATGGGTGAAAGGAGATGATCAAGACGGACTTGTCCTACTGATTCCCTCGATCCATCGGAGTAGGTAAAGACGAGACCGACAATCCCAGTAGACCCGGGGATCCAAGATCTGCAGGGGACAACTCCGGTAACAGCTCCAAGTCTGACCGATTTGTTGAAGACCTGCTGGACACTCATCCTCGAGGACCATGTAGATGGATCATGGAAAGATGGGGGAGCTTCGTTCTTATCGTGGCGTTTGTCCTCACAGTCAAATGCAAGACAGTCGACGCCATCTCCCCGAAGACTGAACCAAAAACGAGAAGGCTGTGCGGTCAACAAGGCCACACGTTCGAAGATGGCTTCTGGTTGGGCCATGCTGGCGTTTGCTCCTAGAAAGAAAACGCGTCCCTTGTTCGTTCGTAGCTATATTGCATCAGCTCTCATTACGTATTATCTTCCAGTCCGACCTTCGCAGCGTACCAGAGGGATATCGCGCCAGAATGTTGGTCTCCTCCTAAGGCGCCAGACTTCGACGATCCGCTCGTGCTTCTCGACTGGAAAATAGAGCCACACTGCGTGTAGTCGGTCTCCTCGACCTTCGCGATAGAATGACAAGTCCTCGCCCTCACGGTGACTGTGTAGATAAAGAATGTCTTCATCAAGTAAGCATGATGAGTAGCCAGTGATTTCAGTGCTGTCACACTCCAAAACCTTGAAATAGTGTCGGCCATAGGCCCTGTCATCAAGGTTCAAGTACCAGATGGCTTCTGGATTTGGTGGTAGCAACGACCACCTTGCTAGTGGAGGCAGAACGTCTTCTGGCGATTCCACCACATGCAAATCGCGCATTTTAAAGCCCTGCGCGGTTCGTCTTTGTTAATTCTCTGCCTCTAGCTCAAGTTACGGGCCGACTCACATCACTGTACCATTTCAAAAAGTACCGCTGCGCCTTGTTGGTGTTGAGGAAACTCCACCAAATTCCCGGCTGTTCATGGTTGGAGCTTCGTGTTATATCAGACTCACCAAAGGAGACTGCCCTGACGCCAAGGTGGTCTAAAGCGAAATAAACTCCATCCAAGGTAACTGACTGCGGCTGAGAGACCACCAAGAATGCGTTTCTACCTGGCTTGTTTGAAAGGCCTTGGAGGTAACGAGCGTTTTCGAACGTGGCCGATAGGCCCCAGATTGGGTTTGATGGATCTACAACGAAGTGCAAATATCTGGCCGTTTTGCCAGCAAGGAATTTGACCAAGTTTGGTGCAAGAATTAAGTCTCTGACGCCTATTCGAGCCTGTTCTTGAAGAGCGTTCAAAGTGATATCTGCATGCTCCCCGAAAGTATCAAAGCAACGCTGTTGAAGAAACAGCAGTCTTTCCCGTTTCCGGGCTTCCGAGGGCGGAAAATCATGGCATAGGAGGTTCGATACAACGTGCTTGTCGAAAGGAGGAAATCTTTTTTGACAATCTAGGTGTGCGGCAAGGACGAACGACCTGGATCTCCCCCACTGGCGTGGTGGAATATACCGTGGGCTTTCCGGATTGAAGATCAATGTTTCGTAGTCAAACTCAACCGTTGCTGGTTCACCAGAACCCGCTATAGCGACAAATCAGTAATCGGAACTACTCAAAGGAGCAGACTTCAGTGAAAAGACAAACATTCAGAAGGATGGCCAGGTCTTATCACTCTGTCTCCATCGCAAAAGTCGAAAAGGCACAGACAGCAAAACGACATCCAATGAAAACTTCGGCCTTCCTCCATCGTGTATCGATTGAAAGGGGTTGGAGACTTGTATTGAGTAAGAGCCACTTCCTCTGCATATCAAGGTTATATGTGACACCAACAGTTGCATGTCCGACCTTGGACTCTTAAATCAAGCTTCATTTCAGCCATGCGACACTCGCAAAGAACACAGTCTCCCACAGTTCCGGTAGTCTAAGCATACAGACAAAAGAAATAGGCATCAAGTGGAATCCAGAGATGGATATTGCTTTTTCCATATAATGTGCCCGCCCGTTCTGTGCACTTGAACGCGGTTTGGTGGCATATGTAGCCAGGTCCGCGACGTTTGTATTGGCAAAAGAGAAGCACGGCAATCATTTCAACCAATGACAATCAATCTCGCAGACGGAAACGAGCATTGGTTTCCTGCTAAAACCCTGGCCTATTTGATGGCTTTGTGATAAAACGCTCTTGACCGCTGGGGCAAACGGCAGCGAACCGGAAAATGTGGTCTCTGGGACTTTTCAGGGTGTCTTTTGCACATTGTGACTGGCTGTGTTGTTGCACAGATTCAGTGCCTTTTTTCGTCGACCACTTGGTCGTTCAAGACGGATCACAAATGACGTCGTTTGGGAAATTGCAGGTATCGCGTTTGTTGGCGTTTGGCCCTTGTGATTATGAATAAATGAGCAGTCATCCGATAATGTCGGATAGGCTAAGAAATTATCATGTATTGGAGTTGGCACCCGCTTGGCTGCCGCGTATCTGATGTGAGCGCCAGGTACGGATATGCTTGTTGCAGTGGAATGATATTCTGAAGCGGTAATATCGACATGATGATATCGTGGGAGTCAAAGTGGGGAAGCAAGAGAAGAAGGTCCTCAGGTTGGAAAAGGTACCTAAGCGGGGGTCCAATTGTTTACCTCAGCCAGCCGCTGCTTCAGTATCATACATGGAAAGAGCAATTGAGTTAGAATGGCTTGCACTTGCCAACAACCCACAACTTTTACAGCCACCTCTCGTCAGCTTGAAGTCAGCTTTCGGCCTGAGCAAAGTCAAGGCACGACATTTTACTGGTCACAGACAAACACACTGTGCTTCAGCTCCGAAGGAAACGGCCGACTAGGTAACTCTGAGCAACCCAGGCACTCTAAATAGACCTCAAAAAGGTGTGGTCGTACTTGTAGCGGTAATAGTTGCTTGTAAAGTGTGTGCGCCATAGTCAATAGAAGACACGAGCTGAAAAGACATGGCTAAAACCACAAAACAAATAAACACTTGGCAGAGTAAGGTTAAGTTCCAGACCTCCCCTGTCCCTTCATGTGGCTTGAGGCCGGTGGATGATCTCCCGAGACCAAGACGTGTCCAGTGCTGACCTGAGTGAGAGAACAAGAATAGTACATAGACACGGGGAAATCGTATAGACGTACCGCATCGCAGGTGATACGAAGAAGATATATACTACGTAACAGATCGCCGAGAGTAAGATTGGCCAAGATTGATTGACTGACCTCCACAACCCGCAAGGGATGAGCTTAACTCAACATGTATCTCTCTAGGTAATTATCATGTGTTGAGGCTGATCTTGTTCCTGAGATTGGCAGAAAAGGGATACGCTAAGTTTAAGCAGAGTTATTTGGTGGCCCAGAAGGGAGACTCAAAGGTATGGCAGTGGCGCAGAAATTTTGGTTTGAAAGAGTAAGAGGCTGATTTTTGGTGAGACATGATGGAGAATTCTACGCCGTCTAAAGTTGATCGAGATGCTAAGTAAAGATACGAGTGAGGCGTATCCTCTACAAAAGATAATCTGAGCATCACGAGACATGCGCATTAACTGTCCTACCGTCGAGAACAAGAGGGTGCCTCGGCATTCTCAAATTGGGTTATTGAGGTTTTGCTACATAGGTATTTTGTTGGGTTTTTCGTATTTTGCAGAATTCGATTCAATAGTTTGGTGGGGACTCTTCAGCCTTTGCACGAAGCATGACGAGAGGCGGAGAGCGAGCTGTTTGTATGGACGTATGTTGAGGTACAACCACAACTCTCTCCAAAGTTTAGAGCACGCTTGACCTGTTCGTCCGTGTACTGGGAGTCCAGGGGATAGACTAAAGTTAGGAGGGAAACACACGGGCCGTTGTTGGGCGTGTTCACCAAACATTCCCGTATTAGCTGATGTTGGCACTGATGATTGATCAAAGTTGATCAAGTCGTGTTGTGTTGGTTCACGGCCCAGCAAAAGGTGGATAATTTGGTTCAAGTTGAGTTGAAATATCACGATTGGGTGTGATGTGTATAAACGGGGTGGAAACGAGAGCCAACAAACGCCCTGGAACATCACGGTCATATTATCAACGACTTCTGACTGAATCCAAACAGGTTCCTACTGTATCAAGCTTATCAGAGAAATACATCATGTTCATTGCAGTGTAAATATCTCGACCCTAGGCATGTCTATGTCTACAAATGCATCAAAAAGGGAGGACGTTCTCCTCCACACACATGCCGACATCATCACAGTCGCAGATTAGTTAGCTTTACCTGCATCTTCCCCACACAAACACAGCATCTTCCATTTGAGGCTGCATCTCAGAATTGCAGGGCAGGTAAGGCACAATATCCGTACCCGCCACGGACATATCCGTCCGTGGATGTCCATTTACACTTTCAGGTTTGTTGCGACGTTGGGTTATTTTTGCCATCAATGATCACTATCGTGCTGCCCAAACCCAGAAATCCCATCTCACAAAGGGGTCCTGAGTTTGAGGGGAATTGGAGGACCGACCCCTCGACATCCAGAACCCGCCCTCTCAGGAACAAGATCCCCTGATGGATGGTGACTTTATGATAAAGTATCATCTGACATAAAGTTATGTGTGATGTAACTTTAGTGGTTGGTAGCGGCACAACAAACAGCAAGTCTGGGCATGGCATGGCATGGATGCATCACAAGCGGCCAGGAGTCACCAGCCGGGGATAGATCCAGGGCTAGGACAAGTGGATACTGCCCGTACAGCGGCAGGGGTGGACTCCATAGCAGAATCAGGGTCCCTGCTCGGTATCCTCCCCTGTAGATACTGACACAGCGCTAGCCAGGAGGTGCCATGAGGGCGAAGCAGCTGTAAATCCGACAAGTTAACGACGCTGTCTACAGGTTGTGTCGTACAGCGTATCGTCAATGGATGCGGTCAATGTGATGTGATGTGATTTGAGAGAGGCAATCTTGGGCCCAACAATTAATTGCGTTGACTCTTTGTTAATACGACGTGGAGGTCAAAACAGTCAGCAATGTCGGCAAATCGCACGGTATATCGAAATAAGATACTCTCGCGTCCTATGGGTTGGAATTATTCCATCCAGAAGTAGAAGCCAGACCAGACCAGGGCAGGGCAGGGCTATTTAATTCCATTAGGTTCACTGCTAATAACTAAAGATATTGCGGAGGCTTGCGGCCACGCGGTGGGCGTTAGGTTGGTGGATCTCTCTCTGTTCAGATGGATATCATTTTGTATGTGGTGACCCTGAGACTCGCCCCGTTCTGCGCCCTGGGCTGTTACTGTCAAAGTCACCCGCCGCATGCCAAATGTTCCCATCCCTCCGGTCTACTCAAAACATTGACCCTGTTCTGATCTTTGCTTCGAGTCGTCTCTGCTGAGGCTGCTCTATTATCCCCGCTTTCTCTCAAGGTTACAAAGGCCTATTTGCTGTGGCGGACGGTGAGGTGTCGGGCTAATTGGAGTGACAGCGGCCATCTGGAAACACTGTACTCAGCACTGTGATTACCCAATGAGTGCAGTGAATTTTGAGCAACAGCCGCAAAGGTTAGTCCGTAAATACACCTCAATAGATTGTCCAAAGTGGTCAAGGCGAGAGTGTAAATAGGGCTTAGGTCAGCTCATTCTTGAATAAGTCCATTTACCTGCAGGTGAGCTTATCCTCTCGGAGGTGTGGACTATTTACAGTACAGCTGCACATAACAAACCCCCGAGTCCCAGGTACAGTGCGACTCGTACCTCACACCCTCACCTTAGATCCCCTAGGTACCTGCTGCACTAACTAAAACTCCCCGTGTGCCCTGTAGGCCTGTGCTGTGTCTCCCCAATAACAACGACTACCGTAACGAGGTATCGTTCCCCTCAGATCAGAAGGACCAGTCCAACCAATTCGGCTCGGTTCATTCTCAGTTTCTCAGTGTCCAGGTCTCTCGCCTTTTTTGTCTTGATTGATTGATTTGATCTCTCTCCCTCAGACTAAAACTTAAACTAAACCAAACGGGCTCTCCATGTCCATGTCCATGTCCCATGTCTATCCCGCTAGACGCCATCTCTTGTCATTCCCATACACATCCGCATTTTCCAATCTTGCTTTGTCTCTGTTTTCTTTCTTCATAATTCTCTCTACTATCAACTCTACTACGATTCTTCTCCTCTGAGCTTCTGGTTCTATTCCGTTCTGCTATACCCGATCCTTTCTACGCCCTGATCCAATACAGCGAGCACCGTCGTTTCGCCCTCTCCCGACGAGACGAGTCGAGGTGAACCGGCGTCCCTCGCACCGAGCGGCCCCCTTTTGGCAAAGAACCCCCCACAGGCACAAGCACAAGCGTCTCCGACACGTCCATAGTTCACTGTCCACTGTACTGTTCACCATCTCTCGAATCCTACATTTCCATCATTATCCCGCGCCCCGGGAAATTGTTGTTATACCGACTGCAACTGCAATTCCTCACTCATCTCGACTCGCACTCGCACTCGGCGCCCCTTGTTGTGTTCGCCATTGCCTTTCGGTCGTATACGCTATCGTTTCGCTTCGTTTTACAGTACTTTCTTGCTCCGTACAACTTTCCATTTCTACGGGCTCGTTCGCTATTCCCACCCAGGAACAGCGCCTCTCAGCGACCAGATTGAGATTCGCCCCCTGGCTTTCACGATAGACTTCGTTCGGCATTGGATCGCATGCTGAGATCTTGAGACCCTCTCTAGCGCTCAGAACTGCAACGACGTTTTCTGCTGCTCCATTTTCCTTCCATATTCCACAGCTTTCGCCGCCACCGAGCAAAGAGAGATCCCCACGAGCCCAGACGCACCCAAACATCGTCACGCATACTGCCGTCGGTCCCCGCAATCACTTGAACCGTCCCGGGGCTCGCTCGCTGCTCCATATGGACGCCCAGACCACAACGGCCGAACCTCAACATCCTTATCCTTCCAGTCCTTGGACATCTGCCTCGACGATATCATCGAGCACACCGAATCCGACGACACCATCGGCGACGAGTACTCACAGCGCTTCCGCCGTCGAGGGCTCCTTCTTCCCCGACCCGTCCGCCACACAATTCCATTCTCACCTCGATCTCCTCCCCTTTCTCCTCCCACAGCAGTCCAACATCTACCACGCTCAACTCCTCCACTACAATAAGCTCATCTCCCCATCCCGCGGCGGCGGCCTGCAGACACCGCCACTCCCTCCCGTCATCTCTGCTCCTCATATCCAGGCAGCGCCTCGGTCGCGATCTTCTAGCAAGGTGTCGCTAAGAGACGCCTCCGGTAAGGGGAGCACAGCTGGAGGCCATGGGAGTAGGTCACATCAGAATTTAGACAAGAGTCGATCGGTTGCAGCCTCCAAGGAGGTTCCGTCCAAAATGTCTTCAAAGCAGGCCGCCGACTCATCGAGGCATTTACCCCGACGGTCCGCACCTTCGGCTCAGTCCCACTCTAGTTCAGTGCCCTCGACGCCTCACCAGCACGCTCGCCAATTTTCACTTGAGGACCGCGAGCCGTCGCCCACGGGAACAAATAACCATTCCCCACGATCAGCTTATTCTGAGACACATAGCACGTTATCCTCACTTCAGCCTTTACCGCCGCGAATATCGAATTGCAAATACGAGACTGCCCAAATAAATTCTCGGAGGAGAATACCGTATTCGGTCGGCAATGATCGTCTGGAAAAGCTGGACTTGAGGACGGTCAAGAGCAAGTTGACCGAGGATGAGGAGCGAAAGTTGGCGACCGATATGAGAGAGGTCTACGACCGACTACTTCCCACCGCCGCTGTCGAGGAGAATCGAAAGAAATTAGTCTCGAAGCTCGAAAAGACCTTCAACGATGAATGGCCAGGACACGATATCCGCGTGAATCTTTTTGGGTCTTCTGGGAATCTTCTTTGTTCGGATGATTCTGATGGTACGTCCACACCCTCAATCTGCATGATTACATGCTAACCCTATCTAGTGGACATTTGCATCACAACCGCATGGCGCGAATTGGAGGATGTCTGCATGATCGCCAACCTCCTAGCTAAACGTATGTATCTTTCTCAAATTCGCCAACAACTCGCTGACATCAATAGGGGGAATGGAGAAGGTTGTCTGTATTTCGGCCGCCAAAGTGCCCATTGTCAAGATCTGGGATCCTGAACTGGGCCTTGCGTGCGACATGAATGTCAACAATACCCTTGCGCTCGAAAATACACGCATGGTTCGAACATATATCGATATTGACCCCCGAGTTCGAGAGCTTGCAATGATTATAAAGTATTGGACACGGAGAAGAATAGTCAATGATGCCGGTATGTTGTTTTGCCACCCTTTTTAACTTGTCTAACGGTTCAATAGCGTTTGGTGGCACATTGAGTTCCTACACATGGATCTGCTTAATTATCGCGTTCCTGCAGTTGCGCAGCCCTCCCGTTCTTCCTGCATTGCATCAATCGCCACATAAGTTACCCAAACCTGACGGTACCACCCCCGACTTCGCGGACGATATTGAGAAACTGGCTGGGTTTGGAAAAAAGAACAAGTCATCTACTGCAGAGCTTTTGTTTCAGTTCTTTCGCTTCTACGCTCACGAGTTTGATTACGATAAGCACGTTCTCTCGGTGCGGCAGGGCAAACTGATCACAAAGCACGAAAAGAAGTGGCATTACGCGATCAACAACCAGCTCTGTGTGGAAGAGCCGTTCAATACTTCCCGTAACCTCGGAAACACCGCCGATGACTATTCTTTTCGCGGTTTACATATGGAGTTACGTCGAGCATTTGACTTGATTTCGGTGGCAAACTTCGAGGAGGCATGCGAGCAATACGTGTTCCCTAAAGAGGAGGAAAGAGTATGGTCTCGACCAGCACCGCAACCTCGGCCTGCTCTGCTTAGGAGCTCCTCACAGACGCACTCAGGCCGAGGAGGTCGTGGAAACCACCGTGGCGGAAGACATAACAATAATTACCGAGGCGGAAATTCGAATCGACGTGCATCTGCAGGCGTTCCACAGTTCGACGCCAACAACAACAACAATATGTTTATGCAGCCGGTCAACATGGCGCAGGATCTACAGTGGTACCAAAACCAACAGTTCCAGTTTCAGTACGCACAGCAGGATCTTATGACTCAAATGGCGTTGCACCAGGAGAACATGCGACTCTTGTATGCCAGTCAATCACCAGCATTTATGCAGCATCAAGCCCAGGCTCAGGCTCAAGCGATGGGTCAACAGCAGCAACAACAGAGGATGTCTACAAGTACGGGATCTGGCCAGCAGCAGTCACAACAGACGTCAGATCGTTCCAGGACAAATTCATTTGATAACCCTCCGCTCAGCGCTCCTCTGCGACCTGACTTGTATGCTCTATATGGTATGAGTTTGGGCACGCCCTTTTTTCCTCAAGCGGGTGCAAGTTATGGAACGTATCCCTCGTCTCCTGCTAGTACCTCGGGTGCTACCCAAGACTTTCGTCGCCCGCTTCAGCGAAATGGTATAAATAATGAAACAGGTGTTCAAGGATCGAACAGCACTCTTCGTTCGCATTCACAGCCCGCATCTCGATCTCCGTCTACAGCACAAGCAGCTCCCGGTTATTTTGGTGCCCAATCTTACAATGGTCCAAGCCATTCTCGAGGTGTTAACGGCAACCCAATTCCAAGCTTCATGTCTGATGATACAGAATTCGACGAGACTCCCAAGGCACACACAGACTCGCCACAATCGGAAGAGGGCAAATATTCTGTTTACCTGTCGGAAAGCCCAAGTCCCAGCAAGCAGCCTCAACCACAAGCTGCTACCAACGGTCTTGCTATTGGGGATGTCTCCGGTCAGAGCCCAGGACGACGACGACTCTCGACAGATCAGCTTCCGCAGACAATTCTCGACCGCCGAATGAAGAGAACATCGCGATCACCTTCACCTTTGGGCCATGCACGGAATTTCTCATCCACTGCATCATCGGCACCTTTGGCACAAGGGCCTTTCCCTGGAGGTCAAAACAAGAATCTTTCGCGCCCCTTGGTCGTTAATGGATCTAGTCTAAAGACAAGCGTAACCCAAAGCCCACGCCAACCACCCTCTGGACCAGATAGCACTACCTCGGATGAGTCGATTAACCTTGATAACTCCCTGCAGATTCACGGTGCAAATGGTGTCCCCAGCTTTCCTGTCGACGGACCCATCATGCCGCAGGCTGTGCCTGAGGGAGCTATGAACCAGCAAGGTGCCTACAACCCGGTTCCTGTAGTGGCCAGTGGGTCCGCTGCTCCAATGATGGCTGCAGCCCCATCTACGGCAGATGATCCATCATTCCGCGATCGTATTGCGATGATGAGTGCTTACTACATGGCAAGTCCTCATATTGTACAGGACCCGATGATGGCGGCAAACTCTCGATTGTCTCCTTCGACACGCCAGCGCCTGATGTCACGTCAAAACCAGAATGGCATGATTGCTCCTCTTGATCTTGCCATTGCTGAGAATCGCATTAACAGACCACCAGTTGGTCAAGATTTTGCTCATCTCTCACCAGTTTACGAGAACCGCACTCCCTCTCCCACAGTTCTTCGAAAGGATGGACCGTGGAAGTCAGATAAACAGAACAGCCCTAAGACAGGACGAGGGGAGGGACCAAAGTCCAGCCAGAAGACCG